CGCTGTACCTCGTGCACATTGCCTCCGTGGATTCCTCCATCCATGGATCCATCTTCTCACACCGACCTTTTGCCTTTCTTCCATCGAGTCCTTCGTATAATCCAGCCGCGCGCCAAAGTTCCCGTCTTACCTACCGGCGATTTACCCGTCGCGGCGTCCATGTCAACGACCGTGGTCCCCCGCGCCCAACCGGCCCCCAAGCAATCGCTCACGCCCGCGCCGAAACGTGGGAGCTGGGAACAGCACGCATGGCTTGCCGCCACTGCCCACCCGGCGCAGATCGATGCTCTACTGCAGCGCGGGCCGGGGGGTCGGTTGCCCCGTTGTTGGTTGAGCCTGCGCCTCGTCTCAGATCCTGCAATTTGATTCCCGGCGGGCAGGGTCGCTCGCTGCGACGCTGAGGGAGGCGGGTGGAGATTGCGGTGCAGCCCATGCGTCGCGCATGGTGGTCGCCGTCCATTCCAGGTGTCAGGTCGAGCGTTATTCTGTCCATCAAACGTCTCCGTCGAGTGAATCGTCGTCACAGCGTGGTTCTGCGAGATAGTGAGAATGGGGCCTTGACCATGAATGCACATGACGCCCCATGTGCGGCTCGAGTCGAAAATGGTCAGCGTCGAACCCTCTTGCGTCAATCGTTACCCGACGGCACTGTCAAGTCGGGAAATCCCAAGAGCTCTTTTATTTCCCATGATTTTCTGCTGGCAGATCGTGACTGCTCAATCCCAAGCTCGAGTCTCCCTCTCGACAGCAGTCACTCACACGGCGACACCCAGCCCTCGCTCAGGACCGGCAGGCCATTCCGATGCGGCCACCCCAGCTCGGCGATGCCTGTTCTCCTCCGTGATTGGAAGTCTCCGATTTAGTAGTGCTCATGCAGCGTTGCCGCCCAATGTGGCAACACCGAAGGCTCTCCGCCTCAGCTCTTTATCAGATCATCAGATAAGATCCATCATTGGGCCTCGGCGGATCCTCTGCCGATCCCTCCCCGGCCTGGTCGGAGGATAAAGGACGCGCCCATTCCAAGAGTCAGACGGCCACTCGACTCCAGTGTACCGTGGTACAGTAACCGTGCCAAGTGTGCAGCAATATGCTTGCTCGTTGGGGCTCGCGCCGTGAGACCCAGGCCACCGGAGCGAGAGCGGAGCGTTTAGTACGGTTGCGCGTGCAGGGCGCGCACGAATAGTGGCACCGACTTGCTCCCACGAGAGGCGGACTCCGCTCGGCGAACCGTCGGATATAGGCAGTCATATAAATCTGACACCATCCCGCTTGCCCGCTTGGGCGGCTCCGCCCTCGATTCTCCCACGGGCCCCGTTCTCTCCTGCGCAGTTTGTGAACTTGATCCGATCCCCAAGTCGGGGACGAGAACACCATGCTGTCGCCGTCGGCATCCAGCGAGGATCTCACGCAAATGACAAGCCCCCGGCCGACCGACCCCCTTCTTGGCCATTCGAACGTCCAGAGGAGGGGTGGTCGAGGAACCGGTCGCACGGCGACAACCTTTGCGGCCGGCGAATCCGACGACAGCGATGTCGACGCGACGGGAAACACATTTGAGAATGAGACCCAGGCAGGCGTGAGGAGGGTCGAGGCCACCACGACTGTGTGGTCCAAGACGCATCTCGTCGCCGCCTACGCCAAGTGAGCATATTCCCCCACGGCTCTCGGCTTGGGGAGTGCTGATGACTGCTAGCATCTGGTTCATCTACTTCATCATATCCATAGAGGAAGTCGTCGTCGGAGCCATGGAGCCGTTCGTCACGAGCGCCTTTGAGAAGCACTCGCTCACGGCCGCCGTCGAGGTCATGTCGAGCATCATCGGCGGCTTGACCAAGATACCCATTGCCAAGATCCTCGACACCTGGGGCCGTCCGCAGGGCCTGGCGCTGACCCTGTTCGTCTGGGTCCTGGGACTCGTCATGATGGCGTCTTGCCAAAACGTCGAGACCTTTGCCGCGGCAAAGGTGTTTAGCTCCGTCGGGTACGTCTGATCGATCGTGAGGCCTCCGCCGCGAGCTCTCCGTTGACCAGAGCAGATCCCAAGGCGTCACATACTGTCTCACCATTTTCATAGCCGACACGTCGTCGCTGCTGAACCGCCCGCTGATGCTGGCGTTTGCGTCGTCTCCGTATGTTATCACGACCTGGGTCGGTGGCCCCGTGTCGGACGCCATCCTGAACGGGCCTGGCTGGAGATGGGGCTTCGGCATCTGGACCATTGTCACGCCCATTGTCGTTCTGCCACTGTCCGCCCTGTTCCTCTGGAATGACAGAAAGGCCGAAAACGCCGGACTCATTGAGCGACGCACCGGATCCATCACCTTCCAGGATGTCAAAAAGTACATGATTGATGTAGACTTGGTCGGTGGCGTTATACTGGCCGGAGGTATGGCTCTCTTTCTGTTGCCATTCAACATCTGGTCCTACCAAGCCGAGCAGTGGCACTCACCTCTCATCATCGGCATGATCATCTCCGGCATCGCACTGATCGTGGCGTTTGTCCTGTGGGAAAAGTTCCTGGCCCCCGTCAAGCTGGTGCCTGTCCGGCTGCTCATGGACCGCACCGTGTTCTCGGCCGGCATCATGTTCATCTTTGTGTTTGGCCAGTCGTCCATCTGGGGCAGCTTCTTCACGTCGATGCTGTACGTCGTGTGGGACACGAGCATAACCGAGGCCACGTACATCCACAACATCTACCGCGTGGGCTCGTGCCTCGCCGGCATCCTGATCGGCCTCATCGTCCACCGGGTCGGGCGGTTCAAGTGGATCGCGGCATATTACTCCATCCCGCTGAGCATGCTGGGCGTCGGGCTGCTGATCAAGTTCAGGCAAGCGTCGGAGCCGCTTGGCTACGTGGTGCTGTGCCAGATCCTCGTCGCCATTGCCGGCGGCCCGACGGTCCTAGCAGGCGAAATGGCCATGATGGCGCCCTCCGACCACCAGCACGTCGCCGTCCTCATGGCCATCCTCAACCTGTTTTGCAGCGTCGGCAGCGCCGTCGGGTCCTCCGTCTCCTCGGCCATCTGGACGGGCACGTTCCGCCGCGAGCTCGTCAAGAACCTGCCCCCGGACGCGCCAATAGACGAGATCTACGGCGACCTGGACAAGCAGCTGTCATACCCGGTGGGGTCAGTCATCCGCAACGGCATCGCGCGGGCGTACTCGGTTTCGCAGCGGTACATGCTCATCACCAGCGTCTCCCTCCTCGCATGTGCGTGGGTTTGCACGTGGTTCTGGCGCGACATCAAGCTTAAGCGCGTCAAGCAGGTCAAGGGGACCGTGGCATAGGCGGGCCGCGACGTTGGTTTCACGCGATGCAGTGCAACCTCAGGTCGGTCCGACTGGTGCGACTTGTAGGAGAAGGACGTTGGTTGGCGCTGCTGGCGTCGGCTAAGCCAGATGACATCCTGCAGTCCTATAGCGACAGCATTGGAACAAGTCCGGGGTACTGCTGTAGCATCCAATGCTGTATTGCACGTGGCTACATACACGCAGTCCAGTATCCGCGCCCAGCGAGTAGATATCGTGTAGGGCTTCATAGAGGAAGGACATCAATGTTCCCATCTAGTCTTGGCCGTTCGAGGAGATGCACTGCAACGACATTCGTCACACGGGGGTGCTTCGGACATCTCACGCCACAAGCTCCCAGAGCGCCGAGACTAAGCGCCTCTTCTTCACACCTGCGTCTTGGCCATAGTCTCCTCAGCCTCCTGCTTCCACTCCTCGCGCCAGCGCGTTAGCGGCGGCCGTTCTTTGACAATGTCGCCGACAGACCAGAGCATGCGCTTCTTGTCCGTCTCCTCCGACACGTCGTTGTCCGGGCAGATGACGTAGAACTTGTCCCGGCGCATCTTCTCGTACAGGAAGTCGGCGACCTGCTCCGCGCTCCACGCGCCCGCGGGCTTGTCTTTGCCGGCAGCGGCCCCAGTCTGCACAACGGCCTAGCGTCAGTCCCGAAACTGTTTGTCAAGAATGCGTGCTGGCTGGCTTCTGCCTGCATGCATCGCGGTGCTGCATGTGAGGAGGTCGGGGTATGCATGCGGGAGGATGGGCACTCACGAGGCCGGTGTAGGTCCACCCCGGGACGAGGAGGTGGACCGTCGTCCTCTCGGCCCTGAGGTCGAAGCTCAGGTGCTCGGCAAGGGTCTTGACGGCGGCTTTGGAGGCGTTGTATGCGGGATTGCCCGGTGGGTTGGTGATGCCTTGCTTGCTGCCGGTAATGACAACTGCAGTTGGCTTGGTCTTGGCTGCGTCACGCACCACGGGCAGCAGGGCGTTGACTCCGTTCACGACGCCAAAAATGTTTGTCTCGAGCGTCTACGCGGTCCACGTCAGCATCAATCGCCGCTCGCTTCGCGCGGCAGACCCCCTCTCCAGGAAAGTGAAAGTTACGCACCGTTCGGAAGTAGTCACTGTCTCCCCACGTCCCTCGCGATCCGGTGCCCGCGTTGAGCACCAGCAGCTCGATGCTACCAAACGCCGAGACGGCCTTGTCCTTGATGGCGCGCCAGTCGTCCTCCTGGCTCACGTCGGCGACGATCGAGACCACAGCGAAGGAACCGTCTGCGCCGGACACATCCTGCTCAGCCTGGCGCAGCGCGGCGGAGTTGCGGTCCACGAGGAGGACCTTCATGCCCTTGGCGCGGCACAGCTTGGCCACGGCCAGTCCGATGCCCGAGGCGCCGCCGGTTACGAGGGCGGTGGACCCAGCGGCGAAAACGTCGGAGGCCGGCATTGCGAGAAGGCTTTCGGTTGGCGATTGTACAGTGCTGTATTGTACTGTATGTACTTGCTGTGCAGCTGAAGCTCTCCAACTACAGCATGGGAAATACTTGAAGGATTACAAACGCGTTTTCCGGCTACTGTTGCGGAAATCTGTGACGTCGTCGTGGTGGCGGCCCGCGGGGTTCTCATGCAACGTCAGATCTTAAGTCCGGCCCAGTCCGTCAACAGCCCATCGGCGTGCACAATCAGCGAACTGCTGACTCTCATGACCAGCTAGACAACTACTTGCACTGCCTCTGGTATCGACTCTGTGCCATATTTTCGTGGGCTCTCGTTTTGAGCCTCACAGAGTTGTTCACCTTCCACGGTCGGCCGGGCGCCGGACTCGCGGCGATATCGCGTGTAAGTGAGCGGGCTGCGGGGAAAGCACTCAGTACCGAGCCACGACCAGCCACTCCTCTGCGGGGGCTTGCGGCTCGACGCCGGCCGAGTCGGTGCCAATCCGTATGCTCCACCCCTCGTCTCCTCCGTGCGGGCCGTGGGACAACCCCGTGCTCCACCTTCAGACTGGACCCTTTCCGTAGCACTTCCATCGTGTCCCTCGTCACACATGTACATGGCATACGTACAGTGCATCGCCGTGTAGTCAAGCACTCACAGTGGCACAACATCCTCGAGGCGTGCCAGGATTAAGGTTACATTGAGTGGCCGCGAGGGTACCTACATGGTGGGCATCTCACGGGATCACATGCGGTTAGGCTCACAAGCCGCTGCCACATGGTCCAGCCAACACACATACAGGCTTACACATCCTGCCAGTGACGCGCGCCGGCTTTTGGCAAAACTGCCTTGAAGTCGATGTCGAGAGTCGCACAAAAGAGGGAAATAGCGCCCGTCGCGCAAAGGACAGCCGCACTGGGTCGGCGATATGAGCGGCGAAATGCGATTTCGCGTCCAAGCTCAGGGCGGGGGGCCGGGCCAGACGCTTCATCGCATCGGGCGCCATCGCCGAGGGGGGCCTTGCCGTTCTCCCCCATGAGCGCCGGCGGGCCGGTCCGATTCGGCCGTGAACAACAAAGCCCCGATTCTCGAGGCGTCCTGTTGCGTGCTGCGGTGCCTGGCGTTCCTGATGTCTGGTTGCTCGCTGTTGCACCGCGGACCAACAGCATGGAGCCGGAACGGTAATGCCGTGGCTTTTCCCGTCTTGGCCCTGTCAAGAGCAGGCTGTTGCCAGAAGAGGTTCTCATGTCCGTGGTCGTGGGACTGGATATTGCAGCTCATAAAAACGAAATGCATGCGACCAATCGCCTCAGCCAACTCAGCAACTCCCAAAAAGCAAAGCAGCCAGCAATCTAGTCAAACTCGCCTGAGGTCAGGTCCGGTGGGGCCAGTCTGGTGCTCGGCGCCGTCACGTTCTAGAATCGAGCACTTCGCAGAGACACCAGACCCGAGGCGTGACTGTGCACGATGCCTCCGCACGAGGAGCAGACCTCAGCACTGGGCTGTCGGCTGCCCCTTCGCTCGGCGCCTAGCGAATCTCTTGATGTGGGGAAGATCGACGCCCGCCCTGGGCGCCTGCCGGCACTTGTAGGGGGCCATCATGACCTTGGACCTGCCCGATTGCGGCCTCTGTCAACTGCGTGCGCTTTCGTCATGCCGATACAGATGAGACATTTGCGATTTCTTCAGCGTGGACGTGTCCCCCGTCCCGAGGGGCTGTCGAATTCTGCCGCTCTGCGGTCTTAGAGCGCTCGTCGCGAAGCTCCCCCATCCGATGATCGCCTTCAAAGCTGGCGATCAGGCGTGATTGGACCGAGTTGCCAGGGCTTGCCAGCCAACGGTCCGTGGCTGCCGGCCTTGACGAGATCGTGCAACGCCAGTCGAAACCGATTTCCCGCTGCCCCCGTTTGGCCCTTGACAGCTCTCATTTGTCGCACCCCCCCTGAGCGTCCAACCAGCCAATCCCAAAGAGCGAAACTGTCTCCTACGTTCCAAAGGGCAAGTGTTTAATCTGCAAGTTCACGCCGACAACTGGCATGCCTAGCGCATATCTCTCGCGCACGTCTTGTCACCCTCCCACGCCAGGTTTCACCAGACGTTATAGGGCCCTTCTCTAGAACTTTAAACGCGGACGCACGTGGACTTGGCATCACACATTCGGCCCTTCGGTCAGGAGGAGCCATAGTTCCTGCATGCCCAGCGTAGCAACCTCCAAGAGAGAGCGCCATGCCCAGGCTTTCTGATCGGCACTACTCTTGCGTCCTGTCCTGCACCCTTCATGCACCCCAGGGCTTGGTCCTGTAGCAGGTCACTTGTGCTGGGGTGACTTTGCGCGGAGCTGTGGTATGGAGGCCTGCCCAGGCACAAGCTCGCGAAACATGACCCATCTACCATCCGACCGTGATGTCTCCGACGAATGGGCGTTATGGGATGCTCCGATGCTGAGCCATCGGGGAGTCGTGTTGGGTGCGCAGTCGGAGTTGAGGGCCTGTGCTCCGGTAGAGCTTGCATCCATGTCCCAGCACCGCGCCGCGGTCATCCGCTTTGTTGGGTCATGTCACCACCTTGGCAGTGTCTCTGTCTCTGTGCTTTCAGACCATGACATAGAGTATAAAGATGTGAGGACGTCCCACTCATCTGGTGATACCTTCACCAAGACAATCTTCTTCAATAGTCCGACCTTGGGTTGCATTCTCGCAGAAGCGAAATCTGCACTGTATATATTACACCCCGGTATCTAAGCCTTCAAAATGGTTCGCTTCAACCTCGCGGCCCTGCTGGCCTTGGGCACGTCGGTCCACGCCTGGGGCGGCCCCGACTATGGCGGCTTCCGCCGCCTCTGGCAGGACACCTTTGACGGCGCGGCCGGATCGTCCCCCAACGGCGGCAACTGGCACATCATCACGGGCGACCTGGGAGTCAACGCCGAGCTCGAGACCTACACCAACAGCAACTGGAACGTGCAGCTGAGCGGCGGCGCCACGCTGCAGCTCATCCCCTGGCGGGACGGCAGCAAGAAGAACGGCTGGTCGTCGGGCCGCATCGAGAGCGCCTACACCTTCTCGCCCGAGAACTGGAAGCTCACGCGCGCCGAGGCCCAGATCCGCTTCGGCGGCAACAGCATCGGCAACAAGCAGGGCATCTGGCCTGCCTTTTGGATGCTCGGCGACTCGCTCCGCCACGGCACGGGCTGGCCCGCGTGCGGCGAGCTCGACATCTTGGAGACGATCAACGGGCAGCTCAGGGGCTACGGCACGATGCACTGCGACAGGTACCCCGGCGGCATCTGCAACGAGGGGACCGGCATCGGCGGCAACATCGGCATTCCGGACCAGGGCTGGCACACCTGGCGCATCGAGATTGACAGACGCCCTCAGACCTGGGAGGGTGAGACCATTACTTGGTTCATGGATGGGCAGCAGTTCCACCAGATCTCCGGCAGCCGCCTCGGAAACCACGATGTCTGGCGGACCGTCGCTCAGAGCCCCATGTATTTTATCCTCAACGTTGCCGTCGGCGGCAACTGGGTAAGTTGTTGGCACCAATCTTTTCACTTTCTGAGGCAGTCCGAAGCATGCTAACGCTCCGACAGCCTGGCTATCCCAACGGAAACACCCAGGACGGCTACGGTAGCATGATGGAGGTTGCTTACGTCGCCGTCTACTCCACCTAAGAGGTCGATGCAGCGGGCATGCCTCGTTATCGCTGCGAGCCACCGCCCGTCGAAGCCGCAGGCTGCTGGCATGGCACAGGGTTCCCAATTAACTTCTCGTACATATCAGTCGCTTCCACATACTGCCACTCCCGTACATAGGCACACCCACGTATATAGAACAGCACATAGGCACAATAGTTAGAGTGTATATAGCAAACGTTTGTTTTCGAACCTTACCAAGCAGTTCGGCTGCGACTTCTGTCTGATCGTCGTACATGGATGACCGACTCTAGTGTGGATACAGTTGAGGTCTTCTAGATCTGCGGGTGACTCTATCCACTTTCCCTTCAAGCGCCAACAGCTTCTTCAATCGCTGCCGCCAGCTTGTCCATTTCCGCCTTGTTCTTCTCCTGGAGGTCGTACACTTTGCGGAGCTCGTCGACCATGAAGTCTTTCAGGGGCGCCCTCTTGGCGGCTTGGTAGTCGTACACGGCAATGTCTTCGAAGCACCTTGCCGCGATCCTCTTGTGCTGCTCGGACAGGATCACGGCCTCGAGGATGACGCTGTCGGCGCCGTAGTCCGGCTTGACCGAGAGCTTATGGATGACCGTGACCTGGTCCGGATAGGTGATGGGCTGCGTCGATGATGCGTCAGTGTCATTCGCCAACTTGTGTTTCGTATGCCCGAGGCCGCCGCTTACAAGCTTGTAGTCGGTTTTGATGCTTCGGAGGATTAGGCCAATGCTCCTCGGCGTCATGAGCTCATCCCATTGTTGCCGCTGAGCCGGCTCCGCCGTGGCGGCGTAGCTCGTGATCCAGTTTACGCGGGCAGACTCGGCAAACCGGTTGTATATGACGTTGTTTACGTGCCCTGTTTGCGTTCAGTGACTTGACCAACCTGCGCCTTGTCGTCGCAGCGACTTACCCTGACAGCTGTTAGCCTCATCGGCCACCTCATCGCCTCACGCACGGTGCTGTGGACATACCATGCTATCCTTTGGCCCCGCGCAATCACATCGCTCTCGTTAGCCGGTGCACCTGTTGAAGTTGAACCCGGGCTTTCTGTGGCCTACCATGTCTCCCCAAGCCACCGAATGCTTGTTCAGACCGCGCCATCTGGGCTCGGTCAGGAAACCCTCGCGACCGGCAAGCAGGTCCACCCATTGCCTGTCCAGACGCTCCAGCTGCTCCCGCAGCGGCGAGGCATCTTGCTCGCTCTGACATCGCGAGAGGCTCCGCTTTATGCGACTCCTCAGGTCGCTCAGCCATCGCGGGTTCAGAGCCCCCGACTTCGGCTCCAGCTCGACCGCGTCGCCATTCGGCGCATTGCGGGCGGCAGTCGCAGTGAACAAGCCCCGTCGTGAGGGGGAAGCTGCGGCTTGGAGTCGCGCGGCGATACCCAAGTTCGAACGCTGCAGTGTTTGTCGTACTACTGGCCGCATGGTTCCTGACGTATATGTAGCTTGTCAGGACGAGTGCAACCCCAGGCGACTAGCCGGGTCTTGAGGCTAAGACGCCCTTTCGGTTCGACTCGGCATAGCTGCGTCCGGCTCCGGCCCGGCTATTTAGTAATCGGCTCCGGCGCCTTACCCTGCACCGTCCGGAGATTCACTCCGCGGAGACTAAAGCCAGAATACATTGCTGATGCGACAGTGGCGTACTTCAAATAAAATTGTGATGATTTCGTGTACTCATTTAGCATCAGGTTTGCGCATTTGTCTGATGAAGTTGTGCTTCAGGTCCTTCCTAAGCCGAGAACATTCTGTGCAGGACGGCGTGGCGGGAGTCTCACTCGAGCGCGCCCTTAATGCGACGAGCTTGCCAACCACCATCAAGTGGAATTGGCGAGGGACAAAAATCGTTCGTTTACGCAGCCTGCGCATAGGCTTTCCCCAAAGCCTCATCCAGCTCCGTCCGCCCATTCACGACATTCACGTTACTGTAGTCAACCTTATCGGCCGCCATCACGCCGCCTTCGAGGAAGCTCGTCGACATCTCGACCCATTCGCCCACAATCTCCGGCGGAAACACTTGCGAGTAGAAGCTGTGCAGCTCACTCTTTTCGACCGGCTTCACCGCTACCTGCTTTCCAACCGCCTTGGAGAAAGCGGCTTGCACATCCAGCGGCGTGTACCGCCGTGGCCCGTGCAGCTCGTAAACATGTGGCTTTGACGGCGCCGGCTCTTCTTTGAGCAGCTCCGCTGCCAGTGTCGACCCAATGTCCGCGACGGCCACCATGGGGACTTTCCAGTCGAGGGGCGTGATGGTGGAAAAGAAAAAGGGCTCCGGCGCCTTGAGCGTGTCCATGCCCATGGTCCAGTTCTCCATAAAGTAGGCGCAGCGGACAAAGGTAATGGACGGGACATTGGTCGTGGCCAGCACCCGCTCCGCCGCGTTGTTGGTCTTGATCTCACCCTGCGGCGTGTCAGTACAGACTTTTGTATCTCGCGACGCCCGGCTTCTCATGGGAACGAGAAGTGGATGACGCCAGAGGCGACAATACTGACCACGCCCTCGCGCAGCTGCGCCCCAATGCTGCTCAGCAGCACGAGCCGCTTGACGCTGCCCGCAGCCTCAATCGCATCCTTGACATTCTTGGACAAGATCTCGGCCTGCTTCACAATGTCGCCGCCTTCAAATGTCGGCGGGGTAATGGCCAGCACGGCGTCCGACCCCGTAAAGTCGAGCGTCGTGGGATCCGCGACGTCACCCTGCAGCGCGTGAAAGTTGGGCTTGTCCGCAAACTCCTTTGGCACCCTGGCGAGGTTCCGGTACAGGGCGTGAATGTCCACCGAATCGGGCGCCTCGGCGAGGAGCGAGCGGATCACGGCCGCTGCGGTCCTGGTGCTGGCTGGCGCAATCGTGACGTGCATTGCGGCGAGGGCCTTCAATGATGCGTTTCTGACCGGGTCTTGTGTAAGCCTGCTTTGAATCGCTCCACAGTGGGCGTTGACAGGGGGCGCAGACACGGCGTTTGTATGAGTAGTAATCGATCGAGTCCTGCGGTCCAGGCTTTCTGGTTTATGTATTGCACCAGAAGAGATGCAGGTCGTATTTCGTACAGTTCGACATCGAATGTTCACATGCAGCTTCGCCAAACGTCAGTTCAGCCCTGAGGGTGAGGCGCCGCCACGGCTTCACTGCCAAGGCGTTCACAATCGGCACCCGTCAGTTAGGCGCCTAAACTACGGGGGCCTGGCTAGGTGCGATATTGTCGGCGACCAGAGTTTGGGATTAACGTTGGTGGGGGTTGTGGTGAACGGCTTCCTGCGACGTCATAATCGCGGCACAGCTGTCGGGTCAGAGCCGGCGGCTTCGGAGACATTAGTTCGACTATCGTTGCCCCATTCAACGTTGGGTCACTGCCCAGATCGGGCATGACCATCGCTCGCCCAAAAGGCACACACACAATGTTGTCAAACGAATTCATGGGTATTCAATGTATGTGGAACCGCCTTGGTAGGTAATATCGTACAGGTCCATTATCCAAGTCATATCCTCGGCCACAGTCCGACTCCAAACCCAAAAGCAGTAAGATGGAAGTGCCACATGGCCCCTATAGATGCTGAGCTATTCGACGACAAATGCTCGCTTTCAACGAATGATGGCAGCCGGAGCGCACGGCATGCCCCCATGACGCCAATCACTTCTTCGCCAGATTGGCCATGCTTGGCCGGCGACTGGCCGACGGAGTGCCCCGAGGCGTTTGCCGGGGAGTGACGCGAGACTCGCCAAAGAAGCGGTGCTGCTGGCTGTACCTTCTCGCGTAGTCGGGACGGACACCCGAAGCAGAAGCTTGAGAGCCTGGGAAGAGTCAGCTTGAACGACTTTGTGCTTGTGAATCGCGACAACATACCTCGGCGCTCGTCGGGGTCGTAGGGGATGCTGCCGCGGCGGCCCTCGTTGAGCTGCGTCTGGCGCTGGTCGGCAAGCCTCTGCGCAAACGGCGACCGGTGACGCAGCACAGGGCCCTTCCAGTAGATGATGTAGACGGCGACGACCAGCACGAAGGAGATGCAAAACAGAATCGTACTGGCGTACTCGAGGTTCTTGCCGCTCGACGCGCCAATGTTGGTAAAGAATGGCACGGCGGGGATGGTCAAGACACCGGCAAGGAAGTCGCGCGCCCAACCGTTGCCACCAGTCGCTGACGCAGAGTAGGGTCCGTATGCGCAAATCATGTAGTCAATGGTGGCCATGTAGATGGCGTAGTTGGCAATGCCGACGATGGCGACAAAGATCATGGAACCGATCCAGTGGATGGGCGGTCCCTGGATGGTCCAAGCAAAGCCAATCAGGCCGATCGGCAAGCAGGGAGCGGTGTACAGCAGGAACCAGAGGCGCGACTCGTACTGGGCACGCTCGTCGTTGGGCTTGGCCGCGCGCTCCTTGATGTTGCGCTTGATGGCGGGGATGAAGAGCAGCCAGGCAATGACGTAGCCGATGCCGATGGGGATGAAGCTGAGGCCAATCTCCACGGTGCCAAAGTGCCACTGCTTGTACACGAGCGCAAAGGACTGAATGAACATGAAGATGAGGGCGTCGGAGAAACCCGAGAGCAGCGACAGGACCAGCACGATGGGCTCGGTGAGGAACATCTTGAAGGGGCGGATCCAGGTGGTGAGAATCTCCTTGGCCGAGAAGCGGTCGCGGAAGGGCACCAGCTCGTCGGGGCCCCAGATGTTGGCACCGGGGTTCTCCTTTCTCCGGCGCTTGGCGATGCGGTTCATCATGATGGTGGTGCGGGTCTCGGGGACGGTGAGGAAGTGGACGATTTGGACAAAGCCGCCGAGGATGAGCTGCACCCAGATGGACCATCTGAGACGTCGTTAGCGGCTGAACCCTTACAGCGGTTTGGAAAGACACATACCTCCAATCCAGATACTTCTCCGTGAAGCCTCCGACGATCGGCCCCAGAACGGAGCCACCGACGGACGAAAAGACGACGTAGGCAACGGCGTACTGCTGGACGTCCGCTTCCCACAGATCAGCAATCATGCCGAGGGTGACGGAGCCACCCGCGGACGAGAGACCGCCGAGCGCACGGCCAACCATGATCGAGGCAAAGTTGGGCGCCAGCGCAACGGGGAGCTGCCAGATATTGACGAGGAACAGCGAGAGCTGCAAGACGGGCCAGCGACCAAACTCCTCAGACCAGGGGGCCCACAGCTCACAGCCAAAGGCGTAGAGCACGAGGAAGATCATGGCACCGCATCGGGCGGCCTGGTCGCTGACGCCAAACTCCTCGGTGATGCCCGGGATGGCGTTGGAATAGAGGGACGTGTTGAAGTTCATCGACACCTGCACCCAGAAGATGACGGTCAAGATGTACCACTTCTTCCACGTGGGGAAGCTGTAGCCCAGCTCCTCGTAGCAGTCGTCTTCCGTGATCTCGTACTTGTCAAAGGTGCCGACCTTTTCCATCTGCGCGCCGCCGGGCGTGTTCTCGGCCGAGTCGGAGCCGCTGCCGTTCATGTTGTGGCCCGCCGCGCCGTTGATGTGGTCGGCGTTGGCGGCATTGTTTATGCCGTTGTTGTCGTTGCTGTGCGAGGCCTTGAGCTTCTCGTTGGCGAGGTCCAGGTCCCGCTGGTTGATGACCTGCGGGGGGTCCTCGGAGAAGTGCGTGGCCGGCATCCTGGGGCTGGGCTGCTGGTGTGAGCGCTCACCGCGTGTAAGAGAGACCAAGCAGGCGTGTGTTGTCTTGGGCGGGAAACCCTTGATCTACAACGCGAGAAGGGGGCAGCACACGGAGGATGAGAAGAGGGAAAGCAGGAAAAGGAGCGCAAAGACGGGCAACAAGGGAAACAGGGGACCAGCATGCTTTTGTATTCTTACATGCTACTACTACCTTGTCATAACTACCCCACGACACGGCGCGCGCGAGCAGCACTTGCTTGCGGTCCTCGTCCGTAAACGTGGGAATCGCCCCAAACCCCCCCGAACCGGCGCAATCCTCCATCCCTTCCCTCCAATGCGCCATGCGCGCGGACGGACAGCGAGGCCCACTTGGAGCGCCCGGAGAGGCGTGCGTCCACCGGCCGCATCCACCTGGCACTGACATCACTCCCTTTGGGGGGGAGGGGTGGGTTCGGGGTGGTAGCGGGATGATGGATGGATGCCCTCCGTCCTCAAGTCGCTCTCGGTGCGACCGAAAGCAAAAGCCTACGGGCGCATGCGTGTTTGTCTCTGCCCACGGGGAAGGGGGGGGATTGTCCTCGGAGTCTGGAGTATCCCTAGCAACGATCGCCGGCGTTGGCCTGGGCCCCTTTGTCCATGTCTCTGATGGCGGCGTCTGAGACAAGGCTCTCGCCAGTTCGCGCCGCAACCCAACCCAACCCACGCAGCCGTTTTCATCGCCCGCCGGGGGCGCCAGCGTCCACGGCTGACCCGACACAGCGCGAGAAAAAAAACCCCACCGCGACCGGCCATGTGTGGAGGGATGGAGGGGTCGTGAGACGGCTTCAGGAATCGCACCCTGATGCGTGTTGTCTTGGACTGGGCAAAGTCAGTGTTTCTTGCGCTGTCCCCTGAGTCCTGACGGCTTTTGCCCATTTCGGCCTCGGGTCTCGACTCGTCGCTTTTTTGTGCCCCTGTGTGTAACGACAAGAAGACGAGTAGAGACTGGAGGGACAAAAAAATTCCGCATGTTTACGAGACTGCCCCTGCTCCGAGTCGTAGGCATGGCGAAGCGTTACGGCGCGTGCTGGACCACCCGTCCCCTGGGGCGAGTATGGCGCTCACGATCCAAAGGGTCTGCGTCTACGGAGGCGCCGGCAAGGGCCAACGGCCGGCACGAGCGAGCGAGCGAGCAAACGAACTCCCGCCCCGTCAGCGCGCGCCGGCCGATACGGACGTCGATGTCGATGTCATGGCCGGCCGGAACGCGGCACTTATTCCCTGCTGCAAGCCAAGGGATCGCGCATCTTCGATCGGACGGGAGGCGAGGGCGCCACTTCGGAGCCAGGATGCCCAGGGGGGCCCGCGCGCAGCCAATTGCGAGCCCGCCGCGGGATGCGCCACGGCCGGTATCTGCAAGGCCTTGCCGCTGAAGGTGCGGTTCCTTGGCCCAGGGATGCCTGCAATTCTTCTGCCTGCGGCGGGTCGATGGGGCGGGCTCATGTCCGATGACGCATGCGGCAGGACTGGAAGCTCCGTCGAGCGGCCCCGACGATGGAGCGGCCTGGCCTCGGTCAGCCAGCTTCACCGTCTCCATCCTTTTTCTTCTCTTCACGAGGGGCGACTAACTTCTCACCTCTGGGGCTCCGACAATTGGTTTGTCCAACCATTGACTGAATACTGGAACCCCTCCGCATGGGCGAAGGCCGCTAGAACGCGAGTGGTTGCATTGTGACCCCGTACAATTTACGCGTGGATGGAGAGGCCGGCCGGCCCATGGGGAATTTGCAGCATGCTCCCAAGTCCCAACTCAAAATTTTCCCTCTCGTTGGTATTTCCGCTAGCCTGGTCGGTCGTTGTTAGTCTCGCATCTAACAGAAAGGGGTTGCTGCTCAGAATGCCGCCGTCGCGGGTCTGGTGCTGGCGCCCTGCCACTACGCCGGGCTCATTGGCGCGACGACAATCCTTTGCATGTCGTTTCGACGCGGGTCCGACTTTCGGAATGCGTCAATTGACCGCCTGCTAGCCGCGTTCCGGGGCGCATGGGAACAAGGTGCTGTGCCCTGGGAGTATCTCGTTTCATCACCGCACAGGTCTTGGGTGCCGCGCCCCTCTCACTCTACAGAGTCATGCACCCGCAGCAACATCTTGACAGTCGGTCTCTTGATTCAAGCCCACACTTCGCTCCTGCGGCTCTTCATCGGCGGGCAACGTTTGGCAGCGCCCGCGGTGGATGCCCCGTCGGCACTTGCGGGCAGCCATCTGTGAGCGACGTCGCGGGTGGCAGTGCAGGATGGAGGTCCCGATGTTTGTCTGCACAAGCTCCATCGTGCCCATCAAGAGTCGCGCAAACCACACATACGCCTTGTCGGCGAATTTACGTACAAGAGCAGGCACGCCGTTCGTACTACTAGTGGGGAGGCGTTTCTCAGTGCCGTGGCCTGCATCCACGACTCAAGCCCGGTTCATGATGATGAGCGCCCACCCCTGGCCGCAGCAAGCCACTGCCGCGAGGCGCTCCGCCGCCACCTTTGCATCGTCGCCTTGGCCGCCCGCCCGTTGCAGATTTATTAACGGACTGGTGGGGCTGGCAGCCGGCAGAGCAGCACACGGCCAAGCATGCCAAGTACGGAGGTCGCCCTCGGCTTGACCGCGTTGAGATCAATGCCCAGGTGTTGTGGGTCGAGACGTCCGCCCGACGGGAGGCGCCGTCTTGGAAGGAAGTCAATGGCCGGCGGAGGGACATAGTTACGTAGGCCGCCCGAGCTGGCAACGAAGCTGAGCCGCAGGGGAAAACTCGTACTTTCGGGAGTCATTGATTCGAGAGACTCCGTCATTGGTGTCTCATGAAGTCCATAAAAGATGCTCGTCATCGTCTTTCCGAGGCACACACGGCTTTGACGTCGACTTTCATGGCATCATCTACACGCACGCAATTTTGGCCGCCTGGGTTGCATGTGCCGCTTCGCCCGCGAAAAGAAGTAGGTCTTGCAATTCAGCCGTCTAGAAGGATCGAATGTCTCGTGAACATGTGTGTCTCGAACGTGCCTTCAACCTGCGCGTAGAGTGCGCAGCGGCAAGTGCCATACATGTAGGCCAGTAAACATCGCGTTGTATCTGTGTCAGGCATCAGCGACGGGGCACGAAACTTGTCGCAAATTTTGTCATTGAAACTGCCGCAGCGCACATGGCAGCCCACCGCAGTGACCCAAGTATATATGGCAATGGCTCAAGGACGGACGCTGCGACTCGGCTCGACGTGAACGAATGTAGATGGCCGCATCGTTGCGGCGCCACGACGTAGTCCTTGTATGTACCTTCTTAATTCTTTTTACATCGAATAGCCTCAAAGCGCCATATCTACCGGAGATTTGACAACCGCGCCAAGTACGAGCCATCAACTGTCTTGGCTCGCTTCTGTGAAGCACTTGACGCAGCCGTTCTGCCCTCGCGTTCCAAACATGGCTATGGAGTCTTCCGAGTTACCCGTGTCTCCCAATCATGCGAATCATGTGAATCAACACATGCATTTTTTGAGACTGCGATTCTGGCGCCACGCATACAAAGGGTCAAACACGGGCGTCTGTCTGCGAGTGGCTAAAAATGCAAAGTGAGTGCAGCGTTCTTGATAAGGCCCCCCCCCCTCGCCCCCAAAGGCTGTCTCTGCCTGGTGTAGTGAGCCTAAAGGATGCGTGATCTGTAAATCATCACCGCAATTGACCTGCGCTAAAGGAGTGAGAAAGGAGAGGAACGAGCTGAACGAGAGACACCGTAAGCATAAGGGTCTATGTGAAAGGCGGTCACTGACAGGAATGTGAATGCGCTGACATGTCAAAGCAACATATGTAGGTGCACTAAAGGACTGGGCGTGCCTCTGCTGTACTGGGCCGACACGCCATCTAACTAGCAATTGGGAAAATGGACCGAGTAGAAATGCTGACTTGAAAATTTACGGGCTTGAAGTGTATCCTCTTGCATAATATGTACGCTCAAAACCTGACCACGACATCGCGCGAAGTCGACGAGCCAGCCATGCCACCCGTCGGCAGTTCGACATCCACCTTTGACGGCGTCACCGTCCCGCGCTTCACCGCAATTGAGAAAGACGTAGAGGTAAGCTTCTGCGTCGGATCCGACAGGGTGACGCGCAGCTTCATCGCCTTCTTGTGCTTGGCGTTGCACAGGGGCTTGAAGAGGTACGCGCCCGGCTGGTCCGAGGTAATGGTGATGGAACCAGATTTGTCCCAGCCAATCTTGGCGAGGTCGACCGTGATAGACTTGTCGCCGCCCGGCCAGAAGACGAGGCTGAGCTTGTTGGATCCGGCTGCACCGCTGACCCCCGTGCCCAGAATGGGAGTGAGCGTGGGCTTTCGTGCCTCCTTGGCCAGCTTGCTACGGCTCGTCGCCGGGAACACGGCGTACGAGAAGGAGCTTTTAGTGATGGTCGTGTACCCGGAGAATATCGGCACGGTCGTTACGCCGACAGTCGACGTCGAAATCTCAGTCCAATTGCCGGTGCGGTCACCCTGAGCCAAGGTCAGGGCAAAGTCGTCACCGTACGCCACGTACCCGTTGCCACCGTAGAAGAGCGTCTTGCCCTTGGTCTGGAGCCCGTGGCTGGCATCGACCACCTTGTCATTGACCCAGACCTTGTTCGACTCCGCAGCCGCGCGATTGTCCAGAACGGTAATGACGGGCGCCTTGCCGCTGGACTTGATGTCCGAGGTAACGACGAGGACCGAGTCGTCCGAGTAGAACCACGCCTTTCTGTACGAAAAGCTTGCGTCCAGGGGATCAACGTAGTCCTCGACCGAGGTGCCCACCTTGCCGTCGCTTACGACGCCGACAAAGTCCTTCTTGCCGCTGTTGCCGGCGTTGCTGCCCGCGAGCTTGGGGGTGTTGAGCTGCGTGGTCGTGCCGGGCACCAGGTTCCAGTCCCAGGCGGCCATGATGTCCTTGTACTCATTGCCCGTGACGTATGAGAAGAGCGTTCCCTGGCCGAGGTGGAAGGCGTACGGGTTTGCGCCGTTGACGGACTCTGAGTTGGTCGATCGCACGGACAGCATCTTGTTGGTGAGGATGAACGAGTTGCGACGATGGACCTGTGATGACCATTTAGTGATTGCAAAAACACACGGAAGGGAGGGGATGGGTGAGTGTTACCATGTAGTCGCTGGCCCAGAAGCCCTTGTTGCCGACAAGCTTCTCGGTGCCGTTGGACTGAAGCCGCCTGATTGTGTCGCTCAGGTCATTGGCGCCGGTAAAGTCTTTGGTTGCGGCGGCGAGCTTCGACGTATTGAAGTTGATGTCGGCGCTGGCCTGCTTGTCCACGACTGGAAAGGCCACGAACCGGCCGATGGCATTCTGCAGGTGAATTAGTTGGCTGGTGTATACAAGCGAACTTATGAGGGCTCACAAAGTCCCAATGCTCCCTTCGAGTCTCGTAGTCGGTAAAGATCATCCATTCGTTGCCCCTGGCCTGCGCGGCAATGGCGCTACGGGTGTCGTCCGGAGCCGCAAAGGATGTGCCAATGGCCGCGCTCTGCAGCGCAATGAAGACGTTGAACTAGTTGGTGTGAGCCAAGAACTCTCGAAACCCGGGGCTTTGCGGTGCCTGGTGACTCACAAAGTCCTTGCCATAGTTGCCGTTGTACAAGATCCCGACGTGCTGCAGGAATGTGCCGTCGCGGTGCGTGCCATCTTGTTTCGGTGTGTCCGCAAAGGTCATGGTCTTCATGGTCCTGGAGTAGGCATCGGCGAGCATCGTCGCATTGTTCGTGTACAGTGCCAGGTTGACCGAGTTTTGCATGACGAGCACGACCTGCTTTCGTGTAAGCCAGTTGTTCGATGCATTCGATCCTTCATGCATCTGAGGGAGTCTTACGTTCGCTGCCGTCAGCTTCCCGCCAGTGCCGTAACTACCGTCTCTCAAGTCATAGGAGCGGCGCGGGATGCGAGCGCAACCAGCGTTCTGCGATTCGGTGAGGTTTGCGTCCTTGAGCAGCAGGCACGCGGTGGAGCAGAGCTGCGGGATCAGAATCGCTTGGCCGTACCAGTTCTACAGCTGCGTTAGCCACGCCATTTCTTGCCCCCGGAGAGATGTAAGCCTTACGGTATTCCACAGGCCAGGAGTGCCGCACGGGCAGCCGGCATTTCTGAGGCGTGCCGTTAGCCTTTGTGTCCCCGAGTAATAAGAGTGTTGGTTAAGCACTTACCCGCCGTTGCCCATGCAGTCTGCAGGCTTGTAGTCATTGTCAAACCAGTAGTCCAAGCCCTTGGAAATGGCCGACATGAGGTCCTCGCTGCCCTTCCACTTTGCGTCAATGGACGGGTTCGCGCCGCTCCATGCCGCTGCAAAGGTGATGACACGGTTCCAGTGCTCTTGGATGGGCCAGTTGGCACGTTCTGAATAGAATGTATTATTAGCGAACAGGAAGGTTGTATAACCGGCGAGAGCTTGTGTGTGCGATCGCGTCTTCGTGAACCTCAATTCTTGGGACACTTACGAGCTGCGCAGCCAGAGAGGTAATTGACGTCGCTCCAAGTGCCATCGCTCTTCTGGGCGGCCAACCACTTGTCAATGTTCGCGATCAAGGGCGGATCCGGAAACTGCGCGACGTTGGCCAGCTGCCTCTGCGCAACGAGGGCAACCTCATCGTCCAGGCTCGCGGCGCGTGCCACCCCCGAGAAGAGGAAGCCGGCGCCAATGAGGCGCATACAACTGAAGACGGACGCTCTCATCTTGATCCTGACCGTCTAAGAATCCGCGATGACACCCTACATCAGCAATTGACATTCGCTGGAGCACCCAGCCGCGTTCTTGTACTCCCGCGCCCAGGGTCCCAATTCTGCACTGGCGAAGATGCAACCCGCGCGCCGGAATCGATACCATTGGTGGACAATTCGACAGCGGCGACGATTGGCGGACAATTGGAGCAGGGCGACTGCTTTGACAGGGACCGGGAGGAACCAAGAGGGGGACAGTTCAGGGCTTGCCAGGGCTCAGGAACCGCCCCTGCTGTTTACCCCAGACTTCCCCCGCAGACCGTGGCGTCGGGAGCCGGGTGCCCACTGGGCTGTTTGCTGCCTCTCCGCACCGCTAGTCGGGCGTTGGCGTCTTGGGAGCTTCTTACAGAGACGATGGGGGACGTGGAAAATCCTCAGCCGACGGCTCTACGGCACGTCATCGATTGAGGGGAATTGAGGCTAATGAATGGATTGGTGAGCCGTGTTCGGCTATTGAATGGGTTAAGGACTCTCATGTTATTATCGGCGGCTGCATGAAAATATCGGCAAGCCCAGCATTCCGGAATCGGCAACCAAATGTCATGCTTCGGCACTCGGGGCCTTGCCCGTATCCGTGGACAATATTGGTGCAGGTTCTTCATCCTACGAAGAGCAAAAACAAAATCACTGATATGAGACGAAGAAAGACATCTGTCATCGGGCAACCACTGTTCCATGTAATCGCGAGGTGCTGCTACTCGGCAATGGGGCACGAGCCGAGAGACCGGTTCTTGACCCTCTCCGCTTCAACAGAAACGTCAAACTCGAAAATGTCCATCGGCAAGCCCAGCGTCGTGCACGCGTTTGGAATATCCACAATCCCCGCGATCGATCCCCTGATGGGCGCGCAAGACAGCAGCAGGTATATCTGCTCTCCAGAGTATCCTATAGCACCGAGTCAGCATGTGCGCTGCCACCACTATGTTGGAAGCCCTCTCCCCCTCATAAGACGACCCTGTGCAAACAGAGACACGGTCAGTGGCAGACCATGGCATGGGCTTTCTTACCAAACTGCTTCAGATACTCAATGGTCCGCAGGCACGCCTGGCGGTACGCCACCGTCGCGTCGAGAAAGTGCTGCTTGCCCGATTCGTCGACCGAGAAGCCCTCAAAGGTGAGGTAGCGCGATGGGCCGAACTGCGGAGCCACGTCCCCGGGCCGGAAGACGGGGCTGCTGATGGCGCGCTCCTTCATGCCGTTCTTGATGAGGTCGAACTTGATGGTGATGATGCCAGCCTATGTTCGAACATGCAGTCAGCCTTCTCCTCAAAGCGCCCGGTAAAACGTCTTGCCAGAGATGAAGGACTCACCATTTCGATGGCACCGCAGAAGCTTATCTCGCCATCGCCCTGGCTAAAGTGCAAGTCTCCCACGGAAAACTTGGCCCCGGCAACGTGCACAGGGAGGTATGTCGTCGACCCCCTGGAAATGACATTCACGTCGCAGTTGCCGCCATGCTCCGGCCGGCCGGGAATCGTCCTCGCTCCCTCGCGCGCAATCTTCTCCCTCAGCTCCCCCGTCGCGTTGCCCGCATGCGCATTCGTCTGCAGCGGCGGCTGCGCGACAATCTGCCCGGGATGCGACTGCGCACACGCCGAGATGAGCTCGCCCTCGCGCGCGTTCCACGTCTGCAGCAGCTCTGCCGACGGCGCGCAGCCCAGGATCCCCGGGTGGATGAGCCCCGCGAAGCGCACCCCAGGGATGTGCCTGCTGGAGCAGTAGATGCCGTCAAAGTCCCAGATGGCCTTGCATGCCTTGGGGTAGTGCCGGTCGAGGAAGCCGCCGCCGTTTTCGCGCGCGAACACGCCCGTGAAGCCCCACGGCGAGTGCTCAAACGGCTGCACGTCGGTGATGTTGACCACCAGCAGGTCGCCGGGCTCGCTGCCCTCGATGTCAAAGGGCCCGGTCAGGTAGTGGATCCGCGTGAGGTCGACGTTCTTGACGTCGTCGGCGCTGTCGTTGTTGCCAATCTGCCCGCCGGTCCAGTCCAGGCATTCGATCTTGACGGTTTCGCCGGGCTTTACGGACGCGATGGAGGGAACTGTGTTGCGTCGGTCAGCCACTCTAATTGAGATTGCTTGTCGACTAACTGTCTGGATGCCATCGATTATGGAGATTTGGCTGCTCAGAAGCCGGCACATCGAGCGACACCGACTGAATAGTGCGAATCTTCGGCATGTTGGCGACTTCAATTACTTTCACGATTGTTGGACTCTTGCAATGTCTTTTCTTTGGCCGTCGTGACTGCGCAGCTTCATCCCAGAGGGCGTCGCAGGTCAACAGATATGGGCTCCATCAATCATCTACCCCGCAAACCTCTGACACGGCACACGCTCCATCCTTATCACAATGAGCGCGTGGGCGCGGCTCCTCGGCTGCCAGGTCGGGGTTCGGGATGTTCGCCCAGGAATCGCTCATTGGCTCCCGCTCGCGTTGAGCTGAGGAGGGGGAAGCGACGCAGCTTAAGCTTTGCAGTATTTCGAGTCGAAGCCACGGGAGCTGCCAAGCTGGGACGAGCTAAGAACCGTAGATATGCGAGGACGTGCGGGGGAGATGGGTGTGCCATTGCGTGGTTTCCCACAAAGTAGCTACTCCGTTTGTAATAATACACAGATCAAGACGGAGAGGGGAATCTCTGGTATGGCGGTTCACTGCGGCCGCTACGCCACCAGGGCATTCATTATATGCCACGTCACGTACGCCTCCGCCCAGGCATCAGAATCCTAGCACCTTGGCCCTGTCCTCCGCAGGTCCGGTCCAGAGCCCAGCGGACCCGAACGGGGTTACTTCCTTGTATCCGAGGAGCTTCTTGGCGCGGTCTGATAACGTCCTCGCCACCTCACGTTCGATAAGCAGCGGGAACGCTTCCTCGGGCGTGAAGCAGCTGCTGACGACCGTCATGGTCATGACTTTGCGATGCGAGTCCGTCGTTATATTTGCGCCGCCCTGGTGAACGACGCGACTCCCGATGAGCAGACAGTCGCCCGCCTTGAGCGGCACCGCTACGGCGTCGTCCTCTTCCCAGCTTGCTGCCGACTGCTCTTCTCCATCTCCTCTGTAGGATAGCCGTTGACTTCCAGGAATGACACGCGTCGCGCCGTTCTCGACAGTAGTGTCCTCCACGGCGACGAGAAAGTTGAGCATAATCTCTGGGTCGCCGGGCGACATGTTCCAGAACGGCCACCATTGCGCGCCGTCCACGTGGAGAGGCTGCGCAAGGCTTCCGGGCCCGATTTCGATGACATGCGCCATGCTGAGCCAGTAGTCTCCTTGCTGCTTTCCGAGACCCTCGTGGCATATGGCGTGAAATGCGACGTCGTTAATAATGTCCTCACGCCAAGTCCGACTGTGGGATGCGAGATTGTAGAGGCGCTTTGTGTTCTCTCCATGCAGGTCTTGGAGATCCGGATCAGTGCCCCTGTGCCCTGGGCGGAGGTTTAGGAGTGGCGCGGTGATGTCTTTGTTGAGACGTTTTGTTATTTCGGGTGTCAGGAAGCCTTCAATTATGCATGCGCCGTCTCCTTTCTGTGCGGTAATGATGTCTCTCGGCGACGCGGCTCGTGAGAAACGACTGAAGCGTGCATCAAGATTGAGGCCGGGACGGCATGACAAGATGCCGTTGAGACGACCGCATCGGGTGACACCCTCGAGGCCGACAATCCCTCTCTGCGCCAGACGCAGCGCGTGAGGCATACTGGCCAGGCAGTTGCCGACGACTTGTGCTGAGAGCTCCGGTTGAGTCTGACCCGTAATCACTATTTTGACCGTTCTGTTAGGCCGGTTGTTGCTCTGAGGTTGCCTCGAGCCCTTTATAGACTTTCTCGGCGTGTGTCCTGCCACGCAAGTCATGACCGCAAGTTCGGACATTCCGAGTCCGAAGCATTGCAGTTCACGCGGATACATTTGCGGCCTGATGAGGCCAACCCGCAAACTCAGCCACTCTCCTCACGAACACGGTGCAATACGAAGCCAAGCAGTTACATCATGTCTTGAATTACTCTGCTGGCTAACCCAATGCTGGCGAATTAATGGTGGCTCAGAGGGGCTCAATCACGGCCGTGATGTTCTTACAGGTGATCCTTGTGTTTCGCACACGGTCATCACGCACGATTCCGCATCCTAGACGTCCTCCTTCCTTTCCACTGGTCCGGGTTCGACGGTTTTCATATCAGTTACAGGTGCCGCCTCAAATGGCGGAGGTGCATAGGCTGGCGGCGCGATCGCCTCATTGATGACTGGCTCAGGCTGTTCAGGTTGTCGGCCGTCAGGCGGGTGCAGAATCTCGATGGGAACTTCAAACTCGAGCTTCTGCTTCTCGCCTGCTATCGTGTAATTTATTGACCACTTCCAGCTGTTTGTGTGTCGGATGCTGTATGTCGCGAAACCAGGACGCAGGTACTGCGCAGTGCTGACGAGCTTGTCTCCAGCACAGAGGCCTCGCGACGTCAGACGCAGCTGAAGTCGTTGGCCGATATCGACTGGCGTGTCGCCTGGGGCGGAAGGGATGGTGAGCACTTCGCCCAGCCGTGCAAATACCAATTCGATTCCGAGATTGGCGCTGCTGCGGTGGTTGTCGTCGTGAGGGCTGCCGGACCAGTTCCCCGGGGCGAGCACTTGCGTGTTGGCCTTGATGGTCACCTTGATGTGATTCAACGTGACGATCTGGACGACGTCTTGGATCTCCGCGCTTGTCTGCTGGGCTGCCGGCTCGACGAGCAGCTGAATGGGCAGCGGCAGCGGGTTATCCAGCTGAACGACCGAAGGCACCCAGACATGCAGCTTAAAGTTGAATTGCGGGACCTTGGACGAGCCAAAGAACTTTTGACTCTTTTGCTTGAAGGACAGCTCCGCAGACTCCTGCCCGGGAATCAGGCGATAGGACCGCACGGAACGAGGCCAGGGTTTTTGCATCGGGCGGAAGTCCAGAATGGGCTGCGCCGTGCTGGGGTGCCTGATGATGATGGGCTGCGTGGCCGTTGCCACCGAGATCGATCCCTTGTGGGCGAAGCGCATCGTAGTCTCGAGGTAGTACTCGACGTAGCACTCGGACCTGGTGGAGAGGCCGTGATCCGACGACGTAAACGTCCCCGGCAGCGGGTGCTTTGGCATCTCCTCCGGCGTCATGCGCAGGAAGCTGCATTCCTGCGACAATCCCTGCGCACTAGCAATCATAGGCGAAGTAGGAATCGTCAACGAAAAAGGCCAGCTCTGCGCCTCGCCGCCCTGCGGGATGTGCACCGGCCCGTGGAAGACGACGCGCTGCGTCTCGGCGGCCGCCGCCGTGAAGAAGTTGACCCGGCTGCGGTAGACATCGTGCCTATTGTTGCCACGGCTGACCGTGATCTTGACCTTGACGCGGCCCTGCAGGCGGACGGTGACGGTCGCTTCGGGGGCGACGAGGGCGAGCTGGCGCGTGACGCTGCCGATGATGGTGTCGCCCGCGGCGAAGGACCAGTTGGGCGGCGCAGCGAGGCTGATGCCGAGGGCGAGCGACGATGTTCTGATGGTCGGGGGCATTTTGTCTGATGCGGTCCGACGCGTCTGAATGCTTGCGGCACTTGGTCAGCGGGCGTTGCGATACATGGATGCGCTGCTGCTGCTGCTGGAGAGCTCCCAGTTGTTGATGGTAGGATGCCGGTGTCGGTGCAGGGTTGAATGGTCGTTCGGCGGTTGCCCGTTCCATGCAGCGTCATTCTTCAGTCCTCTGGGCAGGAGTCATCAGCTTCCCCTGCTGGTCGCGGCAGGCGGCGTTGGACCCCGGGCGGCAGTGTGCGTCATAAGCGCGAATCCTTCTCGTTGAGTGACAGGGCCGAGTCAAGTGTTTTGTTGGAGCATGTTAGTGAGGGGAATGAGCCGCTTGGTGGTGGCACTCCGCTCTTTCTTTGCCAGCCCGGCTTGCCATTTACTGTAAGCGCACGAGATGGTTAACATGAGAGGTGATGCACATACAACACAAACAAAAATAGAACCCCACAAGATGTAGGTACGTGCCATCAGGGTGACTCCTGAGCGACTCTGGCATATTTACTAAGACCAGTCTCTCACTAACGAAGCTAGATGAAGTGATGATGGTTTACTTCAACAGAGGCCTGGTCCCAGGACAAACAGCCCCACCCCCCCCCCCGGCGCAACATTCCCCCAGCAGCCATACCCTGACACCTTATTATGTTTAAAATTTTGATTGGCGAGGCAATCATCACACAATGAAGACGGATTCCCCTCTTCACGTATCTTCAACGAGTCGTCGGCATCCAAACGAAGCGGCTTTGAGCTGGTGCCGATTCGGCACCGAGTGACAGTAGCGCGTGGGCTCCTTAAACCCGAGTCCACTAAATCACAATCTCCAGCGACCTCACCACCTAAAGTCCACGTCTCCAGGTGGAGTTGACACCTGTGAACCCCCTGTAGAAGGGTCCACTGGCGCCTTTATGTCCGGCACCATGCTCCCCTTACACGGTGTTGAAGCGACGATATAAATCTGTCGTGAGCCAAGCTACTGTGAAGACTGTCTAAACCAGACGCACCGCTCTTTCTCATACTTGTTTCCCGGATTCCTTTTCCTGGATCATTCCAGTCAACATGTCTTCCAAGCAAAACACGGCGGCTGCCCACCCGCCGGCCAAGACGGCGCTCCTCCTCCTCGACTACCAAAACTACATCGTCAACATGATCAACCCTCCCGCTGTCCAATCCAAGGTCGTCGAGGCAGCCGGCGCCTTGCTCAAGGCCGCCCGCGAGGCCTCGGCACCCATTTTCCACTGCCACATCGACTTCGCGTCTGAGCCCGTTCCGACCAGCAAGATCACTGATCGGTGGGAGTCCGCCCTGAAGCCGATGCTCGCCAGCAGTCCCGAGCAAGGCCAGGAGTGGCCGGCGCTTACACCGCCAGCCACGGCGGCAGACAACGAACACACTGTCGCAAAGAGGCCCGGTTGTGTTTCTGCAATGAAGTCCAAGGATATCCTCTCGCTGCTTCGCGACAAGTACAAGGTTGAGAGCGTTGTCATGTGCGGCCTCATCACGAGCGGCGCCCTGGTGAGCACCGCTAGAGAAGCGGCGGACCTGGGGTTCGTCACGACGGTCGTGGAGGACGGGTGCTGGGACTATAACCCCGACGCCCATAGAGTCATCATCGACAATGTCGTGCCCATGACCGCGTGGGTCGCCAGCCTGGAAGAGGCATTGAAGTTGTACAACAATTGATACAGTTCTCGCCAACCGCTTCGGGAGGGACGCGGCAGCGCTGTCACTCTTCATGATGTTCACCACCCGTACTACGAGCGAGGATCCCGTATTAAAAATGATTTACAAATGAAAACTATGTACATGGAAATAAAGATCCAGTCTGTGATAGTGATAGTAGTAATGATGATGATGATACTGCAAGTACCTTTACTTGCTCGGGTCCAGTCGGCATCCTAGCGGAATACTCGCCTGTTCATACACTCCACAGCCTCCTGCCCCGTCCTCTTCTTGGCATTAAGACACCTCGTTACCTCTGACGAGGCAAATGGTCCTAGGTCCCAATGGCATTGTCTCGCGGCATGCGCGTACTGGGCGGCCTTTACGCCGGGAAGTTCGCGGCAAGAATGCGGGAGCTCTTCCAGGCACACATCCTTCACGGTGTCCCAGATGCATTGCATCACAATTTTTCCGTCGGTCCTGTCGCCAGACTTTCGACCGGCCACACAGTGGCTCACCAGCGATGAAGCCCAGCCAAGCCTATTAAGGCAGGGCTTCACGTCGCCGTCCCAACGCCAAAAGACCCTTTCGTATCTCATGTCGCAGGCCCTAGGCAGGCGCTGTATGCACTTTCGCCGTGGCTTGCAATAGTATGGGTCCTCTGGGTTTGGCAGGCCAGTCGCGTGCAAAATGCACTTGAGAATGGCGTCTCCGCTTGCAACCTCTTTCTGGGTGCATTTCAGTATTTCGTCGTTGGCGAATGCTCCGAGGCTCTTGACACATGCATCGACTATGGGATGGAGGCCCAAGTCAACGCCCTTGAGGTCCTGGCAAGCTTGGGGAAGCACCTGGATGCAGCTTTGCGGAAGCGTCCTGTTCAGGCACGCGACGATATCCTTGCCCTCGGTGCTGTCGGTGATTTTCTCTGGGCGGAGGCACGTGGCCACACTCGGGAAGCTCGCGGCTGTTCCCAGGGCTTGATAACACGCGGGGAGCAGAGGAGTCAGTTCGTGACCATAGGGCGGGTCAGACTCCGGGCCTGGGGCCAACTCGAGGCAAGCCCGGGGGAGGTCCCGGCTAGGGCATAGGCCCTTCGCTGCTGCGCAGTTCCCCGTGGGTTGAGGAGCACTCCATGTCCGAGTTATGGCGGTAGAGAAGCCACCCTTGGTCGTTGACCGAGTGCTTCCGGGATGAGTCCGTGTGGGAGCTGGTGCAGAGCCGGTCTTGGTCGTGAAGGACCGGGTGCTGCCTGGGTGGCTTGTTGCGCCGCTGGAATGTGAGGAGCACGTGCATCCCGGCTCGCTTGTCGGATGAGTGGTTCCTGGGTGGCTATGAGTCTTGCTAGACTTGGTCGGCGCAGGTGGCAGGCCTGTGTGTGTGCTTCTCGAAGTATGCGAATGTCCTGGCGTTGTCATTGATCGCGTCCAGGTTCTAGTGTTGGTGGAATGAGTGGGAGTTTGGGTCCTTTTCGAAGTGTGCGAATGTCCCGGTGTGGACGAGCGAGTCCAGGTTCTAGTCGAGTGAGTAGGCGTCTGGGTGCTCTTTGAAGTGTGCGAATGGCCTGACGTCGTCGTCGGGCGAGTCCAAGTTTTAGTTTTGCTCGAGTGAGTGGGCGTGCCGCTCGGTTTCGAGGACGACCTGGTACTCCCTGGGTGGCTTTTGGTGCTGCTCGAACGAGTGGGCGCAGGTGGAAGGCTAGTCTGGGTAGTTGACCTAGTCCAAGTCTTGGTGTCGCTAGAACGAGTGAGCGTGTGGCTTGGTCTCGAAGATGACGACCTGGTGGTTCCCGGATGGCTCTTTGTGCTGCTTGAGGGAGTCGGCATAGGCGGAGGGTTACTGTGAGTTGTTGGCCGAGTCTGGGTCCTAGTCTTGCTAGAATGGGTAGGCGTGTGACTCCATGTCGGTTTCGAGGATGATGGGCCCGTGCTTCCTGGATGGCTCTTAGTGCTGCTGGACCGAGTGGGAACAGGCAGAGTCCAGGTTGTGCTCCACGTAGGCAAGCTCGTCGAAGGGTGTGGCTTGGTTGTCTTCGATCTGGTGCTTCCCGGGTGGCTGCTCCTGCTAGAACGGGTAGTCGTGTAGCTCGGTTTCGAAGATGACTGAGTGCTTCCAGGGCGGCTCCTTGTGCTACTAGAACGAGTGGGTGCAGGCGGAAGGCTGGTCCGAGTTGTGCTCAATGTACGCGAGCTCGTCGAAGGGTGAGGTTTGGTCGTCTCCGATTTGGTGCTTCCTGGGTGGCTCCCGGTGCTAGAACGAGTGGGAGTATAGCTCGGCTTGGAGGACGATGACCTGGTGCTTCCTGAGCGGCTCCTAGTACTGCTGGAATGAGTGGGCGTGGGCGGCGGGTTAGTCCGAGTGTCACTGGACGAATGAGACGAGCATGGCCTAGTCACTGACGTTTTCGTGCTTCCAGGGTGGCTCCTGGTGGTACTTGAACGTGTAGGGATAGGCGGAGGGTTGGTCTGGGTTCTGCTCGTTGTACGTGAACTTGGCGAAGAATGCGGCTTGGTTGTTGACGACTGAGTGCTTCCCGGACCACTCTTGGTGCTGCTCGAACGAGTGGGGGCAGGTGGAGGCTTGGTTTTGGTCTTACTTGACGTGGTTGAGCTTCGGGACGGCGACGATTCAGTTCTTGACGAATGAGTGCTTCCCGGGCGGCTCCTAGTACTGCTGGACTGAGTTGGCACAGGCGGCGGCTTCGTATGCGTGGAGCTCCGAGTGTGCGACGGTGACGAGGTTGTCGTGCCAGGCTTGGTGCGCGACTGAGACGACTGAGACCGGCTGGGCGATGTCGTCGTTACAGAAGGGGAGTGGCTGGGCCGAGACGAATGCTTGGTGCTCGTTGTCCCTGGCGGGGCGTGACTGGAGGAGCTGGGCGTTCCCGGAGGAGGGCAACTGCACGTCCGGGCAGGCGGGGTTCCAGTACCGCCTGGCACGGTGTGAGTTGGCTCACCAGTCCTGAACTCACGTTAGCAAGCAACTCCTAGGGTCTGATGAAGGAAGCACTACCTCCGGGTAGTAATGATGTTGGTCTTTGTCACAACCGTATGAAACGGTGCGGCTACCTCCGTGACATCCACCGTGATCCCTTCGTCAATGACGATGTTGGTCTCATGTGGGAATAGACCCGCAACAAGAACAGGGGTCAAAGACTGCACTTCAACATCCTGAACGTAAGCGGTCTCTGGGCAAAGGCATTTTTCTTCATGTCCCTTGTCCGCATTGGACAGGCCAGCGACACCTGCGGCGAGACTGGCCGTGGCCAGGAGGCGGTACCAAGCCATCCCCGTCTCAGAACACGCACCAAGCGGTATAGAAAAAAAGAGTTGATAATATCCGATCAAATGAATAGACTTGTGACGGCACTTCACTGTTGCGAACTGGATCTGAAAGTAAAAGCGATCTACTGCCGGGCATCTTCCCCCTTCTTATACACCATCGACCATTGGGGTGATCGCGTCCCATGTCAGGTCTTAGTCCCACCAGACGCGTTCCCATCCGCGGGTGACGCGGGGGAAAAGATACGTCCTGAAAATCTTATGCCTGGGTCAATCTCTCGCGGGCATTAAGTTCAAACTTGCTACAATGGTCCCGCGATCTCCGCTTCTGCGGCGGCATTCATGTTCGAATTGAGTAAGGGAAAATCACTCACGTCCGCTCCAAGAGGGTAATTCTCCCCACATTGAGACTATACGCTTTCCCTTTATGCAAATCCCGATTTCCTGGCATGCGCCTTAGCCAAAGTATTACCCGCTACCCCACGTTCTCACCTGCAACGTGCAGAGACTCAGGATCAATCGTGGTACCAAAAGATCATCGTTGAGTCGATTGCACCAGTTGATATCCGAGCTTCAACCCATTCATCAAGACCAACTGGTTGAGTGTTGAGGACGCTTTCGGAGACCTATGTCCTCATGCGTCCCTGCGTTTCAGGCTATCTCACTAGACGTAGCAGTGAAGTTTATGTCGCGGGGTGCCTCGCGATATGTATTTCCATGATCCGTTCTCAGGATGCATGTATGATAACAGGCTCACTGCATACATGTATACACTGCAAAAGTGCCCTCTGCTTCGAAGACATCATTGATGGTCGATAGTCTTTGCTGTATTCGCCAATGTTGAGGCAGTCGTACATGCGGGGTGATACGCGTCCGACGCGTTCGTGCGGATACATGTGGCTTTTGGGCACTTTCCTGTAACAGTTGGGTTGCTGCAGCTTTCAGGCCAGCTCTAAAGTCAATTGCTCTCGGCTCAGAATCTGCGGTGTGGCTTTGCTCTGGAGGCGGATACATTCCCCAGCTGATCTGATCTTGTGATCTGGGCCGCGGGTGGCCCTTCGAACTGGTATAAGAATTGCCAGGGCTCATTACTCTCGTACTTCCCACGAGCTTCCTATTGATGCGCAAATACCCAAGCTTCTAATTGAGAATCTATTGTTCGCCTTGTTTATCTCAGTCTACAAAATGCGTTTCACTTCGCTGTCTCTATCGTTATTTCTCACTGGCGCTCTCGCCAGTCAGCTGGAAAAGGACCCTTCGCCTCGTCCTACCGTCTTGTCTACCTTGCCAGCTATCACGTCCACCCGCATTGCGCCTACCAGTACTTGGCTTGGGATGAACAGCTTGGAGTCGCCGGTTGCGCCTGTTTAAGCTCCTTATCGTTGAGATGGGCTGGTGATTGTTAAGAACACTCTCAACAAAGGTCATACTCACTCTACTCGGCGTTTTGTTCACGCGTTAATCACTGCAAACGTCGCCAGCGGAGTACTCGTCAAATATCCTTTCGCTGACCATGGAAAGCAGCCTACAGCGACGAGACGCAGGTATGCTTTCGATGCAATGAATGAGGTGCAGGCTGCTGCTTGCCGTGGCAACTTGCCTGGCGACGTACAGAGGGGGAAAGGAAAGTGTCTCGTAACAAACCCACGGGGCACATAGCACAGAGCCACGTGTATACGTTTCACAACTCATGTAGCGCTCCTATTTGGGCGTTCGTCTTTCGGGAACAATCTTTGGAATTCTTTTGGTTCTGTCTTGTCTTGTAGATTGCTTCCAGTAGATGTACCTTTTCACATAGACACCGAGAGCTGTATATCTGTTCAATATCGGATTTGATATCAGTAAATGCAGTTCGTCTCATCTACTCTCGTGTTTCTGGGACTTTTGGCTTGTCCAATAATCGCGCCAAAACACCATTCAATTTTGCGGAGAATATTGACGCGTATGCGCACATCACGCGGTCTGACTTTATTTCTTCGTCTCCAACACTCTCTAACTTCATGCCACACGGCCCATGTCGCTGCTAGAGTTCGATCTCGAAGCTGCTATCTGGTCAATATCTCATCATGCCCTTGAATTGCGCGAGGCGACTTTCACCTGATGCCGACAGGGCGAGCACAGTACAACATGTAAGTCTAAACTCAATGTTCGTATTGGACTCAATCACTACGTTCCCGTTCTAGTTCTGCAAACATCCGGCTCGACCTGATTCCGCAAGCCACCGCATACACTCAAACCAATGAGGAGCTTACAAGCTGAACGTCCAGCGTCCGCGTTTCGGATGCCATACGAACTTGACGTGATGATCTTTCGTACGGGCCCACGTGCCGGCGTGCTTCGTGAACGCGTGTAAGCCACTCCATCGGCTCCATGATGCTTAGAGTGTACGAAACGCCCCAATTGTTGGGTCGTGCCATTGCAGGTGTGGCTTGACTCGTTGCTGGACACGGTGATGCACTGTACCTTGGGGGCATGTGCGCGCTGGATCCGCGTCTTTCGCAGAACTCTAGACGCGTCGCCTGGCGCTTCACTGTGGTCACGCAATTTGCGTACTGATACACCCGGCGCTTGTCGGCACCAGAGGACTTGTATATGAGGCAATACACATGCTGTTTCTGTCAAGTGTATACCACATGCAGTCAGGCTCTTGCGCAGGTCATTCATGAAGCGCCGTGGCTTATTTTTGGCTACTAACTCGTCTTGATTGTGCCGGAATTCTGAAACCGGGTTTCAAGAAATGTGGGCAAGTTCTCCATCCCGGCGTGCTGTCTCCCGCACCTCGTCTTTTCTCATCCTCCCAGCGCCGACATGTATCCAGTCCATGTCCCACTGCACAGCTCCTTTCATATGAGGATTGCGATGTCTCTACAAGCATGTACATGTACGCTATCAATTCGTAAACGCTTGCAAAGTCTCGGTGCTAGCATCGAGTAATTGATGCGTTGTGTGTTCGCGCATGCCTCGAGCCATCTTTCATGTTGGCAATGGACTCCAAGCCAAGGGTCTCGGTCAGGTCTGGGCCTACAGCACGGTGTGCCGGCGGCCCAAAGCGGAGAGCAGCCAAGCCAGGCCGAATCTGCCAACAATTTTGCCCAGGTTTTCGTCCAATTTCACACACGAGTCACACGATCAGATTGCAGTGACGACGGGCGGGCGTGGCTCAGACCGACAGCCCGCCAAGCCCAGGACTCTTTCCTCGTTGTACAAGCACAATGCAGGTTGAGGTGAGAGCAAGACATCAAATGTGATGGGCATGCGGTGTTGCAAGCTGACCGAGCATCGGCTGCTCCGATAGGATCTGCCAAATCCGCCCTCTGCGAATTCGTCATTGTTCCTCCCCGCTTCCACAGCCGGTTGCGAGTCGTGATAACGCCCGTTCGAGACACAGAATCGCCGATCACACGACGTTATGCCAACCCAGGAAGCTGGACTTGCAGGCACCATGCAGGGAATCCCCGCCTCTGCCTATCTGCGCCAATGACGCCCTTGCCGATGACGGCTCACGGCAGCTTCCATCGTCGAGCTGCGCAACAGCCGCGGGCGTCGATTGAGCCGACGATGGACAGTTCCCTGCGGAGCTGTCCAAGCTTCCGCAAGATGACAGAGTAACACAGTCCGAGCTCATTCCCTCCCGTATATCAATTGAGCGACCACCCCACCACGGCCGGCTGCTCCCCCAGCAGCTCTGAGACCCCCCTCGGACACGTTCCAATTGTGCTGGCGACGTGCTGGCAACCTCTACGCAATGGTTCAGATCCAAGCTGCGTCTGCGGCGCCGCTGCTGTTGGCCTTTTCCAGCTTGCTGTGCGGGGGGCTCTCTACACCGGTTCATCCAGGCAGAAAAGTCCCCAAGCTCGGCGCGGTAGCTTCAGAGGCCGGAATCTGTAGCAGGATTGGAACCAGGCTGCTCGAGGATGGCGGCAACGCGGTCGACGCCGTGGTCGGAACCGTCTTCTGCATCGGCACTGTCGCCATGTACCACAGCGGGATCGGCGGCGGCGGCTTCATGTTGCTCAGGACCAGCAACGGCACGTACGAGTTTGTCGACTTTCGCGAGACCGCGCCCGCCGCTGCGTTCGAGGACATGTACAAGAACAATACCCAGGCCAGCATCCTTGGCGGGCTCGCGAGGTACGCTTCGTCAAAGCAACATGACAGATTCTAGCTAACGCGCACAATCAGCGGTGTCCCCGGAGAGCTCAGGGCCACCGAGTACGTCCACAAAAAGTACGGCAAGCTCAGGTGGGCAGAAGTCATTCGCCCGTCGATCAAGCTCGCCAGGCACGGATTCGCCGTCACGCAGGATCTCGTCAAGTACATGAACAGCGTGACGCCAAACAACAAGTTCTTGACCGAAGACCCAACCTGGGCCATCGACTTCGCCCCGAACGGGCACCTCGTCCAGCTCGGCGAGACCATGACGCGAAAGCGCTACGCCGACACGCTTGAGACGATTGCGCAGCACGGCGCGGACGCCTTTTACACCGGCCCGATCGCGAGGGCCACCATCGCCGCGCTGCAGAAAGCAAACGGCACCATGACGATGGAGGATCTCAAGAACTACACTGTTGCGCATCGCGAACCGCTTTCCATCAAGTATCGCGGGTTCACTCTGACGAGCACCAACGCCCCGTCGGGCGGCGTCGTTGCGCTCAGCGCACTCAACACAGTCAGCGGCTACGATGGCTTCGGAGACCCGGCGCAGATCAATCTGACTACGCATCGGCTCGACGAGGCTATTCGTTGGGCGTACGGCCAGCGCACGGAGATTGGCGATCCTTCGTTCGTGGACGGCATGTCCGACTATACGAAAAGCATGATCTCCGCCGAGACGGGCGCCACCATTCGCTCCAAGATTGTCGACGTGCGAACGCAGAATGTGTCATACTATGATCCTAAGGGTCTCGAGTCTCTCGAAACACCTGGCACGTCACACATCGTGGCGGCTGACGCGACCGGGCTTTCCATCAGCATGACGACGACGGTCAACCTGCTTTTCGGCTCGCAGCTCATGGTGCCTGAGACGGGCGTCATCATGAACAACGAGATGAACGACTTTAGCATCCCCGGCGTGAGCAACAGTTTCGGATACATCCCCAGCCCCGCCAACTTTGTGCGCCCCGGCAAGCGGCCGCTGTCCTCCATCTCGCCCATCATTGTCGAGAAAAACGGCAAGCTGTATCTCGCGGTCGGATCTGCCGGCGGCAGCCGCATCACGACTGCGACGATTCAAAACGTGCACCACGTGCTGGACCAGAACATGACCATCGCAGAGGCGCTCGCCGAGCCGCGGCTGCACGACCAGCTCAGCCCTGATGTCGTGTCTTTCGAGTATGCGTACGATAATTCGACCGTGGCGTACATGAAGTCGCTCGGCCACAACGTGACGTGGGTTGCCCCGGGGCAGAGCACCGCTCAAGGGCTGCGCCTGTTGCCGAACGGTACTTTTGAGGCTGCGGGTGAGCCGCGACAGTATGCTTCTGGAGGTTACGCAGTGTAAGCAGGAGTAGGAAAGGGTACATAGTTGGTGGCGATGGGACGACGCCGGGGCAGTCAGTGGTCAAGGGTGCAATCATCCGATGGCAATGTCGGGCGGCAATTGCTGTGGCGGCAATCGGTCTTGTAGATATAGTGAGTACAGTACGAGTTAATATAGGAGGCAATTGCCGTATCCTGCATCACACATCAAGAGTTCGAGGCCAAAGCATCACGGGCTAGCTTGTATAAGCGGCAACAGGTTGCAACGTTGTAGCGGACATCTGGGGCCGATCTGTCATGCTTCCCATGGCGGAAGGTCGTTAACGATCAGACAGATCAACGGCGGCATCATAGCTGCCGATCACATCCTTTAGGCACTGCATCACACCCGGAACGAGCTGCCGAGCGGGGTTCTCGCCTCTAGCACTCAGTGCAACCGACAACGTCTGTCCCGCCGGTTCAACCCGCATGCAACATGACGGCTACAGGTATGCAGGGTGCTAGCATAAACTGTGTGAATCGGGGTATTCCCGTCGGTTCTTTGACTTGGCATTCATTTGAGCGCTTCCAAGTCCACGGCAATTGAGAAACAGCGAGCCATCGTATAAGTGCGCTTCATGCAGCATGCCGTACTATCTAGTCATCATTTAGGATACAGAAGCTGGCCGTGAAAGCACATCATCTCATTTTACAAGCGGTTCAGTGACCTGCGACGGCTGAATCATGAGGTCTTCCTTATTGCTCTCAACGATACTGACGGCTGTCCCGTCGACGGCTCTGTATACCGTCAAGCCAACGTCTCACAGTGGCGGCACGCCAGATGTCTCTTTCGTCAGCTTCTCAATCGAATTCTCGTCCTTTCCAGACTTTGCGGGAAACAAGAGCCACCCAAATGAGTTCTCTTACAACCTGCTCAACAACCTCGGCAAGCTGAGCGGAACGAAGCCTTATGTTCGCGTCGGAGGCAACACCCAAGACTACGCGCTCTACAACGCCTCTCTCCAAGTCGGCCTCAGCGGCATCGTCGACCCGAGTCGCTCGCCCGACTATCCAACCACCATACAAATCGGCCCCGCGTTCTTCGAGTCGTACCGCACCTGGCCCGGCGTACGCTTCTCCCACGGCTTCAATCTTGGGCTCGGGGGCAACAGCTCGGCGGGTTGGCGCACTCTCCTCGACACGGCCCCTCTGGCATGCGCAGCCATTGGCAGGGACAACTTTTATACGTGGGAGTACGGCAATGAGCCCAACAACTATGCCACGTCAGCGCAGGGCCCTGTCCGTCCGAAGAGCTGGGACGCGACGGCGTTTACCAAGCAGTGGCTCAAAGGATCAGAGGCGATTCGTGCGCAGATGAGGAGGCACTGCCCGGAACTGGCTCACGGAGACTACCTCAGCTTTATGGCTCCATCGTATGATGACAGAGTGAGCAACCTCAATGCAACCGTGGCTTGGAAGGAGGGGCTCGATAAGCACGGAAGCGCGCGCTGGTACTCTGTCCACAAGTAAGTCAGGGTTCAGGTTGTGAACGCGGCGCCTTCTACCAGGACTTTATCTGATGATGCTTTTAGCTACATTGACGGAGCAACATCTCCAGGCGTGACCCTGCAGCGGACCCTGATGAACCACACTCGAACCACCCGCGACGTGGACGAGCAAGTCGCCGAATACAAGCGCATCATGTCCGTCAACAACCACCATGCGCCGCTCATCTTTGGAGAAACCAACTCGCTCTATAACCAGGGCAAGCCAGGGCTTTCGAATTCGTTTGGCGCTACACTTTGGGGCGTCGACTTTAACCTCTACTCTGCTTCGGCGGGGTTCAAGAGAGTCCACATGCATCAAGGAACAAACTACCGTGTAAGTCCATCCGCAAGCCATTGATTACACTTGCTAATACCCTCAACAGTACCAAGCTTGGCAGCCCATCGACACGGACAAAACGGCCAAGGGTACCAAGGCACCGTATTACGGCAGCATTGCCGTCGCTGCTGCTCTGGGAGACCTGACGAGGGGCTCCATCAGCGTTTCCTCTGTACCCATGTCGTCCGACGCCGAAGCGGCGTACGCAATCTACAACAAGGGCTCGCTCAAGAGGCTCATGGTGATCAACATGCACGGGTACAATACCACCAAGGACGGCGCGGGAGTTGACCCCCTGCCGAGCCCCGCGCCGCGCCCAAGCCGGAGCTTCTCGTTCGCAGTCGAGGGCTTGCGTCGCGGTGCGCCGGTGCGCGTGCAGCGACTCATGGCCAATGGCAGTGATGCAATCACGGGCGTGACGTTTGATAGCTGGAGTTACAATATGGAGCTTGATAATGGCAAGCCCGTGAGACTTGACAACGTTACCACGGGTGAGGTGGTCAGGGCAAGTCGGGGCGTGGTGACGGTTCAGGTGCCAGACTCGTCTGCAGCATTACTGCATCTCGACTAGACTGAGCAGTATCCATTGCTGTTGGCACGATTCAAATAGCAGTAAATATACAAATCTCAATTCCTGTTTCAAATCGCCCGACTTTGAAAACCACAACCGGAGTGCTCTCGGCCGTCAATCCGGAAATCGGCTAACACCTCTGGTCAGCCGGACAAGTGTCCGACCCTCGTAACCGGAAGGAGTCATCACTTGGCTCCAAAGGATGATTCCTGCAGGCAGCTGGAGGCAATTGACCGACCGACAATCGGCGCCGGGCTAAAGCAGCGCAGACGCAACACCAGCGCTCGCCCTCGTCCCGAGTTTCGCCGTGGAGCAGAGCACTAATCCACTCGGGGCCCCGCGCGTTCCTTGCGGGGATCGGCCCGGCAGATGGGCCCGCCATCGGCGCCGGCGCGGCTATAAGACTCTTGGTGTGCGCCCTCTAAGCCATTCCCGGTGTCAGCATCACGACACTCCTCCTTCATGGCAGCGTCCGGCAGCTGTCATCGCGAACAGGCCCCTTGAAGCTAGACAGGAGGGTCCTATCGTGTAAACGCCCACAGCCATGGACAGGGCCTCTCCGGCTGCCGGCCGGGCTCAGCCCGAGATGGCCCAAGTCTCCTTTCACATCCCGGCCGCCTCCCGGAGGAGCTCACGGCACGAGTCCGCATTCGCGACAGACCAGCACTCGCTCGCCGACGTCCCGCAGCAGCGAGAACCGCCCGAGATGCCGCCCGAGTACATGACGCCCGACGTGCGCAACGCCATCCGGACAATGAACGCGCGGTTCGACTGGACCTCGCCCTCGGACCCGGACAACCCGCGCAACTTCCCGCTCGCGTACCGCGTCTTCAGCACCGTCGCCATCACGTCGCTCGCCACCGTCGCCACCGTCGCCGGCGCCATGTATGCCCCCGCGCAGGACGACGTAGCCGCCTATTTCGGCTGCAGCCACGAGGTCGCCGTCCTGCCCCTGAGCATGTATAACCTGGGTCTTGCCTTTGGTCCGCTCGTCGGCGCGCCCCTGTCCGAGACGTATGGGCGCAAGGCCGTATTCGTCTTCACCGCGCCCGTCTTCGCGGCGTTTACTCTTGGCGCTGGCTTTTGCGATAGCGTGGCCGCGCTCATCGTGTGTCGCTTCTTCGCTGGCATGTTTTCCTCGTCGCTCATCAACAATGCGCCCGCCACAATCATCGAGTCCTCGGAGGGGAGCTTTCGCGGCGCGGCACTGGGTATTTACTACACACTGCCGTCGTTTGGTGCCTCCTTGGGTCCGCTCATGGGCGGCTTCATCGTCGCGGCGTCAGGCTGGCGGTGGACGCAGTGGGCGTCGGTCATCCTGGCGTTCGCATTCTACATCCCCGTGTGCTTCACGCGCGAGACGTACAAAAAGGTCATTCTCCGCCGCAGGGCCTTTCGCATGGGCCTCGACACGTCCTCGCAGCGCACATCGCCCGGCCGCGCGTTTCGGTACTTTGCGACTGTTCTGATCCAGCGGCCCATTCACATGCTCTTCACGGAGCCCATCGTCACGCTCGTGAGCTTGTACAATGGCTTCCTGTACGGCCTGCTCTACACATTCGTCATTGCGGTGCCCTGGATCTTCCGCGAGTACTACCAGTTCAACAAGACCAGCGAGGCTCTGTCCTTTATTGGGCTCATGATTGGTACTCTCGCCGCGTCGCCTCCTTTGGTGCTGATCGATCTCAAGTATTACCAAAAGAGACTCGCTGCGTGGCGCGCAACGCATCCTCCGGATGAGGACGGAGTCGAGGAACCGCTGCCGTCAGAGCACCGCCTCATAGGTGCCATGATTGGCAGTATCCTGCTCCCGACCAGCTTGTTCCTCGTGGCGTGGACAGCACAATATCGTGTCCACTGGATAGTGCCCATGATTTTCCAGGGCGCCGTCATGTTGAGCTCGCTGCTGGTCTACGCGAGCGCCAACCTATTCATGCTGGACGCTTACGGGCCGTTGTATGGCGCATCGGCCTCGGGCGGCATGATGCTTACCCGCTACCTCTTCAGCGCAGCATTCCCCCTCTTTGCCCTGCAAATGTACAAAGCCTTGGGTGTTGGATGGGCCACGAGCCTGTTGGGCTTTGTAACGGTCGCCATGGCCCCGATTCCGTGGGCCTTTTGGAAGTACGGAGAGCAGTTGCGTCGCAGAAGCAAGTACGAGCGGAGTTCATAGAAGCATCTAGCATAGCGCTATGTAGACTTTATAGATATCGCCACTTTCTCCTGCATCCATTCGAGGTGTTCCATGGCCTCGAGCCGAATGTTGAATCTGTCGCTGGTCTCTAAACGTATCTGCGTGACAGGCATGCCCCTTGCACAGAGGGTTTGATTGTTTGGGTCTTTCATACCTCATCCTTTGTTGATCCCCCTCCCTTTCTCCGTTATACAGACATCTTCATCGGGATCGACTTGTGCGGGTTATACCCCTTGACCACAAACTCCTCCGCCTTCCACCCATCAATGCTTCCGCCCTTTTCGCGCGTCATCTCAAGCTCGGGGAAGTCGCGCGGCTCTCGCTTCATCTGCTCCTCGAGGGCGTCGATGTGATCGAGATAGACGTGCGCGTCACCCATGACGTGTGTCAGGCTGCCCGGCACCAGATCGCATACATGCGCCAACATGTGCGTCAGCAGCGCGTAGCTCGCAATGTTGAAGGGCACGCCGAGGCCCATGTCGCACGACCGCTGATACAGCTGGCAGTGCAGATGCCCCCTTTGCTTATCGCCGTTCGTCTCGCCGTTGCTGTTTCCGTTGGCCGCTGCTGCACCGTTGGCAGACCGCTTCGCGCGGGGGTAAGACACGTAGAACTGGGCAAACATGTGACACGGCGGCAGGGCCATGCTCTTGAGGTCCTTGGGGTTCCACGCGGACATGATGATGCGCCGGTCGTAGGGCTTGTTCTTGAGCTTGTCGATGACGTCGGCGAGCTGGTCGACGCCCTGCCCCGTGTAGTCCGTCTTGGCGTCCTTGTACTCGGCGCCGAAGTGTCGCCACTGGAAGCCGTAGACGGGGCCCAGGTCGCCGACCTCGCGGTGCGACAGGCCCACGCTGTCAAGGAACTCGCGCGAGCCGTTGCCGTCCCAGATCTTGACGCCGGCCTCGCTGAGCGCAAGCGATGAGGTGTTGGCCTCGATGAACCATAGGAGCTCGGCGACGACGGCCTTGAGGAAGACGCGCTTGGTCGTCAGGAGGGGCAGGATCGGCGTCCCATCGCGGTTGAGGGAGAACTTGAGCGGCCGCGGGGCAAAGACGCTGTATGTGCCTGTGCCCGTTCTGCAACGCGTCGGTTAGTGGGATGATTGTCGAGACCAGCGGATCGGAATTCGAGGCTCGCTGGTGATGGGATGCAGGCAGATGGCAGCTTACCTGTCCGGCCGATGCTCACCTTCCTCTAGAATCTCGCGAACGAGTTCAAGGTATTGGTGCTCCTCGTGTGGCCGTGTCATGTTGCCTGGTGCAGCTGTGAGCCGTCGCCGTGTTTGCATGTTGCGACTTCGCCCTGGATGGGCGACGCGACGCGTTAAGTGAAGTACCCATGGTGGGGTCGTCGCCAACGGCTTTGTGGCGTGGCGCCCCCCCGCGCCAACTAAAATCGCTGTTTCCGGCTACCCTGCACTTCCGGCCACGAACCCGCGCCGGTGCAGAGGAGCACGAGCAATCGTAGCAGCTTCTTCTTCAGTTTGTCGTCGCTTGCCAGCATTCCAGACCTCCAGTTATTGCGAATTACGTCTTGTCCTCCGGAGATTTTGGAGTTGGGCGGCGGGGCAGGGAGGGGGAAGCCATCGCCAACTCGGGTCCGGGTCGGGTGGGGTTTCGGCCTAATTTGGCGAAATTCATGGCACGAAGCTCTGAGTTCGAGACCAAGCACTGCCTACTTATTATCGTCTCCCGGAGCTCTCAAGGTCAAACTCCTACACCTCTCGTAAAACCGCTCGTCAAAATGTCAAGCCAGCCGGGCGAGCCGCCGGGCCGCCTCGTCTCGCATTTCACGAACAGGTTGGCGCCTCCCCCACTTACACCGGATATCCCGAAGACGAAGGAGGCGAAATCTGACCGTTCACAGAGGTCGGGATGAACAGGGCGAGGGGTGGTCGTCCCTCTGGGACTCTGACGAGAGCAGTCTCTGGGACCGCGGCGGGCCATCACCGGCTCTCATAGAGTTAATTGAGAGCGGCCAGCCGGTCCTGCCCGCTCTCATCGGGCGGCATCCCCGGGCGCTGGTCCCGGTGAGCGACCCCGCGAGATGGACATGGTGGTGAGACACGAGTCACTTACACGCGCCAGGGCTGCGGGAAAGGGTACGACGTTGCCATGCTCGCGCTCCATGGCTACGACGTCTATGGCCTCGAAATCTCAGAAACGGGCGCTCAAGTAGCGCGCGAGTACATCGCCGCCGAGCTTTCCGAGCCAAGCGAGCGCAACTACGGCGACCCAACGCAGTGGCCCAAAATCGAGGTCGGCAGCGTCAAGATCATCACAGGCGACTTCTTCGAGCGCGACTGGGAGGACGAGTGCAGCGGCTCGGCCTTCGACCTCATTTACGACTACACCGTATATCACCACCTGCCTCAGTGACACCTTTCCGACGGCGCCGCTAACATCTCTCGACCAGTTCCTCTGCGCGCTGCTACCCGAGATGCGGCAAGATTGGGCGCGGCGCATGATTGAGCTGCTCTCGCCCACCGGCATCCTCGTCTGCCTCGAGTTCCCGCTGTACAAGGACCTGGCCGCCGTGGGGCCGCCGTGGGGCCTGCGCGGCGTGTACTGGAACCTGCTCGCGCAGGGAGGGGACGGGCGCATCGCGGAGCCGCCGGAAGAGAGCGAGCGGCCGGCGGGGAAGATGAGCCGCGTCGTGTACTTGAAGCCTAAGAAGTCGTACGAGAGCGGGAGGGGGTACGACATGGTGAGTGTGTGGAAGTTGAAGGACTAGGCCAGACAGGAACACGCACGCAAATGGAAGGCGAGTATTAAACGCTGGGTTCTTTACGGCCAACGACGCTTTGCTATGCTACTTAGTTGTACAGCTCTCAGAGGCAGCGCTGATCTCCATCCGGAAATGAAGGAGGCAAATGTCATCCGCTGCTTTCCCCCAATGACTAGCGACAAAACTCCCAGGTCTTCTCGTCAAATATGGTACAATACCCGTGATTCCTGTCTCTGCGCACTGCGACCCCATCACGGGGCGACTAGCGGAGGTCTTCCAGCACCTGTGTCAATGGCTCCTGGTCGAGATAAACTGTTTCCTCTCCCCACGCATCTATTTCGTACAAGTCCCAGCGCGAAACGGCGTTGGTCTCGAGAGATACATCGACACGGCTATACAAGTCGTGAAGCCATTTGATGGTCTTGTCCGTATTCGCGCCAATCGAATCCCACTTCTCGAAATCAAGCTTGGGGGCTTGCCTGAAGGGCTGCGCATCGACTCGGACCGCAGATAGGGCTGGAAATTCGCCGTTTGCCACGGCTGTGGCCAGATAACCGGCGTCCTCCCAAGCGCGACTTCCGCGCACGAGTCGGACGTGGAGTCTCTTCACCGTGAGTGGAAGTATATCGGCGATGCAGGTCGGCTTCTCTGGCTCGTTCGACTTGTCTGGGTCGCCAGGATCAAGTTCAGAGTCGGAGTCGGAGGAGTCAGAGTCGGAGTCGTCGCCGGAGTCGTAGTCATTGCCGTTGGGATTCTGATGCCGGCAGAAAGCCGCCTCGTCCAGCTTGAGGACTTCCAGACGGCTGAATTGTGCCAGCATTGGCCCAATATCTGGAGGGGTATATGCTTCCACGACTTGCCCATCCTCGTCCAAGTAGGCCCCCGTGTATCTGTTCCAACAGCTTCCGATGTTCAAGTCGAGGACTTTGAGAGTCTCTCGAGCGGGCAGTGCCGCAGAGACGAGTCGATGATGTCCAATGTCAGGTGCCTCATCAGTGAGGTTGTGATCAGGAACGGGGCGGAGCGCTTTGAACTGGAACTGCTCGAGGCGTGGACATTGTTCAATCATACCCTTGAGGAACTCAAAATCCGACCATTCATCGTCGTCACGGAGCGCGGCCTCGTCGAACGCGAGACTCCGCAGATTGCCCATTATGGGTACCTGGACCCGAACACCCAGTGGGTTATACGGCTTGAGCGCTGCAGTATCGTGGTCCGAGAAACTCCCCTGCCAGAACCCCTGGCAGCTCTTGAAAAGCAGCTGCTCCAGGTTGGGAGCTCCGCGGAGGAGAGCGGAGATACATGGCATCGCGAGCCAGTACTTTTCAACGTTGACCTTGAGTGCCCGAAGCGAACCAAGTCGAAGTGTCTTTCCCAGTCGGCTGAATCGGCTGTCCAGAAGCCAACAGCCCCTGTAGAAGCTTTTTCTGTCCGAAAAGTCCAGAGAAACGGAAAATTCGAGCATCTCCAGCCTCGCCAGCATCGAGAGGATCACCCCCATCACGAATTTGTCAAGGAGCCACGGATCGACGATTTCCATCGACGAGATCTCCTCCGCATATTCGGTGATCACGTTGAAGTTTGAATCCTCGTCCAAATGGAGCTGAGGGTCCTGGTCAATCCCCATGCACTGTCGAAACCCGTCGGAGTCGACGAATTCTTGTTTCGTAGTGCCTCCCAGCCATCTGACAGATGCTGCAAGATCTGGGCGGCTGCGGATGGTGCGAATAAAGGGCCATAGGCGGAGATGGCGACCTGAAAGGCTTCCAGGCACATAATGGTAGATGAAGGGCTGCGCGACAGCCCTCATCTGTCTTGACGTCGCCGACAGCGCAATTAATGCGTTGCGGTTCGCGATGTGCTCACTGGTGTTATCGGGCACGACGCCTTGACAATGGCAGCACAGCTGAGCGCATATCATGAGCTGCAGCTCGACCAGAAGGCCAGGCAAGGAAGCCGTGAAACGCCCGTTTGAAGACATTGGTGATGATGGAAGTGAGCGGTTGCAGGATGTCTGTGGCATAATCGCAGCTCGAAGGCATTATCACGTCTGTGGACTGGAATAGAAGAGCTCAAGGACACTCTCCCAGGCTGATATTTATACGGCATCCACGTCTGAGGCAGTGGACCAAGCTTTGACGAACGACAAACTCTTTTATATCGTTTTGCTCGTCTCGTCATTAGACGATGAATTAATGTCTAGTGGCTTGCCAGCGCCAACATCCCACCGCAACGGATGCAACTTAAAGCTAGAGATGGGGCGAAGAGAGAGTTTTGCGACGGCCAAGCCCAAAGCTTTCGAAGTTCAATATATTTCGAGTGGTACTATTTGTAGAGCCAACTTTTGCTAGCTATAGAGCCCATAGGAGCAATAGCAGCGAAAACAACGAAAGCAACAGGCAGCGCGCCGCTGCCGTCCCATACCTACGCCAGTGCGCAGTAAAAATCACTAGGGTAGCACAGGGCAGGGCGCGGCCGACAGAAACAATATAAGAGGGCACTACAACTAGCTAAAGTTGACTCTACGAATAGCACTCCAGGCGAACTGTGCAGCGAGGTTAATCCGTAACCAGACATGGCATTTCCTCGTCGTAGTACTCCTCCCCAGTCATACAAGTGAACGTAACCGCAGCTTTCGCAAGCTCAGTTCTAACATCGGTTACCTGCTTCCTTGTCCACCCTTTGATCTTGACAAATGCTTCGTCCGTGAACATGCGCTCGCCGGACGATGAGGCGCACAGCTCTACCTGACTTAGTTCGGGGAATTTTCCGGCGCCAGCAGCCTTGGCAAGATCCAGGATCTGTACCCAGAGATTGGAGTGCTCCAGGTGATTGATCATCAAGCGCAGGTGGCGTATGCTATTCGGAAGAATATCCGTCAAGCAAGCTGCATTGTCCTGGAGCGATTCCCCGTCCATGTCGTCAAAGACGAACGCCGCGACGTCCAGCTTCAATGTTTCTAAGCGGTCGAATGTCGGGAGCAGGGCTCCAAATTCTTGGTGCTCGTCCAAGTCGAAGCTTGCGTCGTTGAAGTCGAGGTGCAGATGTCGCAGCGTCTTGCGGACGTGCTGTAGAGCATCCAAGAAAGAACGAGGAGTGAGATGCTCGGTACCGAATTCGTTGATAAAACCATCGGCGCTGAAGCGAAACCGCTCCAGAGTTGGGCACCTGGTGATCAGCTTAAGGAGGTACGGAAACTGGGTGTCTTCGAAGCCACCTTTGGCGAGCTCCAGAACGCGTAGATTCGGCACCATGGGAAGCCCGCACTTGGCCTCGCCATCCAGGCCAATGTCATCGCCAGCGCTACCCACGACCGCCTGAATGCGTAACTGTGTCATAAAAGGGGCAATTCTCGGCAGGGCAAGGGTTGCGGGTGATTCCTGACCGAGCATCCCATAGGTGTTGGTGCAGATTTGGACTTGCCCAAGTCTTGGAAGCAAGGCAGCCTCGTGCAGCGATGTCAGGCGCTCGGTCAAGACAAAGAAGGAGGTCTGAAAATCCCCCTCGGCCAGATCCGTGCCTAGGAGTTCGAGGACGAATGTTTTGACGTTTGGCGCGAGGGCCAGAAACAATTGGCTGTAGAAACTGGATGCCTGCGACCGCGTTGTCTGGCCGTCGAGACAGTTCCAGTCCGGATCATTTGGTAGAGTCAATCCCAAACGGCGAGCGGTTGCTTTGCAGAACCGAAGCTCTTCCTCCTCAAAGCCACATCTCTCACGCGCCATTGGGCCAAGGCGTCGTACACAGGCCGCGAGATCTGGGCGGTCCACCAGAGTCCGCAGAAGAAGAAACCGTCTGGAGGTCCCGAGCAAGTTACCATAGAGACAGATGCGTGCTGGGTCGTAATACAAGAAGGGCTGAGCCACCGCACAGAGGCGTCGGCACGTCTTTGACAGAGCCAACAGAGACCGGCAACATAGTGCTTTATGGTTTGCAGAGTCTGCCTGCTTGTTGTGGTACCATGAGAATTCGACAAAGATCATGCGCAAAATCTCGACAGGAATGGTGGTGAGGGTGATGGCCGACGCTGCGGATGCCGTGGATGCTGTCATGGTCTGCGAGGGGGCCATGCTGAGGCCCTCGGCCGCGTTCGACGGCCGATCCATGGATATTTGCGTTGGAACGGTCCGGGTATGTTGTGAAAAGTTGACGGTTTGGAGGCCCGAGACGACGGGTGTGCCAGGTCCGCGCAAGTGCCAAAGTTGTGGTTCAGGGGGGCGAGAAACGCGTCGACGGTGAACTTTCCGTCTCTTGTGTCGAGATATTGAGCAGAGCTGCTCTATTCAAATAGGCTGCAATCATTCTCGAGGAGAGCTTCCACTGGACAGGAGCCAGGGCAGCTTCTTCTTATACTATCTGTCTTGGTGGCGGCCATGATGGCGGCCGTGATGGCTTCAGCAAGCCCATTACACGGAGGCGGCCCATAGTCAAACCATGGCAGTGGTGAGGTTGCCGTGGTGGAACATACGAGACGGCCCAGAGTTTCTCGCAGTGGGCGAGAGTCAAACGCAGTACCTTTAGTGGGCGCCGGGTCGCGGGCAGCGGCTTCAGCCTGTCCGACGCCCGCTGGACTGGACTGGACCCGGCCCCGCTGTGGCCTGTCGATAGCGCCCCAGCAGCCAATTGGGTCCAGTCTCACCCGGATCCGCCACCACGGGCCCAGACGGACAGAAAGACCTAACTTAGAAAAGCCACTTGGCTTCCAACATCGCGCGCTCCTTTGTCCCTTTCTTCATCCTCCGTCGACTGCTGCAGACTCGCGACATCTGCGCTCGGCGACAGTCACCATGGCGCCGCCCCTCGTCGACAACCCGCAGATCCGGCAGGCGGAGCTGCTGAAGCCGCTGCCCTTTCACTTCCACGCCTATGTCTGGCCCTTTGTCGTCATCTGGCCCGTCTTCCTGCGATACTACTTGACTCCCGACCTCTACGAGAAGCACATCGGCGCCCCGGAATGGACTTTCGTCTGGTGCGGGACCATCATCACCATCCAGTCGCTGGTTTGGTTGAGCACGCACTGGAGCGTCGCCCTCGATGCGCGCTTCCGCGCCACCAAGGCCAAGGACGTGCAGGACGCGCAGCTGATCAAGGTCCTCCCCATCGCCAACGCCGGGTCTGGCGAGATTTGCAAGATTGTCCGTGACAAGGTGAGCCTCCCATGCAGCCAAAACACTTTCCCATGAGTTTTGCTGACGTGGCGCAAGGCTGGCGGCAAGACGAATGTGTCGTTCCTCTTCCAGAAGCGCCGCTTCCTCTACAGCCCCGAGACCGGCTCCTTCAGCACCCTCCAGTACGACATCGACGCCGAGCCGAAGCCCTCCATCGGACACTTCCAGTCGTCGCGCGGCCTCGAGAAGCAGTCTGAGCTCTCGCGCCTCGAGCAGCACTATGGCAGAAACACCTTCGACATTCCCGTTCCGACGTTTACCGAGCTCTTCAAAGAGCACGCCGTCGCCCCCTTCTTCGTCTTCCAGATCTTCTGTGTCGGCCTCTGGCTGCTCGACGACTACTGGTACTACTCGCTGTTCACTCTTTTCATGCTCGTCGCTTTCGAGAGCACCGTCGTGTGGCAGCGCCAGCGCACCCTGAACGAGTTCCGCGGCATGAGCATCAAGCCGTACGATATCTGGGTCTTCCGTTTGGGCAAGTGGACTGAGGTCCAGACCGATGCCCTCCTCCCCGGCGACCTCGTATCCGTCGGGCGCACAAAGGAAGACAGCGGTGTTGCCTGCGACATGCTTCTCGTCGAGGGCAGCGCCATCGTCAACGAAGCCATGCTGTCCGGAGAGAGCACCCCGCTGCTCAAGGACTCCGTCCAGCTTCGGCCTTCTGATGTGCCCCTGGACTCCGAGGGCTTGGACAAGAACGCTTTCCTCTGGGGCGGCACCAAAGTTCTCCAGGTCACTCACGGCAACCCCGAACAAGAGAAGCCGGCCCTCGCGTCTGGCGTGCCGCCTCCTCCCGACAAGGGCGCCATGGCCGTCGTCATCAAGACTGGCTTTGAAACATCGCAAGGCAGCCTGGTCCGCACCATGATCTACTCGACCGAGCGCGTCTCGGCCAACAACTTCGAAGCCCTTCTCTTCATTCTGTTCCTGCTCATCTTCGCCATCGCCGCGTCGTGGTACGTCTGGGACGAGGGTGTTCGCAAGAACCGCAAGCGCTCGAAGCTGCTGCTGGACTGCGTCTTGATCGTCACCAGCGTCGTGCCCCCGGAGCTGCCCATGGAACTCAGTCTTGCCGTCAACACGAGTCTGGCCGCATTGTCCAAGCTGGCCATCTTCTGCACTGAGCCCTTCCGTATTCCCTACGGTGGCCGCATCGACGTCGCGTGCTTCGACAAGACGGGCACTCTCACCGGCGAGGACCTTGTCGTGGAGGGTATCGCTGGTCTTGGACTCGCCAACACAGACATCGACGACAAGAAGGAGGCTGACGGCGCCCACTCCAACATGACCGCCGTTACCGACGCCAGCCTCGAGACTCAGCTCGTACTCGCTACTGCTCACGCTCTGGTCAAACTTGACGAAGGTGACATTGTGGGCGACCCAATGGAAAAGGCTACTCTCACCTCCCTTGGCTGGGCGCTCGGTCGCAACGATGTACTCCAGAGCACTGCCAAGGCTGGTGGCACCCAAGGCACCGTTCAGATCAAGCGCAGGTTCCAATTCTCGTCCGCCCTTAAGCGCCAGAGCTCCGTCGCCATGGTTCATGGTATCCACCCCCAGACTGGCAAGAGGATCAGAGGCACCTTTGTTGGTGTCAAGGGCGCCCCCGAGACAATCATGAAGATGCTTGTTGACGTGCCCGCTGATTACGAGGAAACCTTCAAGTACTTTACCCGCAAGGGATCCCGTGTCCTGGCACTGGCCTACAAGCAGCTCACTGTCGATACTGAGCTTGGCTCCGGCAAGATTAATGACCTGAAGCGCGAGAAGGTCGAGTGCGACCTCACTTTCGCCGGTTTCCTGGTTCTACACTGCCCTCTCAAGGAGGATGCCAAAGAGGCCGTCCAGATGCTCAACGAGAGCAGCCACCGCGTCGTCATGATCACCGGAGACAACCCCTTGACGGCCGTACACGTCGCGCGTGAGGTGGAGATTGTCGACCGCGATGTTCTGATTCTGGATGCACCCGAGGACAAGACTGGTGGCCATACGCTTATCTGGAAGAGCGTCGATGACAAAGTCACTATCCCGGTCGATCCGTCAAAGCCCATCGATGCCGAAATTCTCAAGACCAAGGACCTCTGCGTTACCGGATACGCTCTTGCCCAATTCAAGGACCAGGCCGGTTGGAACTCTCTGCTGCGCCACACCTGGGTGTATGCTCGCGTCTCTCCCAAGCAAAAGGAGGACATTCTCCTCGGTCTCAAGGATATGGGCTATTACACTCTGATGGCTGGTGATGGCACCAACGACGTTGGCGCTCTCAAGCAAGCCCACATTGGCATTGCCCTTCTCAACGGCACCAAGGAAGACCTGACGCGCATCGCCGAGCACACCCGCAACACCAAGATGAAGGAGATGTATCAGAAGCAGTGCGATCTGATGAAGCGCTTCAACCAGCCCACCCCACCGGTTCCTGTCCTGATTGCTCACCTCTATCCTCCTGGCCCGACGAACCCCAACTACATGAAGGCCATCGAGCGCGAGGCCAAGGCAAAGAAGATGACCCCCGAGGAATACGCCGCCAAGCAAGGTCACCCGGCTGAGACCATCGTGTCGCCTGGCGCCCAAAGCCTGACTAACAGCGATCCCCGCAATGCCCGTCAGGCCGAGGTCAACAAGAAGGCCGCCGGTCTTGCCGACAAGTTGGCTTCGGGCATGCTCGAGGCTGAGCTGGGCGACGACGAGCCGCCGACCCTGAAGCTTGGTGATGCCTCTGTTGCTGCTCCTTTCACGTCCAAGCTTCGCGACGTCATGGCCATTCCCAATATCATCCGCCAGGGTCGTTGCACTCTGGTGGCGACGATCCAGATGTACAAGATTCTTGCCCTCAACTGCCTCATCAGCGCCTACTCGCTGTCTGTCCTGTACCTCGAGGGCATCAAGTTTGGCGACACCCAGTACACTATCAGCGGTATGCTCATGTCGGTCTGCTTCTTGAGTATCTCGCGCGCTCGCGTGGTCGAAGGCTTGAGCAAGGAGCGCCCGCAGCCCAACATCTTCAACGTGTACATCATCGGCTCCATCTTGGGCCAGTTTGCTGTGCACATTGTCACGCTCATCTACATCTCCCAGCTTTGCGACAAGCTTGAGCCGTAAGTTAAACATTATGAAATCGAGAAGAGCAATGACTAACTAGCCGCAGTCGCTCCACTGATGGTCTCGACCTTGAGGCTGAGTTCGAGCCGTCGCTGCTCAACTCGGCCGTCTACCTCCTCCAGCTGATCCAGCAGGTGTCCACCTTTGCCATCAACTACCAGGGCCGACCGTTCCGCGAGGCCCTCTCGGAGAACAAGGCCATGTTCTACGGCATCGTCGGCGTCTCCGGCCTCGCTTTCGTGTGCGCGCTCGAGCTCATCCCCGAGATCAACGAGGGCATGAAGCTCGTTCCCTTCACCGAGGAGTTCAAGTTCAAGATGGCGGCGTCCATGATCCTCGACTACGGGCTCTGCTACATCATCGAGAAGGGCCTCAAGTGGGGCTTCAGCGACTACCGCCCCCGCGACATCGCCGACCGCCGGCCCGAGCAGCTCGAGCGCGAGGCGGCGCGCAAGGCCGTCATTGCGCAGCAAAAGGCCGACGAGGAGGAGAGGCAGCGCCTCGAGAAGGTGGCCGAGTTTGAGCGCCAGGTCGAGGAGCGCAAGAGGAAACTGCGTGAGTGGCGTGAGGGACGGGCACGGGCCTAAGCCGGCCGTGTACAAGACGAAAGGAAATCATGAAGGGGGTAATGGTCAGAAGGTAGAGCACTGGGTAGACGGTGCATCTCGATGATGCGTGTACCATACATGAATCCGATAGACGTTGTGGCATTTGCAAGGTTCACATCCGGCATGACGTGAACAGAGGCGTGGCACAAATGAAACGGCGCAACGAGTGCGCATATTTGCTATGGTACAAGACGTAATAGGGAAAGGAAGTCTATGGCAAGTCGTAGAACACAAGAAGTCAATCCCTGTCCCCTTTGCCCGTCCACCTCCCCTGAAGCCAACCCCAAGCACGCCATACATTACGTCGGCAATGCCAAGTCAAGTTGCACTTCCCCATTACTTTTTTGATTCATCAAGGCATGCTCGCGCTAGCGAGGCGCTCGTTAGCGGCACGAAGCGCGCTTAGTTGCCGGGGTTCTGGGCAACGAAGGAAACGCCCTTCTCGATGTTCTTCTTGAGGTCGCCGAGGCAGGCCTCGATGAGCTTCTCCTCGTTGGCGTCGACCTTGCCGATGGGCAGGATCTTCTCGACGCCGTTGGGGCCGAGCTCGACCTGGCTGCTGAAGAAGTCGATGCCCTGGTCCTTGTACAGGGGCGAGTCGACAAAGGTGGGCTCGACGACGCCCTTCTCGCCGTCGGCGGCGCGGAGCAGGGAGTCGGCCATGCGGGCACCGGCCATGGCCATGGAGAGGGTGGCGGAGCCGGCACCGTCCTTGGCCTTGACGACCTCGTCACCGCCAAACTGGACACGCTTGACGAGCTCGGCGTTGGAGCTCAGGTCGGGGTGGCTGCTCTGGCTGAAGAGGGGGACGATGGTGACGCCGGAGTGGCCGCCAACGACGGTGATGTTCTCGTCCTTGGGGTCGGTGTTCTTGATCTCGGAGACGAAGCGGCTGGCGCGGACAACGTCGAGGGTGGTGACACCGAAGAGGGTCTTGGGGTTGTAGACGCCCTTGGCCTTGAAGACCTCGGCGCAGATGGGGACCGTGGAGTTGACGGGGTTGGCGATGACCAGGACCTTGGCCTTGGGGGCCGACTCGGCAACGGCCTTGGCGAGGTCGCGGACGATGGAGGCGTTGGTGTTGAAGAGGTCGTCACGGGTCATGCCAGGCTTGCGGGGGACACCGGCGGGGATGAGGACGATGTCGGAGCCCTTGAGGCAGGCGGCGAGGCCGCTGGGGGTAGGGTCGTAGCCCTTGACGGTCGACTTGGTGTTGACGTGGGAGACATCGGCGGCCACACCTGTTTTGCATCACGACGGGGTCAGCTTGAGGTCGGACGTTGCGGGCGGACAAAATTGGCGCATCGATGTGCTCGGACGGACGGAGGAGACGGGCGACGTACCAGGGCCGAGACGGATGTCGTACAGAGCCAGGTCGGTGACGCGGGTGTTCATCTTGAGGAGGAGGGAGAGGGGCTGGCCAATGCCGCCAGCGGCGCCGAGGACGGCGACCTTGGAGAGCTACACGACGACGACGATGGTTAGCCTGGGAAGCGCGCGCGCGGGCGGACAACCGGGGACGGCACACAGCTTCAGCTCAGCCCCCGGCTTCGGGCGTGGGCGAGAAACAGTGCATGCTCCAGGGCAGAGGGCAGAGACTCACGTTGCGCGCAGAGGCGGAGAAAGCCCGGCGCTGGATCTTGGAGGCCAACATGATGAATAGGGGTGTGGGATGGGGGGATTTGAGGGTATCAACAACAACAACAAGTGGAAGAAGACACCGAGGTCAATGGGAACAGAGTTTTGGGGAAAGCAAAAAGGGAGCAGGGGAGGAAGACGGAGCGCAGTGGGGAGAAAAAGACGGGACCGCGGGCGCCCAATCGGGTTAGGCCAGGGAGCTGTTCGGATGCAACTCGGCGAGTGTGTGCGTGTGTCTTTGCTGTACGTACTTTGTACTTGTCGCTGTGGACTGTCGCACGCTGACCGCCTTTACGAATCTTCTTCTTCACCTTTCTTCTCTGGACTATGCGGACTCAACATGTTCCCAATTGCTGATTCGAAGCGGCTAATTGCGCCGAAACACCTCTGCATCGCGAACAGAGTCCCGTGTGGGCAACGAGCCGGCTCCGCGGGCCTGCGGCGGAACCGACCGGAGCGCGGCCCACTCTTGCACCTGGCCGTAGACACCTGTGCAGCCGCTGGCGCCGAGGCCACAAGACCCCCGTGGCCGCCATGCCGCGAGAGCACATGCTACTCCGTACCATGCTCTCCGCGAGAGGACCTTGCGAGGTGTGTTGCACCGCGCGGAGCACGCGCGGCTCTGTCCAGTCCCTGTGTGAGCGCAGGAGGTGGTGTGCCTGGGCGGCGGCAACCTGCTGGCTGCTGCATTCTCCGGCACCCCACCCGCATCACCTATCGGCATCGTCTCCACGATTCTTCAGGAACAAGATCTTCCTACATGCACAATGCCGAATTTGCATCTGTAGCTACGTCATTTATCATCCCATGTTTGCGACTCGTCTGTGGTGATTGGGTCCTGCCGGTTTAGGCAAGCAAACACTCTTCGTGCTCCATCTTCCCCGGCCGGGTGACTCAGACGGTGCAGGGTAGGCTGCCCCTCCAAGGAGCTTCAACGACGCAGCTACAGTTGCCCAAGAGCTGCCCGCCGCTTCTCCAAAATCCAGCACACTCTCTTTCCCGTTCACACCCATCATCCCGTCGCCATGTCCCTCGCGCAGCTGTCGCAGCTGCTCCCTCTCCCGGAAGAGGACCTCCGGCAAGTCCTCGACTATGCGGCGACCCTTTCCAAGCCCGAGGCTGCCGAGCATTTCAACAACTTGCTTGGCGACTCGCCCCTCGCCGTCGACTTCATTGCTTCCTTCAACTCTCATCGAAAGGAGCCCGCGCCTCCGCCACCCGCAGCGAACAACTCTCGACCGGCAGAAACTCTCGATGCCGTACCCAAGGCCAAGCGAGCGCCGAAAAAGAAGAAGCCAGCAATCCACACCCCGGAGGCAAGAAGAGTCGAAGACTACGCCGGGCCGGCGAGCGTCGCATACAGCAAGAAGGACCAGATTCTAGACTACATACCGCAGCGGGCGAGCGCCCCGAGCAGCAGCCATGCCTCTCGGTCGGCGACGCCGCCCGCACCAGCGCCCGTTCAGCAACCCCCGAAGCAGCACGCCTCATCCGCCGGATTCCTCATATCCGACATCCCATCCAAGTCCAAAGCAAAGTCCAACCCCTCCTCACGGAGCTCCACACCAAAGCCGTCCAACACAAACAGCACCAAGGTTTCGATCGCCGGAGGCACGCCGATGGCGGGACAGTCCACAGCGCTGGCTGATCTAGACGCTGCCATCCGAGCCCTGGAGATCACCACGAACCCGTCGCTGGATAATGGCAAGAGGAGAAAATGCAACTGTGTCGCGACGAGGCACCCTCTGCAGAGCGCCGCTCCCAACTGCCTGTCATGCGGCAAGGTCATTTGCATGAAGGAGGGCCTCGGACCGTGTTCCTTTTGCGGCTCACCTCTTCTGAATCCGGATGACGTCCAGGCCATGATCCGGGAACTCAAGGACGAGCGGGGGCGAGAACGGATGGCGGTCAACGCCAGCGCCAACAGGCGAGCAGAGGTATCCAAGAAACCAGCTCCCTTTATGCAGCCGCGCGTAGGCGATGCCGACGATGGTTCTTCACTGGCCGACGCCGCGGCGAAGGCGCGCGAGCATCGCGACAAGCTCCTCAACTTCCAGGCCCAAAACGCTCGAAGAACGACGGTCCGCGACGAGGCCGCCGACTTTGACGTGAGCGGCGCCGTGACGGGTCTGGGAAGCATGTGGGCGAGCCCCGAGGAGCGGGCCAAGGAGCTGAAGCGCCAGCAGAAGCTCATGCGGGAGATGGAATGGAACGCACAGCCGGACTACGAGAAGCGGAGGCAAGTGCTGAGCATCGACCTCGTGGGCGGAAAGGTGGTGCGGAAGATGGCGGCGATTGAGCGGCCCGTGACGCCCGAATCGGACGAGGACGAGGGTGTGCTTGGTGAGACGTCTGGGAATGCAGCCAGCAACGGCTCTCGCACGGGAGGAGGTACTTTCAGTGCCAATCCCCTTCTGGGCGCGCTGCTGAAGCCCGTCTACGAGATCAAAGAGGGCAACGGCAAAGGGAAGGACACTGGGGAACCACAAAGCCGGCGAGACAGGAAGAAGGGATGGCGCAGGGTACAGGATGATCTAGACGACAACGAGGACGTCATTCTAGATGGTGGTATACATGGCCATGTTGGCGCTGCCGGCGACGAGCCAGAGTGTGGATAGAGGAGGCCAGTGTTTAGATGGAGGCACATAAATGCATAGAAATAGAGCTGGACGGACCAGCTGATACTGATCCTGTGGCAAGGCACCAAATTCGATCACTGAGTGTTGCGTCTCTGGGTGTTAGAGAGGCTTGCTGTGACTGTTTGGTCTCAGACGGCGGCATCCAGGAGTCTAGGACAGGCTCGGTCCATTTAACTCCTAGACGCCAGAACCGGGCATCAAACTTGGAGGCGGGCTTCGTATCAATGCCACCAGTAGTACTGCCCAGGCGACGCTGTGCGACTGACTTTTGGCCAAATCTTCTTGGTGCTGGGCGTCGCGGATCTCGCGGGCGCTACGGGAATACGAATGAGGTGGTGTGCAGCACGCTCACTGCTGGGCCAACATGGTTCATGCCATTCACGTGACCACGCGATTTTCCGCGCTGGACCGCTTATCAGCAAGGTACTTCGTCTGATCCCCCCCCAACACCCATTGAGCGAGGGGCAGGTCCCCTGTCTTGCAAGTTGCGTGCCGCCAACCCCCCCTTCCCGCCCACGCGACCGGCGGGTCACAAGACCAAGTGATGACTTGACTTGTACTTGTTGAGTCTCGCGCGCGTGCTGGGCTGTTTCAAAAACACAATTGCTGCGACCGACGCCGCCGTCAACGTACAAATATGTACGACGACGCAGTCATGTACGAATGCCGCCTTGGTCCCGTGTCTGTGGTCTGTAGGTCGTCGTCTTTCTTCCTGTCGTCGCCCCGCGCCGGAGTGCCCGATGCGGAACGGGGGGCGCACGCGGCCGTAAACGCAAATTCCTCGTCCGTGGACGACGACGGACACCCGAGACGGGAGGTACCTCGAAAACTTCGCCTTACTCGCGCGCTGCGCGGACGGGCGTCGCTAGTACGAGGTACTTTGCCGCGTAGTCTGCGCTTTTGCCATGCTGTGGAATACCTAACGTACGTCGAGGCTTGTCAAATTTTTTTCTCAGGACCGCGCGGGACGGGGGCAAATGGCCTGCCAATGTCGCCAAGCGAGGGACTGGAGAGAAATTGCAAATGGCGCGAGGTCTGACGGGATGAAGCCGTCATGATGCGAGGGCTACGTATTCTGCGACTGGAGCCAGCCCGTCGTGTGAAGGTACCTGGCGTGCGCAAAAGGCTGTTCCAGCAGCGCGTGGCGTGCCCTGTACGAACCCCCCGGGCGAGCACCAACACGCCGGGTCCCCTAAAACACTCCACTGAGCACGCCCATCCAGCCACTGCGACTCACAGGCTGGGCGCCCAGTCCCCCTAGGTCCACTGCAGTTGCCCATGGCCGGAAGCGTCGCGCGTGGAGCCAACCCAATGGATGTCAACGGCTCATTTAGTACCGCGTGCTTCGTAGCCACCACTGCCTGTCTCCCGTCTCTGGCGTCGTCACCAGCCAGGCTCCCATTTGGTCTCCCGTCCTCCTCCTCCAACTCGCACTTGTATAGCTTCCACCTGGCCGACAGCGTCGTCATCCCCAGCGCCGGCAACACCGACAGCCCATCGCTTGTTTGGATTGAACAGAGCAGCGTCGCATTCGCACTCGTTTTGCTCTTCGCCCGAGTCTCGTCTTGTCCCGTCGCGCCGCGCCGCCGCTCTTGGACGGACAACCTCTTCCCCGACGCGACACACCCGCACCACTCCCGACCGACAGGCACCGACAGCGCCGGAGCGCGCCCCCGGGGTCCTCTCGCCCTGCCCTCCTCCTGACTGTCGCCATTTGCTCTGCCGCTGGCATGATTCCCGACTGGCGCGGTGGGGTCGCGCCGTCAGTGTCGACGCTGTTGAATGCGGCCGACGGTCGCAACGGTGAGACACGCAACGCGAAGGACGATAATAGACCGAGACCCCACGACTGGTCTGCCCCCCTCCCACCCGCGACGGCATCGAGATCCTCTCGCGGCGCCGCGGCGACGTCAGAAGACGCCATGGACTTTGAAAGAACGCGCTCGCACGCCGAGCAGGTACACCCGCCCTCGAGCCAGATCATCCCGGACAGCGGCGGCAGCTCGTCGCAGAGCCTCACGCGATCCATCTCCAACTCACAGGAGTCCACCGTGACGGCCTCGACGGACCGTGTCGCCACGCCGCCCGCCAGCGACACCAACGGCGGACGGTACGCGACCGTCGAGCGCCGCGACGACAAGCCGCCAAACGCATTGGACCACGGCGCGGGCCACAACAGCCAGCTGCATCACCTATCTGCCATTGCCGCTGCCCAGGACAGGATGGAGCCCGACGCGGTAGGCGCTGGATCGCGAAAGCGCATGGCGGATGGCGAGGTCAAGTCCTGGGCCGGCAGCACGAGCCCCATCAAGGGACATTCGCGGACGACGAGCGCCGTCAGCGTGGCCTCGACCACGGGGAGTACCATTGGCGAGGTATGATGTCGCGAACCTGACGCGCGCGTGAAATTCGACATTAACATGACGCAGCTATCTGCCGAGTTGCGTACTCGCCTCTCGTACGCCATGATCAAGGTCAACCACGGCTGGCAAGGCCGGTCGCTGGACGAGGTAGAGTCTCTGGCCTCCCAGGCCGCTTCTCCAGCGTCCAGCACCTCTACCGTGCATCGGCGACACGGCTCCTCCGCCAGCCCGCGGCTCAACGTCAACTCGACGCCCCAGGTTCACTTCTCCAACGACCCGGTCATGATCCGGCGCAAGTCCATCTCGCCACCCTCGCTCCTATCTGGCAAGCCAATGCTTGCTCCTCCGGCCACTATCCAGCCCTCCATGTCCATGCCCGCTCCTCGATCCAACCCGCGGCGCAACTCGAACCCCCGCTACACGCCCGCAGGACTCGCCCAGTGTCACTCAGGCTCTCCCCTCACGCCGCAGGGCACGAGCAACCCGATATCTCGCCTAGACCAAGACGTGGCCGAAACGTTGCTGTTTATGAGCAGCCCCGGCAACTCTGCGAACCTGAAGCACGCCTTCTCCCCGTCGGGGTCTCCAGGGGCACAACCTCCGCCTCCCGCGCCACGGAGCTCGGGCCGCCATGCACTACCGAGCGGGCCACGGAGAGCTCTGCCCTCGCAGCGGCCCTCGCTGCCGCCGCCACCACCCAAGAAGGCTGGCTATGATCGGCCCAGCATGCCTCCGCCTCCGGACTCCCCCATGGACTTGGACTCGCCACGGCAGTATCAGTCGCCGAACCGCTCCACGCCGAAGAGGCGGACGAATGGTGCGGGAGGGGGCCACGTACGGGCCGCCCTCTCCCTACCGAGCGGCTTAGCCCTGGGCAACGGCACGGCGAGGAAGACGCTGCGCGACGAAGACATTGAGCGAATGTTGGACCGTGCGGGAGCCGAGGCGGCAGACAGCTCCGACGACGAGGAGATTCAGCTGCCCCCGCGCAGGGGCGTGGCTGGCGTCATGCGAGCGTAGGCTGCGACTCCGTGTTTACTCCATCATTTCGACCTGCTCTGGGCGGCACGGCCTGACTGGCGGCCTCTCTCTCCTAAAGGCACAAATCCTTGCGCCACCTAACGAAGTTTTACGACACTATTGCATGGGCTCATCTTTTTTCGGGCAGTTTACTCGGTTTCGTTTTTATCCGCTTCTGGGGGAATGGGGCCAGAGCAGTCCTGCCCCTTCCCCGTATTGACCTTGACCCGTCTGCATCATCATCGTTGATTGCCCGATGTACCATCTTCGGGCCAGGCCGCATCTTTTTTCTCGGAGCTGGGTTGGTGGGCAGTTTGTGCTTGTACAATGCATCGTTCGTCTTTTTTCCTTTCCACGGGCCGTACGAAGTACGGCCTGCTCGAGTGGTTCTTTTTTTCTTTGCTAATTATCGAGATGCGGGCCGCCTGTTGAGGTGCCTCGCGTCTTTGTGGATGGATCGATGGATGGATGGTTGGGGGAAGTGTTTGGTGGAACGTTGTCGTCGTTGTTGTCGTTGTTGCTTGGCGGGTCAGGAGCGCTGATCAGCTGTAAGGGGAGCGGGGCATTTCGTGGTTTTGCAAGGATACCCAGCGACAAGGGGTGACGGGGTTCAACGGTTGGAAGGAAAGGGCCATGCGTTTGTTGGTGCGGTGCGGTGCGGTGCGGTGCGTGCGTCTGCCGTTGCGATGAGGCTTTCGCAAGGCAAGGCGAGGGAACGGCATGGCTGGCTTGCAAACTCGCTGGAGTTTTGATCTGGGAGTTTGGCGTCATCACGCTTTCCAAAGTTCGCTCTGCTCCAAAGAGCGGACGGACGCCCTTCTTGTTGTTTGATACCGACCCCCCGAAGCCAAGAATCTTATCTTTACCCATGACCGCCTTGTCTACATGACACCGTTCTTTGATATCGTCATATCATTAGGCACCACCAGCCCCCCCTGGCCAGAGCGTGCCGTATCGAGTCCCTTCGATATCCATGCTCATCCCACGTATCCCGTGTCTTCGTAAAAAATAAATCATGACCGTCATATCAACTCGTGCGGAGGAAGCGGGACTTGGCTTAAATACCAGACCCTTCCTAGCGACCTCACGCCGTCTCCCCCTCCCGCGTCGGGCGCACATACTCCGTAATCCGCCGCGCCATAGCCGCGCTCGGCTGCCTCCGCACCGCCCGGCCCGCCGCGTCATGGTGAGCGCCATGCTGGTTGTGGTGGTGGTTGTTGGTGTAGTACGCCGCCCCACAGCCCCCGGTCCCGGCTCCGGCCCCGGCCCCGACTCCATCTCCGGCCCCGGGCCCGGCTCCGGCGCTGCTCCGCGACCCGCCCGAGTACGAGTAATACGCGCTGTCGCGGCGCTGCTCTGGCGTGTCCGACGGGATCCAGAGCGGGATCGCGCGCCGGGCCCGACGGTCGTTGGCCTGCGCCTCGGCGAGGAACACGGCGTAGTCGCTCTCGCCGCCCCTGTCCGCAGCGGTGGTGCCGTAGCGGTCTTTATCGGCTCCGTTCGTCTCTCGTGTGCGCGTTCTCGCCGCCGGTGCAGCAGCGACTGCGGCCGGTATTGTTGAGGATGGCGGGTGTCTCGATGAGGCGGGATTCGCCTGAGGTGCAGCAGACCAGGACGTGCGCGAGGCGCCGCTGCCGGTGCTGCCGCTGTTGTTGCGCGAGTGTCCGGTGCCGCCGCTCCGCCGCCGCGCCTCCATCCTATCCCTAAACGTCGTCTGCTGCTGATGGTGCTGCTGTCTTCTCGGCGACGTCGTCGACTCGCCTCCGCCCTCGTCGTCTTCGGGAATGGTGGCGTGCTGGGCCGGCGCGACGGTACGTGCGAAGCTCGATGCCGCGTGCGTGGGAACGTAAAAACTCCGCGGCGCCTGCTGTTGCGATGCCTGTCCTGTCGTCGCCGTTGTCGTTGGTGTTGTGGTGTTTCTAGAAGTCGCAGTAGCAGCACCCCCCACGTTCTTCGTCTTGCCGCCCCCGCCGAAGCGCTGTGTAAAAGAAGCCATGCGGCGCAGCTTTCCCAACGGCTGTGCCGTCGCCGACGACGCTGAAGGATCCGCCAGGGCGTTTGGCGCTGACAGAGGCGCTGTAGCGGTATCTGCTGGTGTTGTTGATGAAGGGGGAGAAGAAGAAGAAGTGAACAGCGCCGACGTCGAGCGCCGCAGCCCCCAGCCCTTTGACATTATGCCTTCCTTCCTTTCTGCTTTATTATGCCCCCCGCTCTCTCTCTCTGTCCCCACCCAAGCGAAATAGACAAGGGAACCGCTGGCTTAAACTTTTGCGCGCGCGCGGGTAGGTCGTCGATTGTCCCGCGATGCAGATTCTGAAACGCGAGGCGACTCGCCCCGTGGCGCCCTTGCCCGCACGGAGAGAGAGGGACGGGACGCACACGCCCCTCCTCCTCTTTCCCTGTCTCCCGCACTGCTGCTACCGGCCCTTTCCAGAGCAGGGTCGGTAGGTCGTTCCCTGGTTTTATTACGGCGTGAGAGGTGTGCGTGCGTGCGTGCGTGTATGTGTTGCGCTATAAGATGGCGATGATGAACCCTGGCAGATTTGGGAACCGCCCCCAAAGCAATATGGAATGATTCCAGGCGCGCTGCAGCAGCAGCAGCGGGTGGCCGCCGTCCTGCAGGCCAAGGCGGTGCGGACGCCCCCCCTCCCCGGGTTTTCCAGGTTCCCAAGATTCGCCGTCCGGCTGTCACCCACACGCAGCTAAAATAAATAAAGGAACGATGCAGCCGCGCCGCGCACGTACCTGTACGCACGCCGCCCGAGACCGGGGGTAGGTACTGTAGGTATGGCGTTGCGTCGTCTCTCGTGTTGGAAAATCGCGGGGTCGATTGCCCACTTTGTACGAATACCGGGGGGCAAATCCCGACTCAGTGGTTCCCGTCCTTGGGGAGCAGTATGCCAAGGCCTTTACCCAAGGTGTATTTGTAGCGCTGCCGTGTACTTCGTCAAAAGCGGCAATCTTGGGTTTGTAGAGCGCGGCGTATATCGTGAGAGCGTGTGTGCGTGCGTGCGTGCGTGCGTGTTGTGTGTGTGTGTGTGAGAGAGAGCCAGGGTAAAGCGGTTGATGCCGCGGGGCTCGGATAGGCGCAGCTGGGACGCAGAGAGGAAAAGGACGGCGGGATCTGGTACGACCACGTACGTATGGCTATCGCGTCGTATCACGCCAACAGGGCAGGCAGGCGGGCTGCTGGCTGGGCCGGCGTCGTGCAAGCGGTCAGTCCTGCAGAGCCGTCGGCGTGCGGCGCGGACGTTTCAAAAGCCAAGGCGTGCGCGCGTGTGCTGCACTCGATCCGGCCCTATCAAAAGGCCCAGACGTCGTTGGTGTTCGTCAAGCCCCCGTCTGTCCAAGTCGCACAGGACGTATGTTCGTTGCTGATGATGAGATATACGCGGCGGGGATGGAAGGAGGAGGAGGAATTTGGCTGGAGAGCGGACAATGATCACCAAGAGTCGAGCCGGGTGACCGCCCCCCCCTTTCCCACAGCGCCCGTCGTCTTATATACTCCAACGTTATTCCTTAGGAAGGATCACGCACCTTCACAGTCCGGTCCCCCATCCCTCCCCCCCACGACTCGAGCAGATCCCTGCCAGCGAGCTAGGATGGTCCCGTGAGCGTGGGCAAGCCGGAGCCCAGCGCAGCCCTTCCCTTCCCTTGCCCTCCTCATCCCTTCCGCCGTTTCCTGCGGCTCCGGGTCCCTCCTCCCCTCCACCCATCACGCAACAACCCACAGCGCATAGCAGCCGCATCATCAACCGCATTTGACTGCAGTGTTGGCACTGCCCACCACCCCCCTCCCCCCAAAAAGAGAAGGGACAAAATAGAAACGTACCCTCTCACGGCCTTCATGCGCGGCGGCCCCCAGCTGCGTCTGCGTCTTCCCCCCCCGGCTCATCCACCCAGCGCCGCCCGTCAGCTACCGGCATGCCCAGGCCAATAGAGGCTTCTGCCGCCGCACACACCGGGACCTCACACGAAGGGAATGTGCGCCTGCGCAAGCCACTTTGGCTTCGCGGCGCCGGCTGGGTGGATGAGCCACCGCCGCCGCTGGGACTGCGAATGCGCAGCTGGAAATCAGCACCAGCATCAGCAGAAACAGAGAAGTAGCGGCACCAGCGGTCACGGAGGGCCGGCAACTGCTGGCTGCACCACCACCAACGGCCCATCCCTGGACGCCGCCGGCGCCGCGGCCCCCCCGGTCTGCACATGCCTGCCCTGCCTGCCCGCGCGTCTGTCAGCGTCTGCGCCTGCGCCTGTGGGTGTGGCAGCCGAGCTGCCGAGCCCGTAAATAAATGGCTTGAATCAATGCTGGCAAAGGCCCAATCCAGTCCTGTCCAGTCCTGCCCTGTCGCAGCCCGCAAACCGCGGTCCTGGAAATCGGCATCCTTTCCAGGTCAGTCAGTCAGTCACCCGCATAAGATGAGGGTGGGCCTGGGTGGCGGCCAGTCTGTCATGCACGCCTGTTATTATGCCCCCATCATCAAGCACGATGGCGCTCCGCTCTCCCTTTCGTCGTGTTGCCCCCGTCCGTCTGTAAGCAGGGTTGAACTCTGTTTGATCTACCGCTCCAGCGAGGGGCCCCTTCCACCCAGTGAGCGCCCGCGCAAAATACCCATGGGCTGCAGATTGTAACACGGGATACATACTCGTACGTGTGGACGGTGATGGATGCCACACGGCAACGGCCCGAACCCTGCCACATCGTCAACACACACACACACACGCCGCGGATCCTCGCGCCACCCGTTGCGAAGTCTCAACACCGTTTTTTTTTCTCTGCCTGCCTGCAAGGGAGGGGAGGGGAGGGGGGCGCCTTTCAAGAGGGCGGGTAAAAGGGGGGGTGCACGCGACAAGAAAACGATGCATTTGACTCTAATCCTGCCTGGACTTCGTCACACGTAGTAGATGTAAGTAAGCAGCTAAAACAACAGAGCAGTGTGCCCAGCGAGCTTTGGGCATAGCATCGGAGAGCCCCCATGTCAGCATATCGTGAGACCGGGCTCGGGTAGCTACTAGCAGTGGGGGGCCGCCCTTCATCTCTTTTTTTTCGGACTTCAGCTCAATAGTCTGGCCTCGGAATTTTCTTCGGTCGATGAAGCAGAACGCAGTGTTGGTTGTCCCCCCCTCCACGACCGCGGAGTTGACGAGTAACACGTGGTGTGCGGGTCGAAAAACGTGAACCAACATGCTCCAGGCAGGCATCGTTTCCGTGAGACCGTCGAGACAACACCATGTCGGGCTGACGCAAAGGGCTGGCTGGCTGAGCACACAGTCGCCGTCTAGTAAGTTAGTAGACGCGCTCGTTACCAACAGTCTGCCTGCATGCCTGCCCACAGAGCCTCACGTCTTTCTGCGCTATCGATTTCCGCTTCCCCCACTGCTAGGGCTGCCTCGCGTCTGCCCTCCTACTGGGTGCCCGTGCCTGCCCTGTCCATGAAACCCGACGCCTCGGGACAGCCAGATCGAAGATCGAGAAGACAAGACGCTTGTCGAAGACTGCACTGCAACACGCATGGCCCCGTGTCCTTCCCCTCGGTAGGCCCCCCCTTCCAGCCTTCATCCAGAACCGATTCCCATCGGACCTCCGGCCACCCAACGTGGGTTCGAGACCACCCAACACGGCAAGCCCGCGCACAGCTTAAAACAGGGAATGGACAGAAGCGTCTGCTCGCACTCGCCTCTTCGCGTGCTAGGTAGCGACGGGGACCGCCACCATGCGCTCGCGCCAATAAGACTGAGACACCGCATGGCGAGGACGTGGTGAGCTGGACAACCGCCCGCGACAGGTCGCCACTTCCCGTCCGGGCATGACTTCATGCTCCAGACATGCTTTTGTAACCAACGAGACCCTACATTGGAACATCCAGTCTCGTTGCAGAAGACCTGGCTTGCCCTTGATGCCCTGAGGCGATAGCCTTCGGCTGTAGACGCTCGAGGCCTCTCGTCGTACTCGCACGCCAAGTTCTCCAAATGTCGTCAGCATCAAGCACTTCACAGTCGACAGTCCGCCAATAGTTGCCGCCGCAGGCCATTCGGCCAGGGCGAGTAATAACCTGTGTTCATGATACTTGGACGGGCAAGCATGGCCTACCCGCCATTGGCTAGACAAGTACTGTCTGCGCTCGAAACTCGGAGGGCACAGGCCACTTCCCGAGTGTGGCAGAGCCACAACGAATGGAACCAACACACGCCGCTCTCATCAGCCCTCAAGGCTGAGTATTGAATCCCAGGAAGCCCACTGCTCTTCCTGCATTCAAGCGCCCCTGATTTGGATGACAATGGTTGAAATCGTCGGCGATCCCGGACGCCCACTGCTCATCCGGACCGATTCATCGATCCCCGTTGTGGTGGTTGACACCGAGGGTTCTCGGACGCCCACTGCACGCCCAGATCCTCATACTCTCCGTAGTTTTGTGTCGCTCAAGTCGGCAACTCTGATACCAGCACTTGGTAATAGACCCTGTATCTGCTCTTTCGTCCGTGGCCGTGTCATGAGCCGCATCGCATCCTGGACGCCAACTGCTCGACCAGATGCCGAATGCCCCCCCTTGCATGTCGTCGTAATCAGAGCCAAAGAGAAAACAAAAAAGAAAGAAAAGAGTCCCGGATGCCCACTGCTCTTCCGGACCAAGATCTCCTAGGTCGAAGTAAAACGCGATGAAAATGTGCAAAATCCGCAGGAGCCCCGTTCGTCTCCTTCACACGAGTTGCGACGTAGTCATGCCTCCACAGACACAACCTGGGTCGACTGCTGTGCAGAGCCCGCATCAGGCAGTCGCACGGTTGCCAATGCCCCGTAGCCGCCGCGAATGCTGTCCGAGTTGACGCCTTTGGCGCGAAGGACGCTGTTTGCGACCCGGGCACTATCGCCATCGTAGCACATGGTCAGGACCCTCTTTCCACGCAGAATCGCCATCAGAGCCTCTGCGCTGGGGTTTCGCTTCCCGTCCTTGTCCTTGACCGTGAACAAGCCCTCCAGCTCCAGCCAGAGCTCCTCAAGCATGGAGCAGTCATCAGCCGGGTTGGCGAACGGACTCCCACAAGCGGCTCCGTCTCTCAGCGTTTCGAGCGGAATGCTGACAGAGTTTGGGAGGTGAAACGCCTCGTAGTCGGAGGTGCGGCGGAAGTCGAGGATCTGTGTATTTGGTTGAGCAACCAGTGCCTTCTCGAGCTCGTCTACCCCATCGACAAACGACAGAGATGAGCCTTGTGTCGCAGGACTGAGCGAGAAGAAGCTGGACAGTGCATCCATTGCATCGCGTTCCCATGCATCGTCGTAGCGATAGAGGTCAGCATTTTTGAGCCTCTGTGGGTGGGTTAGAGCAGCTCTTCATCTTGGGGAAAAGGTAGTCTTACCTCATTTCGCAGCGGACTAAACTTCTCGGGGCCGAGCTTCTCAAAATACTCGTTCAGATACTGGTAAGGAAGATCGCAGCACATGAAGACGCAGTTGATCTCCCCATTTGGGCCGGCCAGCTGTGACAGAGTGCCGTCTTGCTTCCTCTTCGCCAGACGCTGGAGAAGGCCCTGGAGGGTGAAGCCAGAGGATGGGCCGCAGACAATTCCCTGGCGGGTGAGGTCCAGCGACAGAGAATAGGAATCGGTTGCGCCAACCTCTTCCAGGGCATCAACGGCCGACTTGTACGGGAACTTGACTTCGCTCATCAGAGAGAACTCGCGGGGACCAGGGACTCGGTCTCCGGCATTGGTGCACACCCTATTTTGATCAGCCTGTGCCCACATTGGGTACCCGTGACGCTTACGCAATTCTGTAGACCGAAGGCTTGGCTTCTTTGAAGTACATCCCCAGGCCAGTCATGGTGCCTGTTCAGTCAGAAAGGGCCAGGAAAGCCTTGCAGACACCACGTACCCGAAGTGCCCATGGAGGCGGCGATGACGTTAATGTCCGGCAGTTGCTTGTGGATCTGCGGACCGGTCCAGCGGACATGTGCCTTCCAGTTCTACGCGAAATCAGCTTGAGACCAGATCGGCAGGGCTCTGATTCAAATCCAAACTTACATCATCGTTGATATACTGATTGGGGCTGCACACCGAATCAATCTCTCTGGCCTTCCGTGATGCCGCACAAATGCCGCCCCTCTCGTCGACGGGGGTTGGCTGCGCCGGGCCACCGATAAGAGTGCTGTGCGTCCCGCATAAGCGTCTGGTCACGAGGGTTGACTGCCGAGGACTTACACGTTGAGCCCGAAAAACTGCATCAGGCGCAGCTTTGTCTCGCTCGTCTTGTTGCTCAGATACGCATGCACATCGTCGATGCCATGAATGGCCCGAGCGACCATCGCCATAGAGATCACGGTAGAGCCGGAACTGCTCTCCACAATGGTCTTGGTCTTGCCAGCCTCGACGCTCTTGTCGAGCAGGTTCATAGCTATCCAATACTATCTTAGGACAATGCCCAACACCAGCGGTGACAATGGGACCCACCTGGAATGACCTTGACATTGGTGGCCGGGTGCATCGACATCATCTTGGCGTAGATGCGGACGCCGTCAGCCCTGAGTGGGTTGAGGCATTCCGGAATCTCCACCAGCGGCATGGGCGGATGGCATTCTGGGTCAAAGTAGTCCTTGACGGACTGGGGGCCCGCGTAGACATTGAGGTGATTCGGCCCCTTCATCATGCAATGACGCCTGAAGTTATGCGGCCCGTGCCGTTAGCCAGGGGGATATATGCTGGTGGTGGCGGTGGTGTTGACGAGATGGTGTGGAGGACTGGGGGTCTCCAACGAAGAATGGCGGGACATTGGACGGAAAGAAGAGACCGAACAAATGGGCGAGGCAAAAACGACCGGCACAATCCATTTTATACTGAGGCTTCACATCAGGGGTGCAGTGCCCAGCTGGGATCCCCGCAAAAGTCTTTGCAGCGCGATGACCCGTAAACAAGCGCACAAAACGGCAGGTTCCACGCCGACCGGGTCAAGGTTTGGCCTGGAATACGGTGTGCGAGTTGATGTAGAGCGTTCCGGAGGGACCGCGCGAAGCCGACGACGGGGGTTCACATGCACCTGGTTCGCTTTCTGCCTCTGCGATTGGGCCCGGAGATGGGTGGTCAAGCTTTAGAGCAAAGTCGGTGGCGGTCTTTGACGGGACTCTGGTCAGCCCATGCTTGCCACGGCACAAACTAGAGCTGCGTGTCGTGGTATCCTGGGCGGATGCACAGATCGAGAAGAAGTCGGATCCACTGGCTGTTCGAGGCTTAGGACGAGTTTCGGACCCTCGGGCTTGGCCTGGAAGTCGGGCTCTAGCGGCTGCAAGTCATGGATCTTCAGTCTCCATCGTGAGAGAAGCCAGGGCTTCCATAGGGCGACGCGGCAGAGGCACGGAGGACCCAAACCACATCGGGGCGGCGGTGGATCCCGCCGAAGGCACAGGGACGAGTGACGTTGATGAGATGCGCGAGGCTTTGCCAGCGTTTTTATTCCCTCGCGGTGCTGCCGCGCATCGTGTGCCTGGGAGCGAATGATCCGTAACACGGGGCGGTGTTTGCGGGGCTAAGAATGCTGTAAACGCCGGACCTAGGCCAAGGACGAAGGCAAGGGAGGCCCGGCGATGGGACGAGGTTTGCAGATGATGTGCAGGCGGACCGCGGGGCCGCTGAAGCAGAAAGAAAGTTTGGAGGCGACGGATTTGCCGAGGAACATGGGGGACGCCGACGACCCGAGATGGAGGACGTAGGCAGGCGGAGCAAAAGCCACGACCAGAGGCTTAGCCATGTACGAAAGTACGTACTTTGCAGTTCGCAAGGTCGTGTCACGAGGCTTCAGCATCGATCCTTCCATGGTATTCGGCCCTCCCGTGCCTGCCGTTTCAGCCGTCAGCACTCAATCAAGATGTCAAGATGGTGCGCAGTGGCAAGGGAGCTTCTCCAAAGGGCATCCACGAAGTAAATGGATGGACAACGACCTTCTCCGCATCTCACCCGCAACGTGGCTTGCTCGGCTGATGCAGACTCGACTCACCGACGGCCCAGGTGCTCTGCATCCGCCTCCCAGGTCACATCGGGTTTGATCCCATTGGCCGTCCGTCTCCCACGCGATCGCGTGTCACCAGCCTCAAATGGTGAAAGTCTTTAACCTGCCAGTGACAATGCGCAGAAACTGCCGATGCTGGGAATAGTTGCTTGAAGGGGACTCGTTCCGACAGAGGCGAGCTGGCTCTGGTTGCGCAAAAGAAACGTGCGTGGGGGGACGGAGCTTGGCCTGGAATGCTCGTAGCGGTTGTCGCGCGAACTCGTCCCGAGCCAGGCGTTGCTGGCCAAGGACGACGGCCCAGGCCAGGCTCGCTGCCGCCGTGGGTGAGACACTGCACAATGCCTTGTGAAGCACGGCTAATATAACCAGTGCCAGCATTCTCCGTCCTGCGGGCGAGCGATCCTCGACGAGGGCGACATCTTGGTACTCAGTGCTGTCCCATGACGGAGCCGGTGCCGCCTCTTTCGTTCATTAATATGAGATCAAGCCCACGGCCGTGCGCCAGATGGAGCTTGTCTCCGCCAAAGCAAACGCTTGCCATTGCCGGCCAATGGATCGCCGGTGGCAATTGGGCTGCTGCAGGAACACGGCCCATGCTCATGTCGCGGACCCGGGTCCGTGGTTGCACAACTCCACGGGTGCGCTCGGACGGCGACCTTGCCAGGAACGAGAGCCGGCTCAGGACAAGGGCTTGCCGTTGGCCGGGCGCAAGCTATCTGACGAGTCTGCCTTTACAGACATATTTTCATATGCCATGTAGCATAGGTGCGCCCCATCGATTCACGACGATCCATCATTGCAACCCCAGGCTTGCGGCGGTCATGCAGCAATGAGCCCACGAACCGGACGGAGGGCGCACTTCCAAGTCTTGCGTAGCGCTGGAGCTTGTCTTCGTCTGATTCCAATGTCTCAAGCCAAATCCAAGCGTGGCACGGCCTTGCGTCACCCGTAGCCTCGCACCAGGGGCAGCCAGGCACCGGCAAAGAATGCGAAGGGGCGCAAGGGAGGGATGCGCCTGCCGTCTGCTGCGACATTATTTAAGCCAGCTGCTCCAAGTCCACCTCGCTCGTCTCGCGCACCGGCTGCTCATACACTCGTTATCCGCTGCCCGCTCATTGTGATTTCAATTTGCAGGTCACAATGGCGGCCAAGACGCTCTTTACTACCTGGGCTCTCGCCGCCCTCGGGGCCTGCGCCGCGAGCTTCGAAAAGGCCACGGCCGTACCCGACGGATGGAGGAAACTAGACAGCGAGCCCGACGCCTCAAAACACCTGCAAATGTCCTTTGCCCTGCATCATCCCGCGACAGAAGATCTCGCCGACAAGCTCATGGCGGGCACCCGCCTCTCGCTCGCCCAAGTAACCGAGATGAGAACGCCCAAGCAGCGGGACGTCAGTGCCGTTCTCAAGTGGCTGGCAGAGGCCGGAGTCACGCAGACGAGAACCGAAAAGGACTGGATACACGTTCGGACCACAGTCGGCGAGGCAGAGAAGCTCCTCGACATGCGGCTACACCAGTACTCGTTCGACAACAAGCCCCCAATTCTCCGCACGACCGAGTACTCGATCCCCGACGACTTGAGTAAGATTGTCAGCTTTGTCCATCCCATCGCAAACTTCATGACGCCCACACACGAAGTCGGCCTCTCCAAGCCGTTGGACGTCGACCAGCAGGTTCATCAGCGCGATGGGGACGACTGCAAGACGGGGATTCGACCCGAGTGTATCCTCCAGCAGTATAACATCACTTACGCCCCACCAAATGGCACGTCGCACGTCCGATTTGGCATTGCGGGATTCCTCGAGCAATACGCCAACTTTGCGGACACGCAAATCTTCTTCGACCGCTACAAGCCGGAGCTTAAGGGCTACAACTTCTCGGTCGAGCTCGTCAATGGTGGCGCGAACCCCCAGACGCCGGCCCTCTCGGGTCTGGAAGCGGCGCTGGACGTGGAGTATGGCATGGCAATTGGCCACCCAAGTCAGGTCACGTACTACTCGGTTGGCGGCCACGGCGTGAAGCTCAACGACTCGGGAAAGCCTTACCCGGACGAGTACAGCGATAACGAGCCCTACCTTGACTTGCTCGAGTATCTTCTCAATAAGCCCGACAGCCAGCTACCGCACGTGCTGTCCATATCATACGCGGACGACGAGCCCACGGTTCCGCGGGCGTACGCAAAGAAGGTGTGCTGCATGTTTGGCCTCCTGGCGGCTCGAGGCGTGTCTGTCATCTTTGGGGCCGGTGACGGCGGCTCGGCAGGCGGTCGCAATGCAACTTGCCGAGCAAACGACGGCACGAACCGAGAAATGACGATTGCGACGTTTCCGCCGAGCTGTCCTTGGGTGACGGCAGTCGGCGCCGTGACGAATAAGGAGGATTCTCCTCCTGGTGCCGAGTTTAGCAGTGGCGGGTTCTCGCAATACTTTGTACGGCCGTGGTGGCAGACAGATGCAGTCGAGGAATACGTCAGGCAGCTGGACGGCCACCTCCACGGGTACTACAATCCCAGCATGCGCGCGCTGCCCGACATCTCGGCGGTCGGCACACTGTACACGACGATTGTCGACCACCGGGCCGTACAAGTGGACGGCACGAGCGCCAGCGCGCCCGTTTTCGCCGCCATGATCGCGCTCATCAATGACGCGAGGCTTCGCAAGGGGAAGAGGTCGCTGGGCTGGCTCAACAAGAGGCTGTACTCGAGCAAGGTGCGAAAGGTGCTGCACGACACCACAGAGGGCCAGAGCCGGTCGTGCGTGTTTTCGGGAGACAAGAAGCCGGGCGGGTGGCCGGCCAAGAAGGGCTGGGATGCCATTACGGGCCTGGGCACGCCGGGGTCCTTTGGCGACCTGCTGCGGGTTCTGGTCGAGGATTGATGGTGTTGCGAGCCGTGCGCAGTCCGTGGAGACGCGTCGCAAAGTAGACTATTTGGTAGCATCAGCATTAGCAACACGACATTTGATTTTGGGACTCGAAACGCCTGCGTAAGTGGCGAGAATCGTGCAGTGTATCGGAAGTTGTAAGGTCGGGCTCCAGCTTATTTGCTTGTTTATGGGACGAACCCGGCGTCGGCGCCTCGACGCAGCGCCAGCCAGTGGAGGCCAGCAATAGCGCTCGAGGCAGCTGACCCTGAAATGGTGGACGGCCTTCCCGCGGCGGGGAAGCGGCCCCAGTGCCTCCCGTCCCTCCACTTCAGGCGCCAGCGCAGCCCTGTGGCGGCCCCCTCTCGAGGTTCTGCGCGTGAACCGGTCGCCTGCAGCCCAACGTGAACCGCCTAGGCCAGGCAAGGGCGCTCCACCTCACCCGGACTGGCAGGCGGCGCGTGGCGCTAAGATACCGGCGCGATAACAGAACTCGACAAGCGGATCAGCGCCGCGCGACATCAACACACGCTCTCTCTGGCGCGTCGGCAGCGACCCAGCTTGCTTCAACTTCACCCGCGGTACACCAGCCTTCAACAGCAGCCAGTAGCACCAATCTTCTGCCCGTGTGCTGCTCCGATCGTTTCTCGTGGTGAGCAAGTTTGATCCACTCTCCACCAGACCTGCGGGACTACTACGAAGTACAGCCTCTGCGCGCATCTCGTGTCGGCGCCGCTTATTCCTCAAAGCATTTAGTCCCAACTGCTTCCCGCGAGCTGCACCTCGACGTTGGCGCCACAACATTGGGTCACCGCCGGGCCTCTGATGCGGTCGCACGACGTCTTCTCCTCCTTCGCCTAGAAATGCAGCATCCCTCGCCTGCTCGAACCCGCACCCGCAGCTCCTGATTTTGCCGGGGTCGTCCGTGTCGCGAGCACCCGCAGGCTCCGTTTCCCCCCAAGCTCGCCCAGAGAGCGGGGGCGTCGCACCACCACCACCACCGCCAAACCACCACCGTCTTGATCTGGCGCGTCAAACGAGCGAGGCTCCAACGTTTGACACCCGCAAACGCAACGCGCCGCACGCCTCGCTCAAGATGCCGACGCGGCACGTCGACCCCCACGCCGACGAGCACCTCGAGGACGTCGCCAAGGCGCTCCTCAAGGCGCGCAAGGTCGTCGTCGTGACGGGCGCCGGCATCAGCACCAACTCGGGCATCCCAGTAGGCACCCGCACCGCATTGCCGCACAGCGCGTCGTTAGGGCCGAATTGGCTGACATTTGACAGGACTTTCGCTCCGAGAATGGCCTCTACTCGCTGATCCAGGCCCAGTTCGATGCTGCTGCGCGACAGGCGCGTCTGGCCGAGGCGGCGGACGCGGCGGCTGCCAATGCCGACAAAGACGCGTTTGACGAGGAGCGCCCCAGCAAGCGACGCAAGATATCACGCGAGGGCTCCGTCGAGGCGGCCGAGGTGAAGCCGGAACAAATCAAGGAAGAGAAGAGGGAAGAGATTGGCGAGTCGATTACCGTCCAGGTGGACTTGCCGCCGTTGCAAGACGATGCAGAGACAGCTATGCCCGAACGTGACGAGAAGCCCGAGCTTCCATGCTACAGCACACCACGCATTGGTCCGACCGTGGCGATGCCGGCACAATTCACGACCTCGCCGCTGTCATCCCCACCAGCCGAAGACTTCATTCTCCCGCCTTGTACGCTTCGACACACGCACCGACGTCTCATTGACGTGGCCATGCCGCTCAGCTCCTCCCCGCTGTCGTCACCGCCACCTGTTCTCTTCGACCCTTTTGTCCCCAGTTCGCCTTCTGACGCGAGCTCCGGCCGGCGGAGCAGCACATCCCCGTCAGAGGTGGACGACAGCCTCCCGTCTTCTAACCCGTTCAGCTGCTCGCAGACGTCTACATCATCACTGAACACCCTGCCAAACATGAAGGGCAAGGACTTGTTCGACGCCAACATCTGGTCCGACCCCATCAGGACGTCCGTCTTCTACACATTCGCCACGTCGTTGCGGCAGAAGATTAAAGAGGCAGAGCCGACCGACTCTCATCGATTCATCAGCCATCTTCGAGACCGTGGCAAGCTCGTCCGCTGCTACACGCAAAACATTGACCAAATCGAAGAAAAGGTCGGCCTGTCAACCTGCCTACAACATGGAGCCGGCAGCAAGGGACGATTTTCCCGAAGATCCACGGCAAACACCAGCCAGCTAAACAAAATGGTCGAGGAAGCCTCCATGGTGGGCGCCGAGCCGAACAACACAGAGAGTTCAAGCCAGCCCCAATCGAGCCAGTCCCAAAGCCAACCTGAGCCAGAGTCGAGCCAGCAGAGCCAGGAACCTAGCCAGCAGAGTCAGGAGCCTCCGTCGGACGAGAACAGCACGCCGACGACAGACGCAGAAACACCATCGACTGACCAGGGTAAGCTGCAGACCCAAGCGCAAAAGCCTCGCTCCGGCGTGGAGTGCGTCTTCCTGCACGGTTCTCTAGAACTCCTCAGATGCTTCCTCTGCGGCAAGCTCTGCTCCTGGGACGACGAGGAACGCGAGACACAGACCTTGGCGGGACAGCAGCCCGAGTGCCCTCACTGCGTTGGCGCGACTGTTGCCCGCGAGGAGCGAGGCAAACGACGGCTGGGCGTAGGCAAGCTGCGGCCCGACATTGTCCTCTACGGAGAAGACAACCCCAACACGCCTCTCATCCACCCCATCGTCACGCACGACCTGGCACTCTATCCTGACATGCTGCTAATTCTGGGAACAAGCCTGCGAGTCCACGGCCTCAAGGTCATGGTGAGGGAGTTTGCCAAGGCCGTGCACAGCAAGGGCGGGAACGTGGTGTTTGTTAACTTCACCAAGCCACCGGAGAGCTCTTGGGGCGATGTTATCGATTATTGGGTGCAGTGGGATTGCGACGCCTGGGTCGCGGACCTGCAGAACAGGATACCCAAGCTCTGGCAGGAGCCTGAGCCCCCGCGTCCGAAGAAGAAGCGGGAGTCTACCGAGGGTAAGGAAGAGAAGAAGAAGCCGCCTGCAGCGAACCCCGTTGCGCTGCGCGACACCAAGGTCACTGGCGCGTATTGGACGTGCAAGGTGCTTCAAGAGCTGCACCGGATCACAGGGACGACGCCACCACCTGCTCGGCGCGCCTCCATCTCGGCTCCCGTGGACGCAGCCCATGGCGCCATCGAGGTGGCTACCGGCGCACTCGAGAAGGCCACTAAGCCGAAGCAACGGAAACCGAGAAAGTCAGCGCCGGGCGCGTTGGAAAAGCCGAAGCGAACGTCGTCGACGCTCAATCCCAATCACGGTAGGTCTAAGAAGGCCGCAACGGAGGCTGCGCAAACTACAGTCGGCTCGACGGAGACGCCTCTGGAGAGCAGGACAAGCATCAGCTCGATACTCAATTCCGTCAAGGAGAACCCTAGGATTCGCAAGAGGAAGAAGATTGACGGCGAGGAGGTACCCGCGCCCTTTGTTGGCAGGAGACGCACGCCAGCGCAGACGGCCAAGGCAGCGGCGCCGGAACTCAAGCTCGCGCCCATGGCATCACCGCCTCTGCCGGCAGCCAAGTCACACTACGGGCGGCCGCAGCCAATGGAGCCCAAGAGCCCTCCGTCCGGGCCGCTGGCGACTCTGTCACCGAACCGGCGCAGCGCTGCTGCCGTCTTTCCAAGGACCAAGCTCTTTTGCATCGAGGACCCGTGGGTGCACATGCTGGACTCGGGGCCGCAGTGGTCCGCGTCGTGGCTCGGCGCCGAGGACAAGGTGCCGCTCCAGTTTGGCAACAAGACGGCGCCGCTGTCAGGGCTGGCGTCGAGCCCGACGCTGCTGAGGGCCGCGCCGACGCCTCAGCAATACGGGGATCTTGCACGGTGGGGTTCCAACTGGAGGTGATGGAAGATGGGCCATGTTACAGCATGGAAGCGTGAACGCTCATGTTTCTTTCTTGATGGGCATGGGACAGGAGGGATAGAGTCGGCGTATGGGCATTGCATAGTCTGCCTCGGTATAGACGGGGCAGAGGGCGCGTGGGGTCGTGTTTTCCCATTCATCAATCAACAAGCGTCTGAAACAATAGACTGCTTCCGTGTTGACTCTGAGAGGCGATGATCTCGCTCCGGCCGACGTGTTGACGTGTTCGACCACCCGCGATAACGAACGACGCTTCATGCGCGGTGATGAGCAAGCATTGCTTGTTTGGTTTTTGTGGCTTGCGGAGCGATACCGGGCAGTGGAATGGGTACCGAAGGCTAGACTCGGCCGTTGCGTTTGCGTCGTTTCGCCCATCCGCCCGCCGCCCGGGGCAAAGGGCGCCGATGACAACGCGCGCCGACCGCGTCTTTTGGTCAGGTTCGCCAATGTGGGGGGGGGGCGGCTGGACGGGGAGTCCCCGTTCTCCTGCGAACTTGGTCTCCAGCTTGTCGGGCGGGAAGGCGGGCGGGCGTCTGAATTGACTCAGCGGCAGTGGGTGGTGCGGCTGTCTCTTATACACATCTAGATGTGTATAAGAGACAGGCTAATACGTCGTAGTACGATGGGGGTTGGGGGGGCAGGAGAGATGCCGGCCGGCGTTTTGCTCCTCGGGTCTTTGGTAGTCTTGCGTACATATCTCGACCTGCCCATTGACTCACCGGACAAACGAGAACAGGTACTACCACTACGCACGACTCTTTTCTCTGCGTGAAGCAAACTCACTGTAGAGTGAGCAACCGATTGAGGAGCTGCCGGCCGCCTTGCTGTCTCGCGTTTACTTATACGGCTGTGCATGCCCCTCCCCAACCAACAACCACCCTTCTCGCTCAATCGTCGTCTCACTCATTCATTAACCGCCTCCTTGATACAGAGTCTCCCTCATATCTTGACATAAAGAAGCCTTTCTTGCAAACATGGGTGAACAGATCCCCGTGAGGACCAAGCCGCAGGATGAGGGCGGGGCGAGGAGCCCGTTCGGAGGTGCCCTGAAGAAGGACTTCCCCATCGACCCGGAGTGGCACAACCTCAACCACGGTGAGTGAGCGAGCACACTCTGCCCAGCCCAGCCGTATACACACCCAATCTTCATCTTTCCCCCCCTCTCTCCCATCCTCCCGACCAAGCACTGGCTATACGCTGTACCAGCTTGCCACATGGCAACGTCCCACTCATCCCGAGCGAGCAACTACCGTCTCACACAAAGTGCAAGGTCAAGTCTCGACTAACACACACACCCACACCCCTCAGGCTCCTTCGGCACCCTCCCCAAGGCCGTGCTCGCCCGCCTCCGGCACTACCAGGACGCAGCCGAGGCGCGCCCCGACAGCTTCATCCGGTACGACTACCCGAAGCTGCTCGACGAGTCGCGCGTGGCCGTCGCCGCGCTCGTCAACGCCCCCGTCGAGACCGTCGTGTTCGTGTCCAACGCCACCGAGGGCGTCAACACCGTCATCAAGAACCTCGCGTGGAACGACGACGCCAAGGACGTCATCTTGACCTTTTCCACCGCGTACGAGGCCTGCGCCAAGGTGGCGGACTACATTGTCGACTCGACGGGCGGCAAGGTCGAGCACCGCGAGATTACCATCGACTACCCGCTTGAGGATGAGGAGATTCTTCAGGCGTTCCGCGAGGCGGTTAAAGCTGTTGAGAAGGATGGCAAGAGGGCGCGCGTCTGCATCTTTGACGTCGTCTCGTCGCGCCCGGGCGTGGCGTTTCCATACATTGACATGATCAAGGTTTGCAAGGAGCTGGGCGTCATCAGCATGGTGGACGGGGCGCAGGGCATCGGCATGGTTCCGCTTGATTTGACTAACGCTGATCCCGACTTCTTCGTCTCCAACTGCCACAAGTGGCTGCACGTCCCCCGCGGGTGCGCCATCTTCTACGTGCCTGTCCGGAACCAGCACCTCATCCCCACGACCCTCGCCACCAGCCACGGCTACATCCCCAAGTCCATCGCTCGCGGGTCCCCGCTGCCTCCCAGCGCCAAGGGGCAGTTTGTCAACAACTTTGAGTTTGTGGGCACCAAAGACAACGGACCCTATCTGTGTGTCAAGGACGGCATCGCGTGGCGGCGGGATGTGCTCGGCGGCGAGGACAAGATTCTTGCTTACCTTTGGGACCTCAACAAGAAGGGCATCAAGTACGTTGCTGATGTCCTGGGGACAGAGATCCTGGAAAACAGCAAGGGAACAATGACAAACTGCTCCATGGCCAACGTTGCTCTGCCGATCTGGATCGGCGAAAAGGGCCGGGGCGCCAAGGAGAGCGATGCCGTCGTAGCGACTCAAGATCAGGGAACGGCGTTCCAGTGGATGTCGCGCACCATGGTGGACGACTACAAGACCTTCATGTCTCTATTCGTGCTCGGCAACCGATATTGGATCCGCATCAGCGCATCGGTGTATTTGGATATGGCGGACTATGAAGTCGCGGGCAAGGTGTTGAAGGAGCTGTCGGCGAGGGTGGCCAAGAAAGAGTATTTGTCGACATAGACCCCTCATGTAAACAACGGGCTTGGCCGCCCGTCATTATCAGAGTTCATTATGCTATTTCGGCTGATTGGACTTGAGAGCGTCACTCAATTTTGGGTGAGCGATTGCCAGCGGCCACAAAAGCTTGGTCGTATCCAGCGTAGCAAAGTCAACAGCAGTCGGGTTCGACGGCCTGTGTCCTCCTGCGATCGCGCCAACATGGCGTACAAGGCGGCACCGCATCCAGTAGACAGTCTTTTCGAGATTGCATTGGTGAGCACGGTTTTGGACCACATGGTCGTGGACATCAAGCGCCCACGCCTGAACAGTTGCCATGTCGACCTTTATTCCCGTGTCGATATCCTCGAGGTTGACGAACGCAGGGTCCAGGCCCTTGGCGTGGCCGTCAGTCCAGAACCACTCAATATCGTCCCCGGCTGGAAGCAGGCGAGCGCGAAGGTACGCCGGCTGCCCACGTCTGCGATGCAGAGCAACTTTTGGGACAGCCTCGACGAATTGCTCGGCCGCCTTACCCTTGCCGAGCGCCTTCTTGGCTGCCTTATCCTTAGCTTTGCTTCTCCTAGAGGCGCAGGTGGAAGGCGGGAGGTCCTGGTCGAGCCAACCGACGGCGATGGCGAGATCTTGATGCTTGACGGGAGGGACAGGTGGAAACGTCGGGACAGGTTTAGTAGTGTCCCAAGAATTCTCGAATACTTTAAACCACAACCACTGAAGCCGCATCAGCATCTTCGGGATACGTGAGGATGGTGGCCTCGGGGCCAGGGACTTACGGCCCGAGACAGCATTGGTCGAGGTCTGTACCCGCTCATTGCCTGCCGATACGCCTCGATGATATCGTCGGCGCAGTGCGCTTCCTTGTCAGTGAGGTCGGAAAAATTGGCCACAACGCGTGACGCGTCTCCCGGGCCTTCAAGTGTCGCCATTACGGGGATGCTTGGATGGCGGATTGGGACGTGATGCGGGACGCCCTGGCCGGCCCGAAGGGCAAGGTAGGTCTGTTCGTTTGCCGTTGGGCGTTTGAAGTTCCTTAAAAATTCCTGCACGGCCTGGGGTAGAAAATACGGCCTGCAAGCTGGCGATGGCTAGTGTGCTCGCGAAATCTGAACAGCGGCAGCCTGAGCAAGAGTTTGAGTCTCAGTCATCCGAGGCCCTTGGGAAGGTGCTGTCGCTCGCCTAGCGACTGCATACGTTTGGCAAGTGCGACTCCGTTCCACGTCTTCTTTCGTCCGACCAGGCACAGGCCTCCGAGATGAGGGCATCCCGCCTCAAGAAGCTCTACTCTCAATGATTTCCCGTTCAGTACTGCCGTCGTCAATTCCGCAGGATAGACTGCGTCTCGCGCGGAGCCGAGACATCACGAGGCCCTACTAGACGAAGCGCCGCCGCCGCCGGTTGTCACACAAAGTGCGAAGAGGAACCAACGAATCTCCAACTCCGATATTTCGTTTTCACTGCGAATCTACTTGTATGGAGACTGGCATAGGCCTCGCCCAAACAAAACTCGGCTCCCGGCACGGAGAGCGTGGCGCTTACGCCGGGCCGTTTCAAGGCTGCGGTCGTGCGGCAGCCGTGTTTCAGCAACGCACTCGGCCGGGAGAGCAGCCGATCTGGACTGGCCAGTGCCGGAAGAAACGGCTCTAGTATCGCGGTGGCGTCGACATCTTTCCGAGTCGCCGGAGATCACGGCGATCCGATGCCATGCGGCATGATTGCGTGAGCCGGCTCAGCGGGTTCCACGTCAGCTGCGTACGCCCAGATGATCGAAACGGTGCCGAATCGCCCTAAGCCTTGGAAATGCTTGGCCGCGAGCTCATGGGTGTTTGCCACCGCTATCGATATTTGCCTTTCGTTCTGTGGCGTTTCAAGGGACCGGAAACAGGGCCCTGCGGCGGCAGACGAATCGCGTGCAGACCATATGTTCTGATTCTCATACCTACCGAAGCGAGACAATCTGCTCATACACGCTAGGCCGTACGACACTTCCAAATGGGCAATGTCGTTGCCGGGAGCCCGGGCCAGAACTTTTCGATGGCGGCTAGATCGACCCGTGCAAGCGGGCGCCTGGTGCCGGCAGTCGCCGAGGCGCTTCGCGGCGTTTTGACCTCAACTCACGACACCCTATGGTAAGGCATAGCTCTGCTTTGTCTGCAGGTTACTGCATTGTGCAGACTCTCGGCACGAGGGGCCGCCTGTTTCGAACCTCACCGCCAGCTGCAGCCACATAGTTGGGGTTCCCACCGCTGGATGTTACGCGGCGCGTTTGAAAACCATTGCGCGTGGTGTTTTATCGTGTTTGCCTTCGGGCAGTCTCGACCAGTGTATACGCGCTATGCGGTAGTTTACAGGATCCCCTTTGGGCGAGGTGACTTTGGTTGATGGGTCCATGGCAATTGACAAGGGCCGCGCTCGTCGCCTCAAGGGGACGCGGCAGCAATGCGGCCTCTGGGGTATTGATATATCTCAGGGCTACTCCCGCGGTTTGTAGTGTACCTTTGGCTGGCCTTCCTCGTCGTCTGTATGTTCTCCAGCTTGATCGCATGACAGCTGGTCGATCGGTGACCGCCACTTCTCTTCTTTTAAACCACCTGGCGTGGGATTATTATTACCATTAGTTTTGTTGCCCGGCGGGCTACTTTCCTGCTGCCATGGAGCCAAAGTCTTTCTTAGCCCTTGTCATTTTCGGCTTCTTATCGCTGGTCACGGCATCGGGCGCCGGTGTCGAGAAACGCTCTTTCACAGTACCACGAGTGCGCAATGTCAATTTCGTCGGCCACAATGGACCGAAGGAGCTGGCAAAAGCGTACCGAAAGTATCGAGTGCCTGTTTCGGATAGCCTCGTCGAGGCTGCCGCGTTTCAAGAGGCAAGGTTGAAGAAGAGGAGCCTCGAGCTACAAAAGAGAAGCGTCGAGATCCCGGCAGCGGCAGGCAAAGTTTTTCGGCCGGTCCGCGGCAGCAGCGTCGCTCGACGAAGCGCAGGTGGGCTCCTCAGCTGGGGGGCCAGCGCCGTGGGACGGATATCTGTACCCGTGGCCAAGGAGGACGACCATACCTTGTGGCCTCGGCAGCAGAAACAGGGCAACCAGACTGGCCGAGTCGTGGCGGTCCCGGAGCCAGCCGATGCTGAATATTTGTGCAAGGTTCGCATTGGCGGCCAGGATGTGAATCTCGACTTTGACTCTGGGTCCTCTGACCTCTGGGTGAAGAGTGTCGACCCAAGCGACACGGATCCCAAGAGCCGTGCGGCATTCGACCCAAGAAAGAGCAAGACGTTCAAGCTCATAGAGGGGGCGAATTTCAGCATAATCTACGGAGACTCGTCGGGCGCCCGGGGTGGTTGTGGAACCGACGAGGTCCAAATCGGAGATCTCACGGTGAAGAACCAGGCCGTGGAGCTCGCCACGCAAGTATCACGGCAGTTCGTTGAGGATGTGCGCACCGACGGGCTGCTCGGCCTCGCCTTTTCTGAACTCAACGCAGTAGAGCCTCAAAAGCAAAAGACGCTTTTCGACAACGCTGCCTCGAGTCTCGAGCAGCCGATCATTTGCGTCGACCTCAGGAAGGGCGCAAACGGCTCGTACACATTTGGCAAGTGCGACGACACCACGATTGACGGCCAGCTGACCTATGTGCCATGCAACACGACGCAAGGTTTCTGGGCCGTCAAAACCGAGGAGTTCTCCGTGGGCGACGGGCAACGGCAGAAGGCGGCACCCGGCACTCATGCGATCGTCGACACGGGCACGACACTCACCCTTGCGGGGCCTGAGCTGACCCAAAGCTATTACAAGCAGGTGCAAGGTGCTCAGTTCAACGAGCGGCAGGGAGGGATTACCTTTCCGTGCAATTCCACGCTTCCCGACCTCCACCTGGACGTCAACGGCCTGTACAATGCAACGGTCAAAGGGGAGAATTTGATCTTTGGAGAGATAGGAGACGGAAGTAAGTCTTTAGTTGCATGAACCCGCGAGAGCTTTCCGGCGTGGCTAACCTGTCTTTTAGGCTGCTTCGGTGGGGTCCAGCCGTTTCCCCCAAGTGGTTCGCGTCCGGACACAGTCATCCTCGGAGACAACTTCTTCAAGAGCAACCTTGTGGTTTTTAACCTGGGGAACAACACGGTGGGGTTTGCGACGAAGAAGTAAATGGCCGGTTGGGAAGCTTGGCGGAAAGAAGTCGGCAACGGTTCGATAGAGTGCTTGACGGTGGAGTCCTGCGGCGGGCAGGTCTCGCCCAGGAAGGTAGGTCAGGGTAGCTGCTATGCGGGGATATGCCTTGCATGTGCAGGGAAAGGAAGCGGCCCTTCTGAGCCCCTTCGATCTAGAACCCTGATAGATTCTCCATGGGGAAACCGACTACGTCGTCACCGCGGCCACGAGTCGTTGGGCCTGGCACAGCCTCACTGAAGGTTCCAGGGCAGCCGCGTGATTGTCGACGTGCCCTGTCCGTTGGCCGAGGCCCCCCCCCTGAGATGGATGGCTGTCATAGGCGCCGTACCGCGTGCCAAACGGCGCCATTCCGCAGTGGTGGGCCAACAAGCCTCTGTCGTACAGCAGCCGGGCGGCGGGCGATGCGGCTGAGGCCGGATTGGGGAGTCCCCATGACGTGGGTGACGGCAACCGCATGAGGCAGTCTGCAGGTAACCCAACCGCTGAAGAGCGGCTGGAATACAGCCACTCTCGACCTCTGTGTCCGGGCATTTATACGCGCTCGTCGAGCCACCCACCACCGCTCGACCGGCGTTCATACATAGCTACCATCATCATCCTCACATCTGCAGTATCATCGCGCGCAAAGAAAAGAACAATCATCCGCTCAGGGACGTCCTAGCCGAGAGTCCCGAGACACATCCACGTCAAAGCACAACCCGCCAAACCTACCTACGTACCTATCATGGGTTCATCGCAGTCCTCCACCTCCTCCTCCAGCGACGGCAGCGCGCCCAAGAAGTCGCTCTACCAGCGCGCGCAGGAGAAGAAGCGCGGCCCCGGCACGAGCGGCCTCAGCGACGAGGACCTCAAGAAGTACACGGGCAAGACGCGGGCCGAGTTCGACGCCTGGAAGGAGACGACGCCCGGCGTGGGCAAGAACCAGCTCGCGGGCAAGCTGGCCGTGGGCCCGACGAGCGGGCTCGGCGGCGCGGCGACGGCGGGCGGGCTGGGCGGCTGGGGGCCCGGCGCGGAGCCGAACGACCCGAACCGCGGGATGAAGTTTCCGCCGCAGCCGCTGCCGCGGAAGGAGAGCTTTGGAGATGAGAGTGAGCAGGAGGAAGTGAAGAAGAAGGAGGTTAAGGTCACGAAGCTGACGGATGGGTTGGCGATGAGCTGAGGGGATGGCGAGGATGAGCGGGCGATGATGGTGACGGTCCTGCGAAGGAGGGGCCCAGGATGATCAGGGACGGATTACGGATTGGGGAGGTGGAGCGAGCGTCGGTTGAGCCCTTGTTTTACTGATGTCTATTATTGAGATTCTTTGAATAAACGACTACGCTGCGATACCTTGTTCATTTCTTCACCCTATCTCCATGCGCTGCGTGTTTACCTGCCTCTGAAAGTAAGCTCTCAATAGCGTTCCACGCCCGAGCCCCAAGTCTACCATAGGCATGGTAGGTAACAGTAGCAGGCGCAGCACAGGGTGCCTAGTGCGGCTCGCCTAGCGGAACCCGTTCCGATCGAACAGGCCGCAGGCCAATATTGTGGCGCCCGTCCAGGTGGGTGGTGCCCCGACACCAGACAGGCTGCCGAAGAGCTGGAGGCGACTCGCATCAACGCGCCCAATGGACTCGGGCGCAAGGCACATCGACTGTAGCTGCGAAAGAGAACGTCCGCAGTGCGGCCGAGGGGCTGTGCCGCCGGGAGCGTTTCCGACTCGGCAGCGCTGTTGAAGGACAAGCGAAGGAGGGAGGCTTCGTTGGATGTCGTTGATGAGGCTCAAGCATAGATGTGCAGCTGCGTGTGAAATCGGGTTCCTCTTGGACTGGGACACGGTATATATTTACTTGGAACATAGGCACGGGCTTTTGCTGGACTGGATGACTGGGTAACAGGGAAGTATGACTGCTCAATTCGTATTTCGTGTATGATGCATGGTTTGTTTGGCATTAACCGCAGCTTAGCCGCTCGTTGCCTCTGGATGCCTTCTTCCCCTGTCCGTAGGTCATCAATGATCGTGTCCCAACTCTTGCTCTCTCTTCTATCGCGGATCAACAAGGGAGGCATGGAGGGTAGTAAAGTCAGCTCTGAATACTTGACACCCCATTTGCAACCCACCCTATACCCAGTTGACCGCGCCAAATAACGAGCAGAACACAGTCTTCTTCTTGCCCGTCAACCGCAACAATGTCAAACAACAGCTCCTCCCCGCCCCACGACGACCGTACAAACAGTACCGCCATCCCAGCATTCACCCCCTCTCGCGTCCAGTCCATCCTCACCTCCCGCAACCAGCACCCGCCCCCCTTCCTCTCCCTCTTCTACCTCAACACCGCCACGATATACTGCGCCGCCATCACCGACAGCCTCGACGCCATGCAGACCCAGGTCCTCCCCAGCCGGGCCCTCACCGACGACGAGATCGGCGCGCTGGCGGACCACATGGGCGCCACCACCGGCATCGTCCTCGCCTCTCGGCCCGCCATCCTGGCCACCACCCTCTTGCTCGCCTGGCGCGGCCGCGCTACCTTCCGCTTCCCCTTCTGGCAGCCCAAGTGGGTGAAGACGTCGCAGGACGTGTTCCCGTCGATTGCCCAGCCCTGGCTGCGCGACGAGAAGACGGCGAGGCTCGCGTGGCATGCGAGCCGGGTGGTGACTTATGGGGTGCTGTGCTACTTGGTCGTGCCGTTTCCCCTTGTGACGTACGCACACGTCAGGGGTACACAGGGCATCGCGTCGGACCCGAGGCTACAGGAGATTTTCGCGGAGTCGGTGCAGTATAAAGAGGAAATGAAGAAGTTGAGGTTGCGCTAAGCGGAACGACCGTCGGACTACCGTGCGCCCAGCCGGAGCCTACAGGTTGTCCTATACTGGAATCGGAGGTAGGTCTGAGAAGCACACGATAATAGCCCTTCCTGGGTTATGGTTGATAGTCGACAACTGCTGCGGGCGGCATCGAAGAGGTGGCTGCGAGGCATACTCCATGCCAGATTTTGCGCCTCTCTGTCATCTTGACCATGCAACCACTTAAAGAGAAAGCTATTGGCTTATACGGCCCATCTGAAGCAGAAGCCTGGAATAGCTGAACAGGCGTGGCGCGATGCCGCCGCGACAGTACTTGCTCCTCCTCGAGGCTAGCACTTCAGCCATTGTGGCTTTTCCAAACCCAGCCTCACCTGTCAACCGTTTGCCATGGCCAGGCGGTTCATTCTCGCCTATACGACTCCACACGTTGGGACATCAGATAGTCCCTCCCCGCTGGATATAGCCCGCTCCGGGAAACCCGCAAATGCCCACGCGCCCTTCCGATATTGACAGCTCTTGGCAACCCCATTCTTCAGTCATCAGGGTTCTCAACGTAACTTACCAGCAATGTCTCCGAAGCCCCATTACCAAAACCCATCGACTGTTCGGCAATGAGAAAAAAGTCTCCGAAACGGGGCAGTGGCCGAGTGACAGCGCAAAGTCCGGGAGTTCATGTTCAGTTTTCCAACTCTGACACCAGACGGCGGCTCGCCACGGGCCATCGGCAAGACGGGTGCTCCGACCTGTCGCCTGTTCGCAAACTTATAAGTTAGCGGTGCGCGGCGTTTCACACAATATGTGATTGAGTTGCTGCATGCCCGATACTCACTTACAAGAGCTTCACCCGAGTGACCCGGCTGTCTGCGTATTACAACCCCTAGAGCGCACCGGGCCTCACTCGTCACCACCGCATACTGCCCTCGTCCACCACATCACCATGGCACAAGAAGACACCACCACCTCGGCCCAGCCGCGAACATCGAGCAACCCCCTCCCCACAGCCATCGAGCACTTCAACCTCTCCGCCGCGCACTACGAGCGCTCCACCGGCGGCTGCACCCGCCAGCTCGCCCGCGCCCTCCTCTCCCTCCCCGCCCTGCGCTCCCTCTTCGCCGACCCCTCCGCCGCGGTCCTCCTCGACAACGCCTGCGGCACCGCCCTCGTCACCGAGGAAGTCGCCCTGCGCTGTCGCCGAGATGCCGCGCGCGCCAGCGCCAGCTCTTCCTCCGGTGGCGGCAGCTCAGGGTCAGGGTCAGGGTCAGGGGCAGTCCCGCTGCCGCGCATCCATGCCGTCGACCCGGCCGCCAACATGATTGACCTTGCGCGCGCCAAGCTCACCGCTCTGGGCCTCACCGACGGTGATGAGGAGACTACGAGAGCAGCAGCGACCTGCGCCGTCATGCCCGGCGAGAAGCTCACCTTCCCCGATGCGTTCTTCACGCACAGCATCACCAACCTCGGCATCCTCTTCTTCGACGACGCCGCCGCCGGCGCGCGCGAGATCCACCGCACCCTGCGCCCTGGCAGCGGCAGTGTCGCCGTCGTCACCTCCTGGGCCGACGTCGGCTACGTCGAGCACGTCCTGCGGCCCGCCGCGCGCGCCGCCCGCCCGCACGACCCCCCTTTCGAGCTGCCCATACAGAAGCACTGGTTCGACCCGGCGCACGTGGAGCGGTGCCTGCGCGAGGACGGGGGCTTCGCTGACGTGGAAGTGTCGGAGCAGGTGGTGCACTATGGCGCGGATACGGTGGAGAGCCTGCGTGGGATGCTGCTCGATACTTTCACGATGCTGTGGAGGGACTGGTCGGATGCGGAAAAGGATACATTTGAAGCGGCTATCTTGGAGCGCCTCCGAGAAGCGACAGAGCCGTATACCATGGTAGATGGGGATCCCGGGGTCGGCATCCGCATGCGCGCCATTGTCGCCGTGTGCCGCAAGTAGACAAATGCTGCCGTCTTTAACGGTCGTTGTCGATATGTATTCATGAGCTCGTGAAGCGCACCTCGTAAAGGGTCATCTAGTCTAGTCCAAAACACCACCTGATCAATACCCGCTCTCCCCTGTCCCAATTTTCTTGTGAACCGTGAAACTCTTTGGCCCATACTGAAGCGTCATCAGATTTAGGTGCCATCACTTACACCAACTCAGCCGAAGAAAGATACCCAAATCACAAGTTCTTACCGCACCGAGTCTTGGCGCAACACGCTCAACGCGCGGCCACCAGGGGTCAGTGCCTGCACTCGCCTAATGGTTTGGCTTCGCCGCTGATATGCTTCCGTCGCCTCCGCCGCGCATAATCTCCGCCGCTTGCGAGAAGAACGAGTCTATGCGAATCGTCGCCGCCCTAAGCAGCGTGTTGATTTGTACGTGGTCCACGTCATATAGAGCATGCATCGTCCCGTGGAAGCTCTCCAGCAGACGGTACGCGCGCTCAATATCGCGACGTTCCGACGCTAGCAGGAAGAGGAACACGAGAAAATTTCCGCAAAGAATGAGCTGAGAACGAGCATCTGTGATTGGTGTCAGTGGCTGAGTGTGGATGAAAGATGGACACGACATACGCCTTCCCCAGAATCCAAACAAGTCGGCCTTGTTGACACACGACAGAAAATCCACAAACGCTTCAAACGCAATCAGCGCTTCGGGGAACCATCTACGGAGATTCGAGCTAGGAGTTGTCTTGGCCTGTCTTGTTGGAGGGTGCATCAGGGCACGATACAGCAAGACTTGAGCTGCATAGAATGAGAGATGAAGGGGACCTGCGAGTGTCAGCGCCAAATCTGCAAGGTATCATGCATGGCATATACGTACAGTTGTAGGACGTGACGTGCGAGCGCACCCTTTCGTCCTTTTGCACAACGAGACAGGATGGAATCAGGCTCGTCCAGTCCCGGAGTTTCGCCTGCACCGTAACCAGCTCGTTCTGCGCTTCCATGGTATCGTTGATCGTCCTCGCACTCGTATTCACTTGGCTGCAGGCGATGGTCAGCGTGGCTCATGTACCTCCGTCATGCGAGAAACTCACAAGCTGCTGTCGAGGACTGTCCGCAGCGACCGGACAATGTGAATCATTTGCATAAACCGGGCGCCCGTGGAGACCTCGAAGCTCGTGTCCGGCGGCTCCACGAGGTACTGGAGATCCTCGGGGACGTCTTCGTCACATCTCACATCCTCCATGGTGAGTGGCGCCGTGTTGTACGACGTGCTGGCAATGTGAGGAGGGTTGCCGAAGCAGATGGACGACCAGCAATCAGAGTAAAACGTCGCCCACCACAGCTTCCGGCGCAGGTGCTTCTCTGTCGCGTTGATGTTCCATTGCCCTGGTTCGAGGTGGAGGCCAATCATCTGAGCGCAAGCCGTTGCCTGTGCGGCCAACGTCCAGGTCGTCGGCGCCTCTATGCTGTCAATGGTCGGGGGTGTGACGTGAATGAGCAAGAGGCACGCTTGAAGGACAAAGAGGTTTGGGTTTTCAATCTCACGTCGCAGTGCCTGATGAGCATAATCGACGAGCTCATGCTGCTGAAATGGGACTGGTGTCCCCCTCAGCGCGACGTCGCAGCTCCAGAATACGGATGCCAACGCGTAGATAGCACCTCGCAGACATGCAGGGATACTCTTCTTATCGACCTGATACCTGCGTAGAAAGCGCACCTTGGACACGATGGGGAAGACAGGGTGGACGTGTCGAAAGTATAGCCGGACCAGGTTCTCGCCGTATGGCCACACCTTGGCCTCGATGGAATCCGAGGCATCCTGTCTTGCTCGATTTACATGGTCCGGGTGCCCTATCTCTAGGAAGAGAAAATGCACGGGCTGGTCATCGCGCAAAGAGCTTCCGGGGTGGACCTGAGCGATGTTGGCGTCCAGGTTGTACTTTTCGCTCAGGATGCCGTAACGAAAGGCATCGAGCAAGAAGCCGTCCTGCTCTGATGTGGGTCCCATGAAGTAGGCACAGCGGCCAGGGATGTCTTCCAGAGAGTGTGTTTGGGGTGCCGCTTCGGGTGATGTGACGGAGATGACAGATGCCGTGTCCGCAGCCCGATGGGGGTCTGAGTTTACCGTCGATGGACTCGAGTGGTAAACAAGGTTCTGGTGGATTAAAGCAGCCGGATCTCGATACGATGGCGTGTGCGCAGGCTGGTCTATCACCATGCCCACCCCGTACGGTGAAGCAGCAGAGCCAGCCGGGCTTTCATGCCCTGTGCTGGGGGTAAGGAGGTCGTTTGATTCCTTGCGAACGCCGGGCAGGGGAAACACCTGCTGGTTCGCCGCCGGAGCCTCAAAGGGCTGCCTCTGCTGGTGCTGCGCAGGCGCGCTCGCACCTTTCTCGCCGGGCTGTGGCTGCTGGCCGTCCCCGAGGCCTACCACGGGCGTGGACTGGCACGGGATGCCCCTACTCTCACAGAACAGACCTGGACGACGGGTCGCTGGTTAACATTGCGGTTCTCGGGCGGGCCCAGCAAGGCATGGAAGGGATCTCGAAATTCAGATTAAAGTTTTGGCCCCTGCGTTGGCCGACATTGGACAACGTGAGCATGAAGGCCCAAGCTCGCCGGCGACACCTGTTGGCCGGCACGGGTCGACAGCGGGCGTGAACGCAGCCAACGGGTCGGCTGGGCCCGTCGTCGAGGAGGAGCCGAGACATGTGCATGCTATGCACGTCACGACCGGGAGCCCAGCGTAGTGCACGCACAAAGCAGGGGATGCGGGGGATGAACGCGAGGCTTCGGGGATGCTTACAGGGCGGCTCCGAGGTGATGACACAAGCTGTCTTGCGTCTGCGACAGGCATCGCAGGGGCGGTTCTTGCGGCTCCTCCGCTCCCTGGGGTTGCCAAAGGTGCTCTGGATGACGAACTTGCGCGAGCGCGCGTGCGCCGCGTTGGTGGCGGCCGGGTCGGACGACGAGGTGTTGTTGGCTTCTTCTTGGTCGTGGTGGTCGGGGCGGCCGGCGGCGTCACCGCCCAACGCGGCGGGAGGGACGCCATTCATGCTCCAGGCTGGCGGCGCCGGAGCTGGGCCCGGGCGGGAACAGGCAAAAGCAGAAACGATTAGCCTCGAACGACGCGCGGGACAAGGCGAGGCGAGGCGAGGCCGCAGGGCAGGACCAGGGCGAGGCCTGGGCGTCTCGGGAGCTTTAGTTGACGTCGGCGAACGATCTTGGGAGTGTGGTGGGGGAGAGAGAAAACAGAGCAAATTGGCCGACGATTGAATGTGGGCGGTGCGGCAGGCCCTGATCCCGGATTCTGATTCCTGGGGGGGTCCCTCCCGGAGGACGGGAGGCGCTGGGCGTCCCTCTGCTGCGCTGCTGCTGTGGGAAAGCTCGCTAATCCCAGGTAAGCAAGGCGATGTACCGCCTACTTCTGCGCGGGAGCCACGGGAGGTCCTGAGCCGGCCCAGACAAGCCAGCGCAGCGCAGTTTATGACGTGATTCGTCGACTTGCGAGCCCTCCCATGTACGAGTACATGCAGGAGCTCGTAAGGCCGATCATCAGTCAGCCACGGCGTCCAAGCTACCGCACGTAGCCGCCGCATCCATTGGAGATCGAGACGCGCCTTGCCTGCTACGGGCAGCCAGCGCCGACATTACATCTCCGCACGCATCGCCAACATCAAGCCAGCAGCGGCACCACGGCCGTCGATGGCCTCGATAGCAGCAGACGCCTCTCAGGACGATACTGTCAACTCAGGGTTCACATCACTTTACTTCCTACACAACACGTCGCACCTTTTGCTGTCCTCCAAATGGCGACGCTCAGCCACGCAAGCTGCAGCCGTCACATCGACACCCGCGGCGCCACCGCATTTCGCAAGAGACATCCCAATATGTAGATATTAAAAAAGCTTCGTCGCTCAAGGGCTCAAAAGTTTGCCGAAATTCAAAATGATACATGCCCCTGTCGCCGGGCCATCCCGTCCGCAGTGCCGCACATGCGAGGCTCCATTGGCTGCGCGCACACCAGCTGCATATGATTATGCACGGCTCGCGTCCTGCACACCCTCCGGCCAGATCAGATCGCCGCCGCCGCCGTCCTTCCCGTCTCCTTCCCCGACGACTCTTCGCCGGTGCTGGCGGGGGGCAGCAGCCCTTCAACGGCCTCCGAGTCCCAGCGGTCGCGGTAGTGTTGCTGAAGCTCCGCTGCCGACGTGGGCTCGCGCACGAACGCGTCCAGCGCCTTGGCCGGGAACGCCCAGTGCAGGAGCGTGTAAACCAGCATGCTCGCCAGATAGCCGTACAGGTAGTTGAGGTAGTACAGTTCCACGGCCGCGTCAGTCACCGTCACCGACGTGTTGACTTGCGACACAAAGCCGGGGAGGGGTGGGATGACACCGACAATCCACTGCAGGAATCCAGCATTAGCCATCCAGACTCGCTTCCGCTGGCCCGTTCATGACGGGTCACATAATGAATCACTTACCGCAACAGGCGCCCGCCAGTTCACACCCCACGTGTACCAGTATATGCTGCCCTTGTCCCCGCGGTACAGGTCGTCCACCTTGAACTTGCGCTTGCAAACAATCAGGTAGTTTGCGGTCATCATGCCTGTCATTGGCGCAAGGAAGATACCGTAGCTCGACAGCACAGTCAGGAAGATGGTGGCCGTGTTGACCAGGCGCCAGGGGTTGACTGCGGGGCTAATCAGGGCCGTGATGTACGCGCCCCTTCGGATGTTGATGTACTTGGGGAATGTAGACGCGAGGTCAATGCCACCCGCCAGCGCATTGCCAGGGATGCTGCTTCCCAGCTGCGAAACAACAAGCGCGAGGCCCGCGAAGAAGACGGCAGCGCGAGTCCCCGAGCTGGGGTCCTTTTCCAGGAGGCGCACGAAGAGCGTGGGCGGGTTCCAGATGGCCTCGCCATCGAACCGGTGCTGCGTCGCCGCGACGACCAAGATGCCGAGCACGGCAGCGTAGTTGCAGTACAGGGGATACGCAATTGCCTGGCCCCAGATGGCATCCCGGGGGCGCTTTGCCAAACGAGCGTAGTCGTTTTGGTTGAGAATGCCCGCGGCGATGGATCCGACAGTGGACATGACTCCGTACACCATCAGCCAAGCAGTGCTGTTGGGCCCGCCAGTCAAGGGGATGGTGCGGTCCGAGCTTATGGTGCTGCCGAAGCCTGCCGATCCCATCGTGGCCAGCGCCCACACCAGCAATACCAGAAAGAATATAAAGGTTACCGTCGCCGCGCACCAAAAGAACGGCTGAAGCCTGTGGGGCCGGATCCAGAGGAACGGCAGGCTGATGACACAAAAGATGACGTATGCCACGAACTGCGCAGAGGTCATCCCGGTATCAGCGGGAATGGTGTTGGGAATCCGCGATTCGTACTTGGGATCCCACGAGAGCAGGATCATGTAAATGCATTCACCGCCGACCCAGGCCTGGAAGCCATACCAGACTGTGCGCGGTCAGCGTTGATCGGCGGGGCCCAGTCATGCATGGGGCACGTACCAAATGACAGGAAGATTCGGTTCCATATCGTGAACTGGGAACCCCAGATACCCCAGATGGCACGGCTGTACACGGGAAAGCCAACTGCACCAAAGTCAGCCTGAAAAGCAAGCGAAGCGGAAGCGGTTCCGCGTACTGTGATAGTAGGCACCGGCCAACGAGCTGAGCAGTAGCGCCGTCGTCGCGATAATGTTTCCGACGACGATGCCTTGGGTCCCGGTCAGTTCTAAACTCTCCTGTTGGACGCAAGACGTCAATGGGGGCGCGTACTGATGATGGCCTGCCACCAAGTAAGGCCGAGTGGGATCAGGGCGCTGCCAGTGAGGAACGTTGCGATGTTGCAATTGATCAAGAGCCCTTGCCGCCAGTTAGGTAGGTTAACGTCAAGGAGGAATATGCCGAGCACGCACAGTAGTTGTGAAACGCAAGAAAGTTCCACGTCCGCCGCTCGGCTTCGCAAGGCCGAACATCATCGTTCTAATCGCTGAATGTAAGCATGGAACAGTCGGCTGCATGCAGAGGGGGCAACAAGACATACCGTCAGAGCCGAGACATTCTGCAGCTCGAAGCGCTTCACCAGAGCCTTGAGACCCATTGCTTCTGTTGGTAGTGGGGGGTCCTGCAGGTGCCTGTGCGCAAGCTTGGATACTCACGAACAAACCAACAGCAGCGGGTTTGCCCAACAGGTATACTTCGAGTTAATATGAGCCAACCCAAGCCCGCGAGGGAGTCGACGCCTTTATCGGGCAACTGTCGTGTCGGAGTCTCTGATAGTGATACGGGATGAGTCCGCGTCCTGGGGGGCGTTTGATGGGATGAACGACTGTGGAGGCAGATGGAGCCCCCGGATTTCGGCCCCCTGGGGCCTGGGGCAACGGGGTCAATTGAGGGACCGGGGCAGGCAAGCCGCGATCAGGGTCCAAGCGAGCGATATCCACTCCGCGAGCCTCCGTCGTGGGCGCGTCGTGTGCAGTCCAGCCTCAGCGTTCGGCGAGGTGAGTCTCGGGAGTCGAGATGGTGTGGTGGAGTGGATCGCGAAAATTCGACTCGGACGCAGGCTGGGAGGAGAAAGCCGCGGACTCGATTGACGACTAGCGCCGTCTGCTGCGACGACCCGCGAAACGAGCAAGGGACGCTGGTCTTGCAGCGACGGCAACCCACATTACTAACTAAGGCGCCATGATGACCTCAAAAACCCGCCCATATCATATCGGCTCGCTGGGATTGCGACGCGAAACGACAAGGACGCAGCCGGTATCGGGATCGCTCAACTTGAAGCGATAGTCCGTTTCCAAACGGCACAAGACCAACGGGTTTATCGCTGCATGACCGGACGTCGACTAGCCAGAGGTGGCGCTGTGAAGCGCTCGGCACAGGCGCAGCGCATCTAGGTACCAAGCAGCCGACGACTTGTTAGTTGCAGAGTACCTACCTGACGGCATTGGCAGACAGTGGACTGCCTTCTTTGGCCCCCTTGCGCCGAGTGGATTGACCGTCATGGAAGGCGTCGTTATCGATAATCGATCGAGGCAGCCAGCTCTGCTGCGTTCTGTTAGCACCGTAACCCGGACTAGCCGTCCCAATGTAACCCTCTTTCAAGGGCTCACCACCCGTCTTACAGTGAGGCACGGCACTTTCCCTCGCTGTAATGCCTGTAAGCGTCACCTGAGCCACACCCGCCACGACCGGGGCGGTCTCTGACCGGGCCACTTTTCTGGCCTCGACGCGGCTCATCATCCTTCATTCCTGCTGCGCACCTCGGCCTCAGTCGCCATCGACATCGCCGTCAATGCACGCGCAGCACGTCCTCGAGGTTGATACACGATATCGGCATCGCACGCGCACTCCCGGGCAAGGGTCAAGCCATGCCGCCCCCGTACGCCACGTGGAAACGTCGGCCAACTTCGCGCGCCTGATTTCTGGCCCCCGCAACAGCCTCGACTGTGCGTCGTCGGCAAACCTAACTCGCCCCCACAGCGCCTCGTCGCGCTGAAATTGCCCGACTCGGTTCCCCGCAAGCACGCCTGTGTCTTGGTTCAAGATTGCCATCCCGTCACAGCAAACGCCATGGCGCAGTGGGCTCTTCCAAGTGGTGGTTCGGTGGAGCTTCGACGGAGGTCCGCTTATCGACCGGGTCTCTTGTCCGAATGCCTCCCTCGCCGACCTTTGACAACATCCTTCCACTTGCACGAGCAACACACGGGGCAGCTGGGCTGGCACCAACACCTCAGACGCTTCTTTTCGGCCGCAGTGACATCGCGGAACTTCGTCAGCCTTGTCCTCATCGGCTTACTGCGGCTACCTCCGCTCGTTGTTGGTCCAGGTACGCACCGGCCCATTACTCGCCCCTCAACCTCCGACCGGCCACTTGGGCCCCCATCCCGGTGCACTGCGAAGTCCCGCCTACTATTTAAGAGAGAACGGAGCCCCTGAGCATAGGCCGTGTCAAGCATCGCATGATCCAAACTGTGCATTGTGTACGGGTACGCTGCAAGGGCTCACATCATCAAGCATCATGTCCCTGTACCGTATAGGTGTGGACGTTGGTGGCACCAACACCGACGCGGCCATCCTTGACATCAAGGCCCTGGACAGCCCTGGCCGTGGTGTGCTCGCCTCGCACAAGGCCACCACGACCCCTGACATCACCAGCGGCATCGAGGAGGCCATCAAGGCCGTTCTTGCAAGCTCGGCCATCGACCAAAGCCGCGTCCTCAGCGTCACCATCGGCACCACTCACTTCATCAACGCGCTGGTTGAGGCTGATGCCAGGCGGCTGGACCGTGTTGCCGTGGTGCGGCTTTGCGGCCCTTACACAAGGCAAATTCCTCCCTTTTCAGGCTTCCCCGTTGGCCTCCATAAAATTCTGGATGGAGGCGTCTACTACCTGAAAGGCGGCCTGGAGATGGACGGGCGGGAGATTGCACCTCTCGACCCCGAGGAGATCCGCAAGGCTGCCAGGGATATCGTGGCCGCTGGCGTCAAGGCTGTCGCTCTTGCTGGCGTCTTCTCGCCCCTTGATCACGAAGGAATTCATGAGAAGCGATGCAAGAAGATTCTGCTCGAGGAAGCCCCTGATCTCAATATCGTCTGCTCTCATGACATTGGTCCTACCGGCTTTTTGGAGCGTGAGAACGCCACGATTCTCAATGCTGCCATCCTGAGAACTGGGCATCGAGTGAAGCGGGGCTTCAGGAAGGCCATGGCGCGGCTCAACCTTGCGTGCCCCCTATACCTGTCTCAAAATGACGGAACCTTGATTGACGCCGAGGCGGCCGCCGACTTTCCCATCAAGACCTTTGCTAGCGGTCCGACAAACAGCATGACTGGTGCGGCGTTTCTGGCTGGCATCGATCAAAAGCACGACGGCAAGCCCAACGGCGCGGCATCCACCAACGGTGACGCCAACAGCGAGCAAGCACAGATTCTCGTTGTGGACATTGGAGGAACGACCACGGATGTGTGCGCTTTGTTGCCCTCGGGCTTTCCTCGCCAGGCTCCCGGATTTGTCGAGTTTGGAGGTGTGCGCACCGCCTTCTCTATGCCCGAGGTCGTTTCCGTGGGGCTGGGCGGTGGCAGCAAGGTCACGGTCGATGAGACGCAGCCAAACTCCGTTTCCGTTGGCCCTGGCTCCGTGGGACATCTCATCCGGCAGCAGGCCAAGATCTTCGGCGGCTCTACGCTGACGGCGACCGATATCGTCGTCGCTGCTGGCAAAGCTGATCTAGGCGACGCCAGTCTTATCAAGGACGTCCCTCAATCGACCATTGACCTGGCCCGCAAGGACATCAAGAAGAAGCTCGAGACTGTCATCGATCAGATGAAGGTCTCCGCTGCTCCTGTGACCGTGCTTCTCGTCGGAGGCGGCGCTCTGCTTGTTACCGACGAGCTGGCCGGAGTGGAGAAGTGCATCTCGCCGGTTCACCAGGGTGCCGCCAACGCCATTGGCGCGGCCATCGGTAGAGTCTCGGGCGAAGTCGACACTGTCGAGATCCTGGAGGACAAGAAGGAGAAGGACGTCCTTGAGGCCGCCTGCAAGCGTGCAATCGACATGGCTGTCGAAAAGGGAGCCGCGCGCGACGACGTCAAGATTGTCGAGGTCAACAGGATGCCGCTTCAGTACATGTCCAAGGTCACTATTCGCGTCCAGGTCAGAGCGGTGGGAAGACTGGCCATTCCCGATGACCTGACCCTCCTTCAGAACCCCGATTGGGCTCTAAACGGCGACGAAGAGGAGGCCGAGGGCCAAAAGGTCAGCGTCCCGAACGCGCTTGAGCCTACGACCAAGCCTAGTCTTGGTGTAGATATCGAGACCTACCGTCCCGATGTCAAGAACGGAGTATGGTACATCTCTGAGATTGACTTGGAGTTCTTGGCCACCGGCTGTGGTGTTCTGGGCACCGGCGGCGGCGGCCCGACATACTTTGAGTTCCTCAAGAGTTTGGAGGCTCTGCGAAAGGGTGGCAAGGGGAAGATGAGAGTCGTTTCTCCCAAGGCACTGAAGGATGATGACATTGTCTGTTTCGGTGCCTACTACGGCAGCCCCACCGTCATCAACGAGCGCATGTCTGGCGGCCGGGAAATCATCGACGCCATTGATTCCATCACCAAGGTTCAAGGCCACAAGGAGTTCCATGCCTTGCTGGTCGACGAGATGTGAGTGACTGTCTTGCAATCCCATGGTACTGGCACTGACAGGTCGCAGCGGTGGTGGCAACGGCATGTGTGTTTTCGGCACCGGTGTCCATTACGATCTTCCCGTCGTCGATGGCGACGGCATGGGAAGAGCCTACCCGACCATTTACCACGGCAAGTATTGTCCCAGATCTGCCGCTCGACTCGATACTGACTACGACAATAGTCACCTTTAGCGTCTATGGCTATCCTACGACTCCTTGCGCGATTACAGATGCGGCTGGCAATTCGGCCGTCATCATGGTAAGAATGGCAATGGCCACAACTGGTGCCATCGGATGACTGACTTGAGACTGTACAGAAAACCGACTCGCCCGCTAGGCTGGAGAAGCTGCTGCGCGACACGGCTGTTGAGCTGGGACTGACGTGCGCGTCGTCAACGTGCCCGCTTCCGGGTTCCACCATCAAGGCCGCCGCAGTGCAAAACACGATATCCCAGGCCTGGTACCTTGGACGTGCAGTGCATATGGCGCGCCGCAAGAAGGCCAACTATGTCGATGCCATCGTGAGTGGTGACCGATTCTCCTTACAGGGAGCGACCTCGCTAACACAATCAGTTCAATGTCTGTGCTGGAAAGCTGCTGTTCACGGGCAAGATCGTCGATGTGCATCGATACATTGGTGGCGGATATACGATGGGTGCTGTCGTCTTGGCACCCCTGGGAGCAGACGAACGAGAGGCCGCCAGCGACAGCAAGCAAAAGGTGCCGACTGATACACATATGGTGATACCATTCCAGAACGAGTACCTGTACGCCGCCTACAGTGACGCCGAGGGATCCAAGGAGTCACAAAAGGTCGTCTGCACTGTGCCGCATCTCATCTCGATCCTGGGCCAGGACGGCGAGGCGATCGGCTCGCAGGATCTGCGGTACGGTCTGCGCGTAAACGTCATCGCGCTGCCAGCCCATCCGCTGTGGCTCACGGAAAAGGCACTCAAGGTTGGCGGTCCAGAGGGTTTCGGCCTCGACATTCCCACGATTGGCGTGGACAATGACTTTACGGAAGCGAGGAGTGTGATTGATGAGTTTGACACACAAGCATAGCGGCATAGCAGCGGCATGACGGAGATAGAGGGCGAGAGGGTTCACTACTGTGCCCATGAAAGAGATACATGAGCATGCAATTATTTGAGTCCGAACGCGATCCGTTAAGTCTTGTTCCAATGGTGGTGCTTTTCAATCACATTTCACTTCATTTGGGTTTTGCCATTGGCAGTTGCAGCTTGTGTCATTCTGTCTGGCAACTATTCGCACGTAGCTCCTGAAAGAGTGGCAGGGCCATGGTCGCGTACATGTATGAAACGATCGAAGCATGTCCTCCGAGCACGTGTTTTCCTTTTGTTTTGCCAGCTTTCCCTTACTGGGCGTTCTGCTTGGCGCGGACGTCCCAGACCTTGAGGGCCTCCTCGGCAGCCTTGAGACCGCTGAGAGCCATGGCACCAAAAGTAGGGCCTACAGATATGTTAGCACTTGAGCCATGGTGTGTATTGCGGCAAAGGTTGTGTCACGTACCCATGCGGTTGGCGCCGTCAACCTCGGACAGCTCCATGCCGCCGACGATGAGACCAGGGACGATCTCACGGGTACCCTTGACGATGGCGTCCTCGGCCGTGTTCATGTCCAGGCCACGCATGCCGCCGAGCTTCTCGATGCGCTGCATGCTGACGAGGCGCTTGACGGAGAAGGCGCCCATTGGGCCGTCGTGGCCGGTGGTGGAGATGACGAGGGGCGCGTTGATGGTGTTGGGGTCCATGCAGGACTGGTCGTCGTGGTGCATGGACACGAGGGTCCAGTTGGTGACGACACCGGTGATGCGGACGCCCTCGCCCTCAGCCTCGGCCTGGCGAGTGATGAGGTCCTCGACGCAGGTGGCGTTGAAGAGCTTGATGTTGGGCATGGCGAGGACCTTCGACATGATGGTGGAGGTGAAGAGGGCGGCGTGCTTGACAACGACGTAGTTGCCCTCATCGTCGTAGGGGACGCCAATCTCGCGCAGGAAGGCGTCGGCGGGCTTGCGCATCACCATGGCGGAGAAGAGCTGGCCGCCGAGCCAGGCACCGCCACCAGGCGAGACGGAGGCCTCGATGATGGCGATCTTGAGGTCCGGGCGCGTCTTGCCCAGGACGTAGGCGGCGCTGAGGCCGCACGACCCGGCGCCGATGATGACAATGTCCGACTCGGCGTACGTGTCGAGGTCCTGGAAGTAGCGGCGCGTCATGGCCCGCGACACCTGGCTCTCGCGGATGGGCGCGAACCGGAAGCTGTCCCACTGGCCGAGCATGTCGTCAATGGTGACGCTGGACTTGTTGGTGGGGGCGACGCCCTTGACGGCGAGCTTGGACGCCGGGGTGGCGAGCTCAGCGACGTGCTGGGGGGGCGAGACGGCGGCGGGGGGGCTCATGATGGGTGGTGGATTTGGTCTGCACATGTTAGGCATTTCTTTGCTGTCCTGCTGATGAACAGGGGGGGGGAAGAGCATGATCCTTTCGCTGGTATTATCCAGATCAAGTTTTGCGGCCGTATAATCTCAGCCACGGCCCCCCTCGCAACAACCGCCGGCAGTAGGCGACAGCTCCCCAATGTTCAAGACTCGGGTACACCCAAGTCTGGGAGCTGTCACATTGACTGCACGCCAGCGGACGTTGCAAGAAGGGCGGGCACCGGCTCATGCAACAGACAGTACCTGATGATGATGTTTGATCATGGTTGGATAGACTACCACGGAAAGGCGCCATGATGCTCGCGCGGTGCATCTTGGCGGGGAGAGAAGCTCTCGAGGGGGGTCGGATGTACCGATTAGGTGTGTGTGTGTAAACTGAATCTCTCAAGACGTTAGAGCAGCGGTTCCTATGGCCCCCCATCGTTTTATCCTGGGGGAGGGGTTTAGAGGAGAGGGGGAGCTTAACGGACTCCTGGTTATATCTGGATGCCTGAGCTACTTGCTTTGAGGCAGGAAGGAGCTAGCTGAAGTGGTATGAAGAGTCAAGTGCTTTGAGGATCAAAGAGGGGGAAGAAAGGAGGAAAGGAAAGAAAGCAGGGGAGGAGGGGGGAGCTCGACGGGCTTTTTAAACGTCATGTCCTGGCTTGTCACTGCGGGGTCTGGTCCCATGAAAGTGCCTCATACTGCTTTCTTGCTGCCCAGACCTCTAGAGGCAAAGTGCTATTGCTACAGAGTTTTGTGTGCCATCCAATATGCACCCACGCATCATCCATCAATGGGTGAGGAATGCATGCGATGTCGGCTCCATCGGGAGCGGGGTCCGGCCGTCTGTCCCCCGCCAGTGGGTGGTGGTGGTCGTGATGATGGTGGCCCGGCAGTACCCGGAACGAACGGCTCTACCGTCGGCCGGCCTTTCGCCAAAAAAAAGTATTCACTCGAACATTTTGACGCTTGGCACCAGAAGAGGGCATTGCTGGGATATGAGCACAGGGCTTGACGGGGGGGGCCTCGAATCGCAAAGGCCGGCGCACGCACAACACCAACCCACCACCCACGCTGCGAAGCCCTACGGCCTGCCCAAGCTCCAGCTCCAGCTCCAGCTCCCCTCCTCCCCGTGGCGGCGCCCCTGGTGCCACGGGACGTGATGGTGTGGCCGGGACATGGCCTGTTGGGGCTGGTGTCGAGTTAACCCCCTAACCACCAGTTATCTAGCTCACCCGGCTTGTGGGAGTGGGCCGCTACAACGAACCACCCGACCTGCGGGTAGCAGTAGAAAATGGGCGCACACTTGTCCCGGAAGAGCCAATGGTTTGAGGGGGATAGGTAGCTGCCGTCTCGGTTTTGTTTGTCGTCGAGTGGTTGACGAATGACCATCAAAATGGGTGTCGCCGAGAGCCGAGAAGTCGACCTCCCAGTCGGCAGAGGAGGGGGGCCCTGGCGAAGGGGGGAGAGGGGAGTCGGGACGCAGATATGGCTCACATGAAGCCACCCTGCATTTGCATGGCGCCCCCCTTTCTTCAGCACCAGACCGCGTCCAACAGTGAACGGTGCAGGAACGGCTCCGAAAGGGACGTTGGGGGCCTGGCATGTGCTCATGCGCGTTGAACTCCAGTGCGGCGGCCGTAGTGCGCTCCGGGTCGTCGCGCGTGAGAGATGCCATTCTCCAGCACTTATATGGCCCTTCTATGGCTCCTTGCTTCCCTCTCAATTTTTTGCACGGTCGACGTAAATGTAGTCGCCTGCGGATCTGTGCGCCGCCCAAGCCCTCGAACCACGTTTCGGAACCGCACCCGACTTTATCACAGAAACGCCCCCCATCCTTGACCTCCCTCTCGCCGCAGGGAGTGGAACGGCCGTTTTTCGCGCGCCCTGTGCCCACTTTCTTGCCTCTTCAATGCGTCGGGCGCACCATGTACCAAGTCGTCGGTATCTATCAATCCACCGCGACTGGCGCGCGTCTGTGGCTCTCCAACGTTCCTGCAGCAGCAGCAGCATGGAGCTCCGAGCTCGCCGCGCGTCGAGTCCTGACGCGGGCCCAGTTGAGGTTGCTGAGGTTGTGGCCAGACGCTTCCTTCAGTCGGAGACAAGTGGGATCTGGGCCCCGCCTAGATATCACGCCTACCTGGTACATAGCAAGTAACAAATGGCATTGCGTGGAACGACGCCGAAAGAATTTTGCCAAACCATTGGCTCGCGTGAAATCGTTGATGGGCAAAACACGGTTGTTTCCTGTGCAATCATTGGATACTGGAAATCATTGGACGAAGGAAATCATTGACAGTGTCCAAATCATTGAAAACCCAGCACACAGCCAATGGAACAACGGGATTCGTTTGTCGAACTGCATCGCCATTGATTGGACGAGGGAGGGAGAGGCAGTCGGAGCTTGAGGAAGCTGCGAGATGTCCAGTCGTGCGGCCACAGGTACGTACCAACTCAAGGGCGGGCACGCGGCGATGCGCCCGTCCTTGGCGTCAGAATGCATTCATTGTTCCTGAGGATGTACTCTAAACTGGTATCACATAAGACGTACGTAGTGCTCGACCTGGGCGCCGTCCTCGCCGTCGCGTGACCGCGTCTATCTGCGGGCTGCCGGCTCTCGGCCTCCATGTCATCCCTGTCCTACGACTCAATAACCTCGCGAATCGTTTGCACGAACCGCTCCGGATCATGCCCAAACCGCCCGAGGAATAGGCCGTCCAGCCCGCTGCTCAGTCGCGAGAACAGGCCGGGCCCCGCGCTCCCGCCGTACACCACCCTCGTCTGGCCGTTCCGCCGACTTACGCTCTCGAGCTTCCGGATGCCGGCCACCACGGCCAGGACGTGCTCCTCGCCCGCGGGCTGGCTCGCGCCGATGGCCCATACCGGCTCGTAGGCCAGCACGACCTCGGCGTCATCCGCCAGGCCGCTCAGCACCGCATCGACCTGCACGCTGCACTCGTCCACCGCAATCGCCACGTCCCCCTTGCTCTTCTCCCCGATGCACACCAGGGGCACCATGCCGTTCCTGCTCACGGCGGCAGCCTTCCTGGCGACCGTCGCGTCGTCCTCGCCGAATATGCGCCTGCGCTCCGCGTGGCCGACCTCGACGATGCGCACGCCCGCCTCGGCGAGCACGGCGGGGCTGACCTCGCCGGTGAAGGCGCCCTGGTCTTCCCAGTGGCAGTCCTGGGCGCCGGGCCAGATGGGCACCGGTGCGGCCGCGGCCTTGAGCTGCAACGCGGTCTCGGCGAGAGAGACGAAGTCGGGGATGATGAAGATGTCGATCTGGGAAAGCTGCGCGGGGGGGACGGTGGCGAGGTGGGCGAGGAATTGGCTGGTGAAGTCGCGGGTCTTGGAGAGGGAAAAGTACATTTTGGTGGACAGGCCGATGAGGCGCCGACGGGGCAGCGAGGAAGAGGCCATGGTTGCGGACGCGGCGACTTGCACCCGCCTCGTTGTGATTCGTGATGATGTCTGGAGAGGCCGTGTTCCTGGTGAGGGTGAGGGCGAGTGCCGCCTTTCGGTCTGCCGCTTAGGGAAGATGACGGGCCAGGAACGGGGACTCGATTGGGCAAGAGCAGCACCGCGGACCGGACACAGCATAAGCCAGAATTGAAAGTATGCAAGAGCAGCCGGCAAGTCCAATCCCAATTAATCCCAATTCAATTCAACTCATGGCGCAGACACATCACGCAGACGTCAAGGTGGAACGCGGACACGTCCCGTGACGGCCGCTGAGCCCCTCCGGCTCGCGCTCGCTCCGTCTCCACGGCGGCTCGGCCGGGCGTGTGAGCCGCTCCAACTTACCGCATCGGGAATACCGGGGGGGCGCCCGTCCGTCCCTTAGAACCCGACTGCTTATTCCTGAAAGCAGCTGCCCCCGGGCCCGGCTCCATGCTCGAGGGACTCGGAGAGCAAGCCGCTGCTGCTGGCGCTACTCCCGTATTACGCTGTAGGTGACGACGATTGTGTCTCCCGTCAGCGGCTTTGCTGCTCACGCTCAACCGGCGGCGGGTGGTCTGGACTCTGGATTCTCGAGTCTGGACGGTGGAGGATCCCCCACGAAATGGGGAATGCCGGCGCGCGGAGACTTTTCTTGGTTTGTGCTGTAGCATTGCTGGCGTTGAGCTATTACAGTACAGATACGAGTCTAGGTAGGTAGTATGTGACGCTACAGTAAAAGTCTGGCTTCCCTCTCTCTCTCACTCTGGCTCCGGTGTTGGTGATTTGCGCGTGCCCCTCAACACCACGCCCGCATCCCTCCGTGCCCGCGCCCATCGTGAACCACACGACAGATTTCTTCATGCCTCGAGCTGCACAATCTCATCCACCTTCTTGGCGCTCGCGCTCCCCGCGTCAAACTCGTAGCCCAGCCACTCCCTCGCCAGGCGGCGCGCCAGCTCCAGCCCGACGACGCGCTCGCCCATGCACAGCACCTGCGCGTTGTTGCTGAGCACGCTGCGCTCGACGCTGAAGCTGTCGTGCGCCGTCACGGCCCGCACGCCCTTGATCTTGTTGGCCGTGATGGCGACGCCCAGCCCCGTCCCGCAGATGAGCAGCGCGCGGTCCGCCTTGCCCTCGGCCACGAGCCGCGCCGCCGACGCCGCCCGCGTCGGGTACGCCGTCTTGTCGCTGCCCTCGTGCGAGCCCACGTCGATGACGGAGGCGACGCGCTGGTCGGATTCGAAGTCGCGCTTGATGGCGTCTTTGTACGAGATGCCGGCTTCCTGTTTATTGTTTGATTTGGGGCTCTGGTCAGCCCTGAACGTGTTCTGGGGAGGGAGGCATGATGGGTTGGCGGGTTGGGTTGGGTTGGGGGGGGTTCCGAGGCCGGCTTACATCGCAGCCCATGGCGATTCTCCATGGCGGTGACATGTTGATCAGCGTCTCGCTGTGTGTTTGAACTGAAAGAGATGAAGTAGAGGCAAAATACTCTGAGTCTTTGTCTTTCACAAATACAAGGAAAGAGGTTTTGGAAGATGATGTTTCCGCAGCGAGGGAGTGACGGACACTCTACCGCTCTTCACTTGCACGGCCGCCGCACGCGCCCCCACCAGAACTACTGCTCCGGCATCGTCGCCGCCACCCAGTCCAGTCCAGGCCAGCAACATCATTCCGACGTCCAACACAGCACATCGACCCAACGTATTTTCCCCTCCTCCTCCTCTCCGGAAGCCCACTCACTCTCTAGCGCATTCGTCGTACGCCCCTCTTCCTCCCCGCGTGTAGCTGTCCTTGCCCCGGAGTCGGCTCCCGTCCACCCCCTTGAAATTGTGGGGGAGGATCCGATCCTGGCGACGGATTTCCTAATCTGGAAATCCGGGCTCCAGAGTCCAGACGGGGGAGGCAAACACACCACCACTACACACCACTGCACACCACCAGGTACCCAGAATTCCCGTGTCATCAGGAACCCAGCTATGACTTAACCGGAGGGGCAGGTACTCGTATGCGGGGACTGCGGCATGTAGACTGGTATCGGGTCGTTGGTCTGCGGTCTGCCAGGCGATGGGCGAGGAGTTGGGCCCCGGTGATAGCGCTCGACGGGGCGAGGGGCAGGAGCTCGTGTAAGTCGGTCGCCGGGCGATGCGACGGGCCAAAGTCCGCGTTCCATTGATGGCTGCTCGTTCTGCCTGTTGTAGCATGTCCGAACGCGGAAGCGTTCCTGGGATCCTGTTTTGCTGGCCCGTTCTCGAACTTATACATCACCCTTGGGACCAGACGAACTTACGTTGCGACGACTGTTCCGTTGTCACCAGCGTCATACCTACCTGTCGTGGCATTGAACACACAGAGACACAGACAGGACCCGTCACCATGTCGAAACGCCACCTCTTCAACTCGCCCGACGGCCTCGTCAACAAGGCCCTCCGCGGCATCATCGCATACAACCCCTCCCTCAGCCTCGACGAGGCCAACCGCGTCGTCTACGACACGTCCTACGACCGGCGCAACGTGAGCATCATCAGCGGCGGCGGCTCCGGCCACGAGCCCGCCTGGACCGGCTACGTCGGCGCCAACATGCTCGCCGCGTCGGTCCAGGGCGACATCTTTGCGAGCCCGAGCACCAAGCAGATTGTCGCCGCCGTCGAGGCCGTCCCCAGCGACAAGGGCACCATCCTCGTCATTACCAACTACACGGGCGACTGTCTGCACTTTGGGCTCGCCAACGAAAAGGCCAACGCGAGGGGCCACAACTGCCGGGTCATCATCTGTGGTGACGACGTCTCTGTAGGCAAGAAAGGCAGCATGGTTGGTCGTCGGGGTTTGGCGGGCCAGATTGGCGTGCTCAAGGTCATGGGCGGTGCTGCGGGCGCGGGGGGCTCTCTCGACGACGTGTACGACCTGGGCGTTGCGTTTTCGCAGCAGATCGTGTCCATTGCCGCGACGCTCGACCACTGCCACGTCCCTGGACGGACGGAACACGGTATGCTCGACGACAACGAGGTCGAGATCGGCACAGGTCCGCACAACGAGCCCGGTTACAAGAAGCTCTCCCCCGCGCCGTCCCCCTCCGAGCTCGTCCAGTCCATCCTGCGGCACTGCCTCGACGAAAACGACCCCGAGCGCGGCTACGTCAAGTTCTCGCCGGGCGACGAGACGATGCTGCTCATCAGCAACTTTGGCGGCATGTCGCACCTCGAGATGGGCGCGCTCGTCGACGAGGTGCTGGAGCAGCTCGCGCGCGAGTGGAACATGGAGCCCTCGCGCATCTGCGCCGGCTTCCTCGAGACGTCGCTCAACGCTCCCGCCTTTTCCGTCTCCGTCATCAACGTCACGGCCGCGGCTGCCAACTGCCGGTACTCGGTCGACGAGATCAAGGGCTTCTTTGACGCGCGCACCAACACGCACTGGGAGTCCGTGGCTGGGGCGCAGGCCACGCGGCGGAGGCCGCGCAGGGAGCAGCTCGTACGCGCGCCGCAGGAGGAGCGCAAGACGGTCGACGAGAAGCGTGACCTCAAGGTGGACCCTGTGGTGTTGGAAAAGATGCTGCGCAATGCGTGTGAGCAGCTCATCGTTGCGGAGCCGGACTTGACAAAGTGGGATACCGTCATGGGCGATGGCGACTGCGGCGAGACGCTCAAGACGGGAGCCACGTGCCTGCTATCGGCGCTGGACGGCGGGCTGGCCAAGTCCGGTTCCGTCGTCAAGGTGCTGCTCGAGCTGGAGGACATTGTGGAGAGCAAGATGGGCGGCACGCTCGGTGGCATCTTGGGCATCTTCTTCGTCTCGCTGCGGGCGGCCGTCGAGAAGAACATCGAGCTCGCTTCGTCCAAGGGCGCCGTCGCCCTCTGGGGCGAGGCCGTCACGAGCGCGCTCGAGAGCCTGAGGCGGTACACGCCCGCCAAGATTGGCGACCGCACCGTCATGGACACATTGATTCCGTTCGCCGAAGCCACCAAGAATGGTGGACTGGATCACGGTGTCAAGGCCGCGGTCCAGGGTGCCGAGGCAACCAAGACGATGACGCCCAGACTGGGCAGAGCGACATATGTGGGCGCTGGTGTCAACGGCAACAAGGAGTTGCCTCCTGATCCTGGAGCTTGGGGCGCCATGGTGGTGGTCCAGGGGCTGCAGGCAGGCATGTAATGGATATTTCTCATGTAGTGTTCACGTTGATGAGACGTCACGAAGTTGGAGACCGTGGCACAGATACAAGTCGTAATAGCGAGCAATTTGCACGAAATATTCACAACAGTGAAACTCTCATCGACTGGAGACGGACGGAGTGTGATGTTTAGCCGGTAAGGTGAGTTTTCGGTGAGGCATTGAGGCGCGCCCTACGGGCTACACGTCAAGTGTATGCAAGTCAGATCATCGCGCCAAAACAGCTCAACCGTAGTAAGTAGCGATTGAGCCTTTCCACGACCCAACTACTTTCTCTCCACATCTACGATATTCCTCGGTCGTTAGCGGAGTACATCGATATTCACCATCGTTTACAATGTCTGGCGCAGGCCCCCCAACCCAAGTGCTGCAAGCCTTCGGCGTCTCGGGGCCAGCGACGCCATTGAGCGGGGGCAGGAACCTGTGCTTCGCCGCCGGCAACGTCGTCTTCAAGCCATCCGACGACGACGCTGAGTCGCAATGGGTTGGCCAGCTTCTGTCCAAGCTGTCCGACTCCCAGCCCACAGACGCCAATTATCGCATCGTCAAACCCCGACCACTGGCGAATGACGCAACGACATTCGTGTACGAGGGCTGGACGGCGTTTGGGCTCCTCCCCGGACGCGACGGGCCAACCGGCCACTTCGCCGACATTCTCCAGATCAGTCAATCTTTCCACCACGACGTTGCAGCACTTGTTTCCGAAAAGCCCTCTTTCATCGGGAAGCGTGGCCATCGCTGGGACGAAGCCGATCTCGTAACCTGGAACGAGAAGGACCTCGACGACGTCCCCGCGGTGAATGCCGAGTTGCTTGCCTACTTCGATGCACCGCTGACGGAGCTGCAACGGATGATGAAGCCGCTGACATCTGATGTGCCGTCGCAGCTCATCCACGGGGATCTCACGGGCAACGTTCTCTTCGACGACGAGGGAGGCGCTCCGCCTGGCATCATCGACGTGGTGTGCTACTGGCGCCCGGCTGCATATGCTGAAGCCATTGTTGTAGCTGATGGCTTGGCCTGGCATGCTCAGGGGCGAGACCTCGTGGAGCTGTATGGCACGGATGAGCTTCGACTTCAGCTTCTCGTTCGAGCCCTGTACTGGCGCTGCATAACGTTCGCGATCGACTCGGATATGGACTGGATTCGGGGCCATATTGCCAAGTCGGACTACCCCGGTGCTGTCGGTGTGCTGCGCGACGTCATGGCGAGCATATGATGCCACTGGGGAAAGACCGGCAGCCTCGAGATTACTCCGACAATGGCCTAAAGGAACGTGAGTTCGCAAGCTACGGACCGTGAGATGTGGCATCTTCGCAACAGTTCAATGTCCCTGCATACGCGGACACTCGCTCTGAGCTCGCACGACGCGCTTTGAAGAACCCTTCGAACTCGCCCTATGCTTCGGCATTCTCATCCCACCACTTGAGGCAACGCATCGCCCGGAGCGTCACCCACTGCGACGGCTTACCCGGGCCGTCATTCACTTTGAACCACGTCCGACCCGGCAAATCCCAGTCCAACATCCATTTCCCATCCTGCAACCTCTTCGACCTCACATGCTCAACCGCCTCCTTAAGCCTCGCATCAGGTTTCTCACCGGTATGCTCCCCAACGGCACGAAAGTAGTCCAACGCACGCAAGACGTCGTACCGCCAACGATTCGGGTGCAAAAAGCGTAAAAACTCTTCGTCTGCTGGCTCGCCCGTGCTCAACCGCCGGAACAACTGCCGCTTCAAAAGGTACTCCTCGCCAGACTTGCGCGCCGCGACAGAGTCAGGCGTCCCACGACCGGCCTTTTCAAGCTCGAGCAGTCCCTCGAGAACGTTGATAGTCGTGGCGAAGGAGGAGCGCACAGAGCCGTTTGCCCTCTCGCAATTCCAGCCTCCGTCCTCCATCCGCTCCCCCAGCAGGCGCTCCACGAGCTTCGACATGTCCACGCCAAAATAGCTCCCGTTCGCGACCGTCTGACCGTTGATGCACTCTTCCGTCTCGCCTTCCCAGAAAGGCTGGCCGCCCTCGTCCCAGCGCGAGTTCCGGCCGACCAGGTCGACGGTGCGCTGGGCCCAGTCGGACGACGGGTCGAGGCCGAACTCGCGCAGTTGCTGCAGCACGCTGTATGTGGCTGTCCACGGCTGCCCGACTTCTTTCCACTCTTTCGCCGTGATGTCGGCGGGCGCGAACCCGCCGCCGGCCCATTGCCCGTCGGGGTCTTGCAGGGAGCGGAGGTGCGCGCCCCAGCCCTCGGTCTCGATTCTCTGGCGCTCTTTCGAGTATGTGGCTTTAGGCTCATGGAGGAGATCGCGCATGACTTGCCAGCGGATAGCTGGGTCGGAGGCGAGAAGCCATTCGATCACAGCGTCATCTGAGGACATGTTGAGGGCTGCGTTGACTGGAGCATCGAACATCAACAGTGGGTAGCGGCTATGATTCATGGGCTGTAGTTCTTGAACATCTCCCAGATTTTTAAGGCATGGACGTTGTTGCACTGACATTTCCACGTCGCGACCGTGAAGACGCCGCTCCCATCCGTGAAGTTCAATGCTGCCGCGCGGGGAAACTGTTCACGATGACGCTAAGCCTGGATCGTCTCAACACATTGCACTGCGACAGCCATTCCGTCCTGAAGTTGCTCGTCAGAGCAAGCCAAGTTTGAATACAGCCGAGTTGGGAAGGTCGAAAAGCCAACGTCGTTATTACATTCACTTGATCACGCACAATGGCCACCAACAGGAGCGACATTGACAGACTGCTTCTGCGGGTGTAATTCTCATGACGCACTACTGATATGTTCGGTTGGATGGTATAATAGAGCCGAGTAAATACCTTATTCTGGGTCGCATTGGTGGTTTTAGCATTATAAATGCATATTATGGGTGCATCTCCTGAGGATGCATGTGCTGTTTGTTGTTTGGTCATAACCCAGCCCACATTGACATTTCGTATGCCTCGGTCGAAACAGCAAGACCTTCAACTCTGACCCAAGGCATCGTACAACATACATTTAAGTTGAGTCATGATTCCGGCCGTCTGGTTGCTTCTAGACAGTTGCGGGTTCTTCGCGGCTCGTGCACGCAGTCACATACCCTCGTCGACAGGTTCCTCATTCCCAACACAGGAGAAACCCGAAATGCGGGAACGCGAGCAGTCCCAGGTACCCGGGAGAGTTCCATCGCATACCTTGCGTGTTTTGCCCGTCCCTAAACCTCCGAGAGTGGGTATTCTCAAAACCTCCGAGCTTGATGCAACCCCATGTGCCGACAACGACAGCTCCCCGAGTTTCACGTCGCGATTTGGGAACGGAGGGACCTTTTGCTTCCCAGCGCCGCAAACATGAGCGAATACCGGGCATCCTGCGGTTCCCCCGCTCGCGCAATGTGCAGCCTGACATGCAAGCTTCGTCACAGCCACGTACAGCTGTGCGGCCCAAGGCGTCGGTATGGGGCACGACCCGGATCCCCTTTTACGCGGCCACATGCGCGTCCCTCCTCGCGCGAGAGCCGGCTCGCGCTACATGTACGGGAAACGACCGGAGCCAAGACGACGAGCGTCGTATGGAGGACATGGTAAAACACATCACGCCATGCTCCATGTCCAGCCCGGTTGCGCCCCATGTTGGCCCGAAAGCCATCGTCTGCGTTGGCCGCCAGGCTTCCCCCTGTTCAGTCTCCTCCGCAGGATGTGCGACGAGCCGAGCCGCCGGGGACCGTGGCCCGTCCGGGTGGTGGACAGTCCATGTCTGCCCATGTCAGTACCATTGAAGGTGGTGGAGAGGCAAAACGGACAAAAAACCACGCACAAGTCGTCCCTCCTTCTCGATACGGCCGACAATGTCTCAGACACTGCATTTCTTGTGCCCAACGCAACAGGGCGAGCGCCCAGTTGACAGCCCCTTTGGGGGCGTTGTCTCACCACCCTACGCCTCCTTCCGTCCGCAAGGCGGCACATCTGGGACTGGAGCCCACGAAGCGGTTGGGGAAGGCGCGGGCCAGCCACCCGGTTGAGGACATGCCTCGACCAGGGCGGACGAGGAGGCGTCGAGATGCTGGCGCTGCCCCGTTCCTCCCAGCAGCATCCCACCAATCTCGAAAGTCTGTGCCGGGAGGGGATCGACTGCCTCCATGTCGCCCCTCGTTGCTTTTCAAGAATACTCCTTGTCAGCGCCTCGCCGGATGAGGGGCTGGCTGCTTCTGCAAAGAGTACCGTACCTCCCGGCCCGCACACCAGACACCGTCGATAACGGCGCGTATCATCCCAGCTCCGCTCAGCTCAACCTGGCATCGGACACGCCCAGGGGCAAGTCTCACGGCTCGGCTTCTTCCACTTCCAAGACGTCTCGTCGGCGATAAGGCGAGATCTGGGTCTTCCCAGTGCCAGCGTCCCGGGATCGACTCGACATGCGACTTTGACAGCACGCCCCGGCGGCCCGCTGCCACCGAGCCGCCTTTTCGACGAGGATCAGCGATCCCCCGCTTTCTTCACAGTTGGCCGAATGACAAATTATGACCTCTCGGCGCCCAATTGCGTCTTGGGGAAGCTACCGAGTGTCGTCGGACGGGGTCACACAAGGCCACCGCCGACCTAGGGGGGGACTGGAGGGTGTCATGCGGGTGATGAACACCGTGACCGCCGCCGCCGCCGCCGCCGCCGGGTCGAGGTGAAGAGGGTGTGGACGTGTGAGCTCCGTGGGCGTGCCTCTCTCGTGCAAAGGCCGTGTACAAGCACACCGGTCTGGATCGAGACTCGGTCCAGTAACACGCTTCGTCCAGCCTGCCGTACGCGGTGAAGACGCTATCGACCAACGGCGGCCACTAAACTCTAGCTGACATGGAGGGAGGGGGGAACGCATAGTCACTTACGCGCTGCAAGCCGTATGTGGAATGCTACCGTTGCTGTTCCCTCTGTCCCGTCCAGGCGTGACCTTGACACTAGCCAGACGCCCTTCTCCCGGGCTGACGAGCAGCCATCGCCGCTCCCCCTCCCCAAGACGCACTCGCAGTTGAGCATCAGACGTTACACGGCATCTCCAGTCCGTCGTCACTGCCGACTGACTGCGTGAACCAGATCTCCGTCACTTTTTTGCCTCCGCCACGGGAAAGGAGGTACGCATCCCACTTGGTGTCTGGGACAGGACTGGAACCAGGCCGGTCACACTGTCACGTTTCTCCTTCCCTGCTATATATACATGAAATCTGGGGTCCTGTGGGGTTGGCGAATAGTAGACAGGGGCTAGTTCCGGGTCTACAATGTCTTGCGACCCCTGTGTCCGTTCACGGGTGTCCTGGGACCTGTTCAAGTGGCCGTATCGTGGCTTGACCTCGCCGGGTGCCCATCAGTAAAGGGGGGTTGAGGAGCCCATGTTGGAGTCACCCACCACGTGCATGATGATTCGCCCTATCGACAACAGGTGCGGGCTGCATGCTTGCTATCCCGTGACTGTCCGTTTTCGGCGGCACTGGGACTTTGATGGCCAGGTGCGTCAGGGATGAGTGGCCATCGAGTCACGCTCGTTGCTGAGGAGAACGAGTGCCGTCCTGCAGATGCAAAACAACGCACTTCAACGCACTGTCTGATGACATCGTGATACGAGGTACGGTTTCTGAACAAAGCTGGGAGATTGAGCGTGGTGTTTGTCCGCAGACTTCGGATACAGTCAATGCCCGCTGGTTCCGCCGTCCATGTAAGAGATTCCGTGGAGTTGCTTTAGACTGCAGAGCAAGCTGTCCTTTGCTGCAACAGCACGACCCCTAGAAAAATCCGAGAAAGGCTTGTTTATTTCATGTGTGAACTTGGCTTATACTAGGGAGATTAAAAATAATGTCCAAGCACGTCGGCTCAAAGTACATGTAGTGTCTGTAAACTGGGCCGTGAACGCCAAATGCGCTGGCCATACATTGATACGAAACCCAGCTCTTTGCCATCAACAAACACTCGTTGACTGCCCAAAATATCAGAATGCAATTGCTCCTGGATTTGAGCACGTCTTTGCATGTGTGGGATACATGAGACAGTCAGAGAGCCTGACCCAAATAACGGTGCATTCTGCTCGCTTGCGCCTCCAAAGCAGTCGTGAATATTATATTGATTTTTCAGACACTTCCTCAGATTATACAGCTACTACTTCGACCTCCTATTGTTAAATCTCATTATTTACCGGTCTCCATAGAACTGTCGTGTCCGGGTACTTGGCGTAGAAGCAGTACTGATAGCTGTCATCGATGTTATAGCCGGCGCGTGAGACTGTGCATTCACATGCAGTGACGGCCATGTACGTGTCCACAAGCGAACAAACGTTGGAATAACCTTGCCTTGCTTGTTCGGGGGACGTATCGACCTTGTGAGAAGTCTTGTGCATTGCTGCATGGCGGAGGCCCACGGGCGAGCCGTCAAGTATATTGAAGCGCCGGAGTTGATGCCAAGGGCAGACCTGTAGCTGGTTCACAGGACTAAAGGGGTCAATCTTTGGATTGTAGCGGACTTAACTCAGTGATACGCCCAGTGATGCCCATCGCCGCTGCCCGCTTCAGTCAAGCCAACACGGCAAAGCACTACGATCCACGGTTATCAGGACATCGGACTTAGATACGACCGCTGCGTACAGTACTTCGTACATGCAACGACACGTCTCTGATCCATGCGACTCAAGTCTGCAGAGCCCAAGCAGACAGACAAACTGCACAATGGCCTACAACTTACAGCTCTTGAAAGCGTTTGTTTGCGCAAGCGACGATGGCGTCAGCGCCAACATGTCTGAGACGTCTCACCCGGGTTCAATCTGGGTCTATGGATCGCCAGGCGGCCCGCCTCAACCAACTGACTGACTGACGGTCGGAATTGAGACAACGTCGAAAGTCTCCAAGCGCTCGGCCTCGCTTGCTCTTTGCGCAGAGGGAAGACAGATTGCCGCACAGTGCTGTACAATGGGTCCGCCTAGCAAGTCTCGTCCCAGAGCGCCCGTGGGCGGAATCCTCGCCATCCGACGCATCAGGGCCTTGGAGTAAGCGGTCTGGAGTCTAGAGCCCTAGACACGCGGCAGGCGACCCCAACCCCAACAGAAATCATCAGACCGTCTTCTCTCCGCCTCTGACCTCTACGGCCCGAGAGCTGGGCGCCGGCATCCCGTCGCTCGTTAGCTCGGGTGGAAGACTGGAAAGGAAAACACGTCAAAGCCCCAGCGGCGCCCGTGCCGCGAGCCCATCGTCTCATATTTCCACTGATCGTATGCACAGACGCCGTCTCGGGAGAAATCTCGGCGCGCCTCCTTATTGTATTGTCCAGGGCTTGTCGACCTACAGCGGGGCGCCCGCAACCCCAGTCAAGGGCCTGAGCCGTCAGCCACTCTATGTAAATATATGCGCCCAAGAAGACATGTCGGCTCAGGGGGGCTTGGGAAGCAAGCCCCTGGCCATGATGATGCCTGCAGTTGTATGCGAACAACCGACTGCTCGGTAGTCCATTTCGCGCCACCCGCGCCCCGGACATGGGGAGTCATTTCTGGTTGGTGCGCACCAACGGCAGTTATGGTCCCTGCAAAAGCCGAATAAGGACGGGCCGCAGTAACAACTAACAACTGACAGCCGTCCGTTGGGCCCTCTCCCAATGCACATCAGCGAAGAGAAGGAGACCGGGGGCGGAATAGTCCGCAGGCCCGGCATGCGCATGCCTGGCCTGGCTCACGCGCATCGCAGTGCATCGATTGGAAAAGGGGGAAAAGCAAGACGGCAGAGAAGAATGGACAAAAAAGAAAGCACATCGCGTGACAATGGCTGGCCATTGCGGACGGAAACAGCTCATGTTTTGTCAGCGGCCATTTTCTCGCCTTGTGCCGCCAGAATAGCCCGAATAGGGCATGGAGCACGATGCCTATCCCAATCCTTGCCCGAAAAGCGCCTGGCTCGATATGCGGTGACGTCCAGGCCGCCGGGAACTGGCGATGCATGCAGTAGCGGATTGCATTCGCTTTGAAGAGGAGGGCCGCAGGGGTGGGCGTCGCTGCTGTGAACTTGTGACAGGTCGCGGTCGGCAGGCGAGGCTGAGCGGCTCCATTGTAAGAAGCAAATCCAATGGGGAGGTGAAGAAAATACAGAAGAGCTTCGATGATCTTCAGGTGAGCAGGGGAAGCTCCCAGGCAGCCAGTTTGCGAGATTGATCGGCGACGCCGCAATTTCTCTCTCGCGCCTTGGAGGCGGAGGCTCGTGCGTTCGTCGCCGGCACGGGTCCGTCTTGACAGAGAGTTGAGTGTTATTACCGACCGCTGTGCGGGTATGGAGTAATTGGGTGCGGCGAGGCGGCGGGCCCCGACCCATGGCGGAGGACGGCCTGCTGGCAATCCACCGAGCAAGGTGGTCCCTGTCGGTTACGGTGCCAAAGTGCCGGCTCGGATCCGGGCCAACATGGCCGAGCAGCGACAGCTTGAACGACGCTTCGTATGTCGTACGAGGACCGGACACCTAGGGGGGTGAGCTTCGTGGCCCCCC